AAGTCGACGATAGTGGTAGAGCGTCATCCTGTTGCAGTAAGCTTTCAACCTACTCCATCTCCCCTCAATTGAATTGGACAGGGCGAAGAGACCAGGTGAGCGCGTTCCGCTCGTGGTTTTCTAGTGAAATTCATCCCCTCGATTAGTTCGCGCAACTCCGAAGTCATCCACTCGGGTGCGCGTGCCTGCTGAATATTCCACGTCTTTTCGCAGCTCAAGCGATCGCAGGCCTGTACTATCCACCCCACTCGCTCAAAACGCGTCTCTGCATCCGGGGCCGCGAGCTGCTCTACGCATACTGCGACGCACACAACGTCCCGCACCGGAAACTGGGCAAGCTGGTCGTTGCAACGAAAGCGCAGCAGCCTTACATCGCCGCGCTGCACGAAAAGGCCCTGAGCCTCCGCCACTGGCCTTCCGACTCTCGCTCCGCGAAGCCGGACGCGCCGGCCGTTCCCACGGCACTCATATCTGGCGACCAGGCGCGTGAGATGGAACCCAATCTCTCAGATTCGATATCCGGTGCGCTCTGGTCCCCGGAAACGGGGATCATTGATTCGCACGCGTTCATGGGCAGTCTCGAGAAAGACATTACAGAGTCCGGCGGCGATCTGGCGTACTCGTCCGACGTCGTTCGCGTGGACAGGGACGAAGACAGATGCGGCTGGGTGGTACAGGTCATCACCGGCGACTCGAGCGACTCGCTGTTCGTGAAGACGCTGGTGAACGCCGCAGGCCTCTCCGCTCCGCTGATAACGAACACACTGCTTCCACCATCGGAACGGTTGAAGATGTACTTTGCAAAAGGATCTTACGCGAAATACCGCGGTCCAGGGTGACCGGAATCTCACACTTGATCTATCCCTGCCCGGAGACGCAAGGCAGCTCTCATGGCTTCCAATCTCTGGGGACACATCTCACACTCGACCTACAAGGAAACGTGAGATTCGGGCCTGACCTGGAGTGGTTATCGCCACAAGACGGCGAAGGTCCCGACTTCTGGTCACAACATCTCACAGCAAACAACATCCAGCTGCAAGAGATGCATCAAGCCGTGACGCGATATCTTCCGAAAGTCATCCTCGATGGTCTGCAGCCAGACTACGTCGGGTTTCGACCAAAGCTCGCAGGACCGACTGGCGGGTTTCAAGACTTCGTAATCCGAACGGACTTTGCCAGAGGAGGCCCACTGGTTAGTTTGTTGGGCATCGAGAGCCCAGGGCTGACCTCCTCGCTTGCCATTGCCGAGCACGTCGTTGAGCACTCCCTCGGGCTCGACACATCTAGTATTCGGTGACGGCTCTCCGCATTGTACATAATGACTGCAATATCATGCTCTCGGAGTGACCGTGGGTTCCCATGCGTTGATTTTCGGAGCAACAGTGTTGTAGGGTTTATATGCTCCTCGGGTTCCAGTGAGGTTCTCCGTCCAAGGCTAGAAACAAGCAAAAAGACAACGTGAGCAATAGAGAAACAGATGGACTAGAATCTCGGCGCACTTGCTGCCATGGCTGAGCCGACGAGATCATGACCGCGTCCTGCGTCGGCGCGTCCTTGCGGATATGCGAGATCCACGAGTGCCACTCAGGTGGGACTTGGGAGGCGTGGTAGTGATGCTGCGAAAGAGGATACTGTCAAAAGCGAAGCGGGAGGAAGGATTCCTGCGGCGCGCACCTGAGCAAAGTCTACCCATCGCTGCCGACCTGAGCGGGGTTCACATCTGGGCGTAGGCTAGAATAAGCGGCGAGGACGCACCAGGAACCTCTTCCTCAGCATTGTAGTTCTCGTAGTACTTGTTCCCGAACCTGAGCAACTTCCAGTGAGCAAGTAGATTGGGCAAACACGTTCATTGAACGAACTGGTCCGCTCCGACGAAACGTCCGGACTTGGCGTCGCCAATATAATTCAGCTGTCTCCACCACTCCCGGAACCCGACGCGGTAGATGCTCCGCAAATATCGCTGCAACGACGGCATGGAAGGAGAAGGGAAGCAATGATGACGGTGTTGATGCCTGTTTGGGGTCCTGCAGCGGCGAGCGCATCTTGCAGATGCAAGGTGAGATACATACAGATGAATGACTGTGGTTCTAAGTCGTGTAAAGGATACAAACTAACTAAGTGTACCAGATCGCAGAATATAAGCAACATTACTATTACATGCGGCAATGGATAAAGACTCAAAGGCTAGATGAGAGAACGAAATAGTTATGAAATCCAAGAGTCCCAGCCTGAACTACTCGGCATACAACACATGTTTGTCCGTGCCGTCTATCCAAGCACGCAGTTGCTGGTCGTTGCCCAGCTCGACCAGCTCGTTGCTCAAGCTTTGTCGGTATTTGAGCTGGGCAACCTCGCCGCCCAACCGATGCTGGACCTTGTCCATGAGCTCCATATGCGTGACGCGTGGATGCACTCGAATAGCAATGAGATCGTCCGCCACGCGGTCGAATATTTTGATCTTCACAAATGCGGTTTGGGGATTAGCGGCTGATATCGACGGCGAATTCGCGTTGGCAACGGAGCCTGACCGGGAGCGTGATGACATGGAATTAGAGTGTAGAGATGAAGAAGATGGAGACGTCGGCATCACTGGCCGGTTGTTGTTCGATGCTTCGGCCCATCGAGTCGGAGGTGGTGATATAGAGTCCGATCGCCCGTAAGGCTGGTTCTGAGATGAGTTCGAGCCTGTTCGCCGGTGATTGTTGGTCATCGCCTGAACTCGCAGACTGCTGTCGGGGGTCCGCCTGCCGCTCAGTTGACCGTACGGGTTCTGTCCGAAGTTGTCGTCCTCGTAATCCGAGCCATCACTGTGCACAGTCTGCCTTTCATCCACCCGCAGTCTTCCCAAAGAGTCCTGCAACTCATCGTCGCCGTCTTCCCCAGCAGCTAAGATTGCTTCGAGTTCGTCAACTCGGGGCGGCAACGCAGTCTCCATGTCTCCGGGCTTGATGGCGAGGAACTCTCGCACAATGGAATGCTCTAGAACGTACCTGCCGCCCACAGAGCTCAAATCCCGCAAACCGATAACATACTCGTCCAGCTCTGCTCGCCGCGTTGCAGTCAGTGCATCGTCGACGTCCTCAGCTGGGCCCGGCATGAATGGGAGAATTCGAGGGTGCGGTGGATTCCGCCCGGCTTCGCGAGGAAATTCGTTCAAGAGAGAGACTTGGAAATCGTAAAAGTCGTTATAGACGCGAAACAGGATGAGTGATTTGGCAGATGGGAGTGCCCGACCAGGGGCAGCATATGGCTGGTAAACGGCGTCGATGCGGAACCAGTACTCTTCCATCTCGAAATGGAAAGAAACCACGTTAGCGGACAGCAGTAGTCCTTCCGGTTGTATGTCTGCTGTTTCAGTGGAGGAAGGGTCCATCAGCTCGGATGCTGGTGGGGCGATGGTGGCTTCTGAGGATATGGGTGCGATCTGCGTTTTCTGCGTCAAGTAAGGACTGCTCGGGGCAGAGTCTCGTGGGGATGATGAGGAAGGCGGGGCATCGACGACCCCCAGCGCGATGCTGTTCTGCTTGTAATTGAACATCGCCTTTTTCCAATCCTCCACCTTTGGCAAGTCACCACGGTCCATCAGCGAGTTCACATCTTGGATGGCCTGACCCGTCGACGGATCGTGGATCTCCACAAACGACACCGGGATCAGACCAGGCCGTCCAATCCGTCCGATTGGTTTAGCCACGAACCACTCCCGATTTGACTGCGCAACGACGGTAATCGCATCTCCCCGCTTAGCCTCGAGTTCGTCTGCCCTCTCAGCGAAGAAATCGTGCTGAACGATAGCGTAAAAGACCTGGGATTTGAGTGGCGGTTTGGCTTGGCTTGGCGGCCGACCTATGGTGGCCCGCTGACCAGGGGCACTGACGTTGCGCGTACTAAAGGCATAAATTGAGCAAGAAACACGCGTAGAAAAGAGCTGATGACGACTGACGCTGCCGAATCCTTGTTAAATTCCTCGAACAGGGCTTTGGGAACTAGTCCTCGTGCGCCGGAGATGGGGTTATGCGCCTCATAGTAGGACCCCTGCTCTTCATCGCGCAGGACGTGAAAGAAGTCGCCCTTTTGGAAAGGGAGCTCTTGAGGTGCCTGGGGTCGGTAGCCGCTCATAGCACGAATCACTTTCTGAGGCGGCATGATGGCGGCAGGGGGTCGCGAAACCGAGGGGAGGGGCACGGGGGTCGATATTTGAGCCCGCACGCCACCATCCTTGTGTCCGTTGAGAGACTTGCGGAGACCTTTCATTAGCGCCCCGGCGGTGCAAGTAGTACAGTTTGAAGAGGAAGTGAGACAAACAACTATGTATATCGGCTGCACTGCTTCAGAGCACACGTATCTAACGTTCATTCATCCGTCAAAGATGGCAGCAGATCGAGCAGATGTATAGGCTCTCAAGGCACGCTACAATGGGCATATGTCCTCAAACGTCGACATCTCCTACCCTCGCTGCTTTGTTGGTCGCCATCGGCAGCATATGACTCAAAAATCAGATCGAAATTGCACTATCATCTCGTTGTTTCCTTTCAATCACACGGTCATCTGCCCCTCCAGTCCTTCCTCCCATGATCCGTGGACCACAACACACATGACGAATCACGAAACGCCGGCCGGTTGGCTTCAAAGAGGTCCAAGCGCGAACGCAGCTCATGCACTGTGTCTTGAAGGGCCGACGCTGCCATCACGACCTATTTGACTAATGAGACGCTAAATCACGTCCACCGAAGAGAATAGACCTGTCTCAAACGTTAAACGTAGTCGACGGTCCGAGCAAAATAGACCGAACCCGTCGCAAAGGCGTCGTAGGAACTTGTAGCCGAGGTGAAGAGTTGAGTTATGCAACGGCGCACGGATTTGCAAGATAAGATTATGATGTGTCATCGTGACCAATCGAGTGATTGTTGATGCATCAGAGGGCGCAGCCAAGTAAGGGCAAAGCCACTCTTCATTGTCCTTGACCACCGACGGAATGGCGGCCAGGAAACTCCAAAGTCTGTCCTATGACACAGAAATGCTCGATTCTCATATGCTATCTTAGCCGAAATTGACCGAACCCTCAAGAAAGTCTCGGAGGGCGTCGAGCTATTCGAAAGCATATACGACAAAATGCAGGCATCGACAAATCAGGTTCTACCCCTCTGCTTTCTGCAAAACCTTTCGGGCACTCAGTATTCGTTGGCAACAGCCTCAGAAAGAGAAACTCGAGCTGGAGCTGAAGACGCAAATCAAGAAACTGCAACGTTTACGAGACCAGATCAAGAACTGGCTGACGAGTAATGATATTAAAGACAAGAGTCAGTTGCTGGAGAATCGGAAACTAATAGAGACGGTGCGTCTACATACGGATTGTGCTCGTGCACTCCATGCTATTCACAACTCCGGTCCTGTTATGAATACACACTCATCTTGCCCTTCCGGTGTCTTAGCAAATGGAGAGATTCAAGGCGACAGAAAAGGAAATGAAGACGAAGGCGTTCTCGAAAGAAGGGCTTATACAAGCGGCCAAGCTAGATCCGAAGGAGCAGGAGAAGGAGGACACGATAGCCTGGTGTCAAAGTCAGGTCGAGGAGTTGCAGATGCAAGTGGAACAGGCAGAAGCGGAGATCGAGACCCTGCAGGTTACAGGGAAGAAGAAGAACAAGTCGGGATCTGCGGCCAGTCGACTAGACGAACTGGAGACCTTGAACGAGCGACGAAAATTCCACATCGGACGATTGGAAATCATTCTGCGGCTCTTGAATAACGGATCTCTCTCGGCGGACAAAGTGCTGTCGCTGAAAGAAGATGTGCAGTACTATGTTGAAACCAATACGGAGGAGGGCGTCGGCGAAGATGATGGAATCTATGACGACCTCAATCTCGACGAAGAGGAAGAACAATTTGGCATAGCAGCTGAAGACGATGAATCGGACGACTCTGATGAAGCTAGCGAAGGTTTGTTGCCGATCTCAGGCAGAGTCACACGACCTGATGACTTCCTGTAGATCTCCCTCCACCTCGACCGTTGCCAAAGAAGATTGACGAAGAAAGCGCTGCCAATAGCAAAAGTCCAATATTAAAGAAGGCCGCAGTCACTCTACAACTTCGAAGTGAGTGCTAGATCTTTTCTGTGGTCTCCGAGATTGATGAGCCCGCCGCAGAATCCTCGATTGATGGTATATCGAATTGTCGTTCCGGTTGTTCCAAACTTATTGACATCAGCTACACCATCCAAACCTCCACCGCACCCAAATTTTGCGCAACAACCTATGTCAAGTATTTTGAAAGCTGGCCTGCCTTCGGCACCGGCACCGGCACCGGCACCTCCGCCAGCACCAACAAGACAGGCCACGTTGCCAGCCGTGCGGTATTCCGTTGCCGCGGCTGGAGGAAGCAATGTGCATGCTTCTACTTCCTCCCAACCTGCACCCCCAGCACCTGTTGTCATGTCGCCTTCCGCTGGGCGATCTCAAGCAAGTCCGCCCACCGACACAGCGCTGTCGTCACCCAGTCTGACTCATCCTTCCGTGACAAGTCCGATGCTGTCATCGTCTGCCTCCGTCTCTCATCAGCCGGATTTCTCGTCTCCTGCGCTGTCGGAAGGCGTGCCAAGCTCTCTCGGGGACCAGCGGCAACCTCCTCACCGCCTAGACCGCGCAATGGTGTGGCTGCTGTAGCTTTGGACGCACATGTCGCTCACTCATACTCGTAGACTCACCATCACGAGCAGATACCCATTCTCCCAGTGTACGTGGACTGGCCAGTCGTTCCCGGACTGCTGCTGAATCTCTTTGTAGCCACCGTCATCAGCTGCCATACCTCGACAGGTCGGTTTCCTCAACTCTGCTTCACACGGTTAATCAGATCGATTACAGTCTACGCCTCAGTTTCCTCCCGGGGTCAAGATGTCGCAGAGCGAGCAGTCCGTGGGAACAGCACCGTCGCGGACCAGTGCTGGTGCCTTCCCAGGGTCTTTATCGGATCTCGTGGTGTCTTTCGAGGCGGTCAAGCAAAAGGGTTGGTGTGCAGGATTCTCTCACTTGTCCCCGGCTCACGTCCCTTTTACAGCCGCAGTACGGATGTCGAATCTCGATCAGGTGCACAAGATCCTCCAGGGCGGGTATTCCAACGTCCCTCAGCCGCAGGACACCGAAAAGTGTGTTGGGCAAGTCCAGGCTTATCCGATGTGCTGAGCTTACTCAGGGCCAAATACTACGTGCCTCGCAATCCGTTCACGACACAGGCCTATTATCCTCAATCGCCGCATCCCCTGTTGAGTACTGCCGCAATCTTCTCGCAGCTTGACGTAGAGACGCTCTTTTACGTGTTCTATTATCTGCCCGGGACCTATCAGCAGTGGGTGTCCAGGCCGCTCCGCCCCTGTCATGTGAATCTGACGGCGAATTCCCAAGGTACCTTGCGGCCAAGGAGCTGAAGCGCCAGTCGTGGCGATTCCATGTCAAATACTTGACATGGTTCCAGCGACACTCGGAGCCTCAGGCGATTACTGAGGAGTACGAGCAAGGCATCTATGTCTACTTTGACTGGGAGGGATCGTGGTGCCAGCGTAAGAAGTCCGACTTCCGATTCGAGTACCGATATCTGTCGGAGGACTGACTGCGATGGCTCTCGCGTCCCAGGACTCTAACATAATCCACTCCTAAATCGTATCTTCACTCATATATTTCGCGGATGGATATGCACTACGTCAAATTAATCCAGCTTGACCACTGCACCGAGGTCCGCAAAGGCCTTCTTCATCTTCTCGGCGTCCTCCTTGCCCAAATTTTCCTTGAGGACCTTGGGCAGGGACTCGACAAACTTCTTGGCCTGTGAAGCGTGCATGCATGAGATTCGGAGTACCGTAAGTATACGAGCACGACGAACCTCTATTAACGTCAAGTTCGGGACGAGCGCCTTGACTTCACGGATGATCTTGGGCTTAGCAGCCGCGTCGAACGAGTCGAGAACAACGTTGAACACGGTCTTCTCTTTTGGTTTCTGTAGAGAGGTTAGAATGGACGAGTCACCCCGAATCACGAGACACGTACCTCAGCAACCTCCTCCGCCTCGGCAGCAGCAGCAGCAGGTGCGGCGGCCGAAGCCACGGGCATAGCGACTTCCTGGATATTCAGCCGCGACTGCAGCAGCACACCGTCAGCGTCGCTCGTCCAGGGACGGTAGGAGGGCCGCCACGCACCTTGAGATGTGTGACCAAGTCAGACGCCTGCAGTAGCGTCAGCCCCGCAATGTCGTTCACGAGTCGCGAGACGGTGGGGTCGGCGGACGCCTTGGCGGGCGGGGGAGGGGGGGTGGATTTCGGGGCCGCTTCGGTGGCGGTTGCGAGCCATCGAGAGGAGATAGGGTTCCGCGAGGAGCTGTGTGGCTGGTTCGTGCGCGGGATGAGTGCTGAAAAGTTGAGCTACGCACCCGAGGACGAAGTTTGGTCGCGTCGCGGCGCGCAGGAGGGGGGAGCAACGACTCTGTGTACCAATTCAGTCAAAATGGTGAATGCGAGCGAGGTGGTGGAACGTACTGCCATTCTAGAAAGGCGCGTTCTGGAGGTGACGGAGAACAGAGGGAAAACCAGAAATTGGAATCAAAATTGATGTCCTTTGTACATGTGTGGCTGTATGGCCTCTGCCTCGAACTTGCATCAAGATTATTCAGTATGCGACTCGAAGGGTCCTCTCCATTCGCAAAAACGTCGAACTACGATTACACGATGGGTGAAATGACAACGGATAAACGGCCAAATCTTCTCATGGCAAATAGGTCGCAGACTTCTCCGACTGAAACTGGCTACTCTCGAAATCCAGTGGAGGCGGCGAAGGCCGCCAGAAACACAGTGCCAGCAAAATGTCCTGATGAATCATTAGATGAACTGAATGGGAGATGACAGAAACATCGAAATTCGCACTCGCTGGGTTCCGAAGATGCCGAGGATGAATGTCGCGGCGCCGGCGATCACCAAATCAGGCAGTGGGCTCTTAGAGTCGGCCGAGGCCACACTCATGACGCTTAGGCCCATAGCCACGATGACATAAAGCCCGAAAACCATGACTCGGACAGACATGTTGAACTCGAAGGCGGATCGACGGTCTCCTTGCCTCTTCGAGAGCTTGTACAGGATCACCAGCGTCCAAACTAAGGTGGTCAATCCCACTGAATCCGGGACAACGATGTGCCCACCTTCGAGGACGATGGTGGCCATCAGGAGCACCGCTGCGACGATAGTAATCGTTCCTGACCTGTTGAGCCTTGAGACGGGAGACCATGCGCTCCAGAAGACCACACGTACAATGCCGGGAACGCTACTGAGCAATAGAAAAATCGCCGAGTGCGGGACACTCTACTCAGATCAGACGCCCCGATCTAGACTGTGTTCGAGCCAACCTCAATTCATCGTGTGGCAGAGCTCACCATGGCAGTGGCGATCATGGTCAGGCCCAGAGCGATGTATGGCGCCACAAGCATCTGGTGATCGCATCAGTTGTGCCCCCGTGTGCCGTGCGAGACAGACAGACCGTCCATTCCCGGACAGGGTTGGGTTCCAGTTTCACGTTCCGGGCAGCGGCTCGCACAGACAGGAACATCTACACAGCATAGGTCAGGCCAATCAATCACCGGGCGGATACTAAACATACCTGAAGCACAAGCATCAGAGCCAAGAACGGCGCGCTACAAGATATCGTTAGACTGGGCGCATTCAATATGGATTTCACCGACAACGAAGGCATCCCCTGCGTAACCTGTCAGCAAGGGTCATAAATTGCACAGAAAACCAGCGCATACATAGAGAAATGAAGCTTGTGTCAAACAGAGCAGCTTGGATGGCTCGGGGCCCGTCGTCTGGCCCGTGTAGAGACTGGAGCAGATCAAGTCGCAGGCTCGCGACCTCGCTCAGGGACTCACAGAAGACACGAGAAACTGGATAGCAGGGAATAAGAGCGCACTCCCGCGCGTAGAGACGACCACGCACATGCCAATGAGAACGAATCCGACACAGAGATTGATCAGCGTCGGATGCCTGCGAACACGCTTCGAAAGTAGAACCACAGCCAGGAGAAGCGGAAGTCCGAAATGCGAGGGCCACATGTTGAGGAACAGAAACAGATCCAGTTCCGCCTGAGTTCCTTCGACAAGGGAAACGACCGGACCAGTTTCATCTAGTTCACGCTGCTGTGAGGCCTCCGGTCGTAGCATATATCCGCCAAAACACACTTCGAGCAACGAAAGACATTGTGTAGAGCCGAAAAGAAGAAAGCGAAGGTGGAAATGGACTAGACCAGCTTGCAGACGAAGTAGAAAATCACTCTCTGAGTGCTCCCAAGGTGGTGGTTAACGAGGAAGAGGCCACTTGACTTCCATCACACATTTGCGAAACACGGGAAGCAGATGATGTCTGATGCACACCCAACCAAGCCCTGTCAGTGCGGAGACTCTCGGACATGGAGACCGAACTCTGGAACAATTCCAGGTTGAGACTTTGTGCTGTTAGCCTGTTACCAAGCCCCAGTCAAACGTCGAGATCCGCCTTCGAAAGATGGCTTGATGTCCGCCGGAGGACCCGGGCATCACTGTGCCACTGGCAACCTCTTCAACGGCATTTCGAAGGGAGCAGAGTCTGGTATCCATTCACTCTAAATGTTCTCGAGACAAACCGCCAGCCCAAAGTGCGCCCCAGTTCGAGTTGGCCGGCCCGACAGACACTTGGAGACAGGGGTACGCAATCATGTGATTCTGGCTCGAAAGTGGCTGTACCGGAGGGAAACAACTTTCTCTCACACCTGTTTCCCCAGTCCAGATCCGGAGGAGCATCATAAAGCTTCAAATCCATTCACACGAGCAAGCACGAGCACCGGAAGCTAATCACGACCTACAGTATTAGCTACGGCACGGATGCATTTCTATGCTGTTCTCTGTCGAAGATCTAAATGGAACGTGGAAGGAAGTTACGGCGGTGGAATGCGCCATCTCTCGAAATTGCAGGTGTCTTTGAATGCGAGGGGGGCGGGAACTTTCCTGAGATTTCTCAGTGAAAGACTCAAAATTAGTCTCATGCAATAATGGTCGGCAAGTTACATCTCAATGCAATTGTGGAATGGTAGACCAGCCTTCCGTTGTGAAAATCTCTGCCCGCCGCCCCTTCCTGGCTTCCAGTACCGCGTGCAGACGGCGATCGATGGCGGCAAAACTGAGGATTGGCCGGAAGCGGAGAGCTGGAGGTTGAGACTCGAGAACGGCGGGATTGCCGATTCCGAGTTTAATTCGGAAGGAGAAGGAAGCAGCGCGAGGCACTTACGTTTGCACCACTCAGCCTGAGGCCCATTGGCTCTCTCTCGGGTCTATCCCAGTTCTTCTAAAGTTCGTTTTCCCTCGTGCTCGGGCACCTGTTTCGCGCATCGAAGTGCAGCAGGACGAACCTAGCCGCATGCGTCCTTCTGTTTTCGAAAGTTGCATCATCCCACGCAGGCACCCACTTCGAGGTCTTACGCATCATAACCAATCAGCCGCTGCCTTCGAAGCTACGATTCTCGCTCTTAAAAACTTCTCCGACCCGAGTTACTGTCTGTGGCTCCCTGCGTCCTTCCTTCGTCTTCGACCCGGCCTGTGGCTCTCTCTCCCTCGCGCCATCTTCATCCTCCCACCACCATGACTATCGACAACACCATGGGCTCAGCCCTCGTCGGCGTCATCGGGGCCGCTGTGTGAGTCGGTCGAGGCAAACAAACCTTTGGCGCTCTCTCATTCGACTTGTCGCGGTGCGTTCAGGTTATATGGAGGTCTGCTGTGTTTCTTCTTTCTCCGTCTCTTCGCGTTCTGACAGCGTCGGAAGTGTCTTGCGTTCAGACGTGGTATTACTACAATCGATACGGGTCCAAAGACGTGTTGTATGCCGCCCATCTTCCGTTGCGTCTTCAAGATTATTGTTGACACACACGCGTCTTTAGGTATCTCAGAGTTCTTGCAAGTTTTATCCGCGTTCCTCTTCATATCGGCTCTCAACGTCGCGGATTTCTAGGTTGGAGTGGTCTTCGCGTTCGACTCTGTCCATCAAGCGCTCATTTCTCATACTGGTCCGTAATGCTTGCTTGGTCGATGCTGCCTACCGCTTATGCTCGCCCCACCAGTGTATTACTATATTGTATCGAATTTCAACAACCCAGAGGAGCTAGGAAATCTCGTTTGGTGTGTTCTACATTATCGTACCTTTTCATTCATTGACATTTTGCTCAGGAGTATCCTGGTAAGGGCACGACCGACACATCTGTTCGCTTGTTCATCTATTTCCCCAAGCTCGAAGTTTTGTTCAATGTACGTCCGCACCACCAACACCAGATCTTCATTGAGCATACCTTAGGGCCTCATTGGCCTCATCGTCCAAGGGTGAGCGGCGGATTCAGGCGGCGCTCTCAGCGGCTGTTTGACAGGGCCTAGGTTTCTGACCATGAGGGTCTGGCGATTAAGCAATGGCAATCTGTGGCTCACCATTCTTGCGGTAGGCTCTCGATGCCTTCAACAACGTTTAACTTACACTCAACTAGGCGTCGCTGGTGCTCGCCGAGTTCATCTGCTCTGTGGGTAAGACTCGGTCCTCGGAGCGGTCAGTCACAGTCTCTGACGTTTCCCCCTCGGATAGCATTCACCGTCCAGTCGTTCGTCCGCCTGCCCTGCTTGTTTCCGCTCCCGTTCCGATTATGATCCTGATAGCATGCAATTGCACACTTGGGCACAACTAAGTCAACTCAAGGTACGTCTCAATCGCGGCTGAAGTTAGCGCATTTCTCACCGTTCTCAGGGACTATCGATGTCCGTTAACGTCTTGGGAGCTGTCTCCGATTTTACAATCGCTGTCATCCTCGTTCACTATCTGCGGCGCTCTCGGACGGGTTTCAGAAAGTGGGCCTCGATTCTGATTCCACGAGTCTGTGTAGTGATCTCGACATGCATAGATCGGATACGATGATCTCCAAGCTGATCACTTTTGCTGTCAGCACTGGGCTGCTGACCAGTGTCTGTGCCTTAGCCTCGCTGATCTCGGTCAGTGCCACCTTGATTCTGCTTCCGCTATGGCTAATTGACCTAGATCTTGGCGTGGGGCAACACTTTGATTTATGTTGCTTTCTACTTCAGCCTTGGACGGCTCTATTTCAACACGGTGCTATCTACGCTCAATCTCAGACAAGTACATTCTCTCCGCGCTGTCCGCATCACGCCATGGGCTCATATACCCTTCCCAAGGACATTCGAGCGGCCGCCGACGATCCTGAAGACAACACGTACTCCCTCGAACTGTCCAAGCGTCAGATCTCGAGCGCCGTCAAGGTCGGGTTTCTCCACAGTCGCGAGAGCTACTCGAGCTGAATGCATTATCGCAGCCGCCAACGATTTCCATCAAAATCGACACGTCACACGAAGTGGAAGCTGAGCATCGGTCGGAAGTAGGTCAAACTGTACCGCTTCGACTTCCTTTTTACTGAATCTTTGCTTTTCACAGCAGTCATGCAGCACCGCTGAAAAATCGCAGGAGCTCGAGGAGGAGCTAGGGATGTAATGGAAAACCGGGTTGATATCTGCTGTATATATCGTGGAAGAACTGGGGACGAACATTGACTGTCTGTACTTACTGCTGTATTTTTGTATCCCAAAAGCAGACGAGCCGCGTCACGCGCCTCGTGTCGAACTTTACCTCACAGAGGCTCCTCAGTCTGCAGCGTGCCGGGGAATGGCACCGAATCCGACATTGCCCTGTCCAAGTCGACACCTTCTGAACCCAGGCAAGACATGCCCACCAGATCAGAACTTTCTCTTGACCTCCACGTTTTTTCACCAAATCGCGCACTCTCTCTCACGGAATCTAGGCCAGGGACTCACTGGCCACCAGAGCGGACATTAGCTGACGCTGGCGGGGCATTACGTCTGCCATGTGTATCGGAGCAGCTCTCTTTCTCACCCGCATGCGCTCAGAAACGAATCTCGTAATGCAAACCTATTGCTGGATCGGGATTCCCTGTCGACAGCGCGGCGATTGCCTCGGCCTTCTTCGCAACTTCAAACGCTTTTGCGAAGAACCACGATTGGCTGGCCCTAGCCCAACCAACAAACATGGGTTGCCATAAAGTGCGTTTACCCTCCGAATCTCGACCGTGCGACCCTCCCCTCCCGTTCAAAATTCCTCGCCATGCCCGGCTCCCTTCTCCTCGCGCTGGATGGCTGTGCCTGCCTATGCCTGGTGCTCCTCTTGCGACGTGCTTGGTTGGCGCGTCGATCTCCAGCGCCTGCCCTTCCGCCTGGGTAATTTCGCTGTCCTCTTCCATGTACCTGTCCGCTGAATTATGGTGTCCAGCCCTAAAGGCTTGCCCCTCATCGGGAACGTGCTCGATATGCCTTCGGAGCAGGAATGGCTTACTTTCTCCAAGTGGTCCGACACCTGGGGTATGTATTGCTTTGACCGCGTTCTCAAGTTTTAAACCCCTGCTTCTAGGTGATATTTGCAGTGTTAGTGTCTTCGGAAAAACGCTGGTTATCGTCGGCTCGGCTCAGGTCGCTATGGATCTATTGGACAAGAGGAGCGCATACTATTCTGATCGCCCCGTGAGTTCCGGTATCTCAATACCCCGCTCAGCCACTGATACCGTCTAGGTTTGCACTATGGGTGGGTTCTGTTCTTGTATCATATGGTGCATCGGCTGATTGGCTGCACCAGGTGGCGAACTCGTCGGTTGGAGAAACACTCTAGTATTGCTGCCATATGGCGACCGCTTCCGACGGTTCCGACGCCTCTTTCACAGCATAATCGGCAGCCGGGCCTCCATGCACCAGTTTTTTCCAGTAGAGGAGTTCGAGACTCGGAAATTCCTTCGTCGCGTGCTCGCTAAACCGGACGAGCTATCACAGCACATCCGCAAGTGTGTTCCCGCGCTTCATATGCTTTCCGTAGTCTCAAACTGGTCTGTAGAACCGCCGGATCGATCATTCTGCGCATCTCACACGGATACGAGGTCAAGGAACACAACGACCCTTTCGTCCATCTGGCCGAGCAAGCGACCGAGCAGTTCTCGCTCTCGACGGCCCCCGGTGGATTCATGGTCGATCTTGTTCCAGCCTGTGCGTAATGACAGCCCAAAGTTCGGTCCAGAACGCTCATTAGGTCTTTTGCAGTGCGCCACGTCCCGAAATGGTTTCCGTTCACAGGCTGGCGAAGCAAGGCCGAAGCTTGGGCGATGACGCTGATCCAGATGGTCGAACAACCTTACAGTTTTGTCAAATACCAGATGGTTCGTGCCTTCCTTTCTTTCCGTGAACGTCGCGACAAAGCTTTTCGGACAATCCAGGCCTCGGGTACGGCACCGGTGTCATTTACGTCCACTTTTCTGGAGTCCAAGGTTCTGAGCGAGGACGACGAGTTCGATATCAAATGGGCGTCCGCGTCTTTGTATAGTGGTGAGTTTTCATGGAGGTTGGAAAAAAGCATACAGGAAGCTGAAATGAGATTTCTAGGCGGTGCCGACACGGTATGTACCGATCGGGTCAATTGAGCTGCACCATCCAACTCCGTTCAAGACAGTGTCTGCGATCTATGCCTTTTTTCTCGCTATGGCACTCAATCCGACTGTGGTCCTCAAGGCACAGCAGGAAATTGACAAAGTTGTGGGTCAGGATAGACTGCCGGCCTTTCGGGACCGAGATGATCTGCCTTATGTAGATGCTCTTGTCAAAGAGGTGCGTCGCGTCCTTTATCCTCAATCCAACTGACAGTTGGACAGGTGCTCCGCTGGCATTCAGTCGTTCCTACGGGCGTGCCCCACCGCGCCATGCGTGATGATGTGTACAACGGGCATTTCATCCCTAAGGGTGCTCTCATCATCACGAACATCCACCGACTCACACACGACCCGCGAGTTTACCCCGATCCAACGGCCTTCAGGCCTGAACGCTTCATTGCTACCAAGGAAAAGGCCGCAGAGCCCGATCCGCGCAACTTTTCTTTTGGCTTTGGCCGTCGGTGCGTTGGTTGCCAGGCTCTCCTATTAGGGAAGATTTGACCCTAAATCTCGCTGTAGAATCTGCCCGGGAATGCATCTCGCCGACGCTTCATTATTCATCACATGTGCGATGTCTTTGGCAGTGTTCGACATCGCGGCATGCGTCGAGAATGGCAAGGTTGTCTTGCCGGAACATAAGAACACAACAGGAACTATCAGGTACGACGCGGAAAACGCTTCGGGCGTTCAGTTGAAGTGCTCAACCTTGTTTGCAGTCATCCGGTTCCCTTCCGCTGCTCAATCAAGCCTCGCTCAGAGAAAGCGTTGGAACTCATCCAAGCAGAATAAACTCGGGAGCTTCCTTCCTTCTTGTTTAAATGAGCGTCGGTTATTTATGATATCCAAGCAATTGTATGTATTTTACTTTGCCAGTGAATTATGGATCAATTTGGCTGTTATGATTCTTATGAACGTCTTGTGGCGCAGAAGCGGGATTCAAAGTCGACGAGTCAGAAGAGCGGTGGTCATCGGCGGCAAGGGGGAGTGATGGTTGGGATGGAGCATCGTGTTTTTCTGGGCTGCCTTGCGATGGATCGGCGTTGCGGAGGATGCGTTCAAGAGAACTGCGGACTCCCATTTTGAACTGATCATCCGCAAGCAAGGGAACTTCTCCAGCGAAGCGGTCGATGATGGGGAAACTTCATAAGGGAGCAGTCAGCCCTGGCTCGAGATCAGGAACGGTGCTCACCGATTCACCTCCTGCACAAGTTCCTTCAAGTAATCGTGACCACTCGAAATGGACGTGTCCAATCACAGGAAGTACCTTGACGATCATGTTCTGCGATGTGTTCGCGAGCTGTCCGGAGTCGAGTCGTTGACGAGCGATCTCTTCAACACGAGTCTTGAACGCATCATATCCAGTCTTCAACAGAGACTAAGCCAAGTGTGCCGCCTCAAAAGTCAAGGGAACAAACAGAGCGTTGAGCACTAGCGATGAGTTCGCGCCGCCACTTGTCAAACTCGCCAGACTTTTTTATTCTGTGCGACGTGATGGTGAGACCGGGTATAAGCAAGCCTATGTAGGCTTGGGAGCGACCGACTCTTCCACGAGCTCTGCGGGGTCTGTGATGGCCATGGGTAAAGAGAGACCTCGATAGCCGAGGCCGGCAACGATCGTCCGTTGACGCGAATCTGATCGATGGCATGCTAAATTTCTGGATCGGCTCGACGCGTCGCTCATCCTTCCTCCCTCACCTTTGAGCGATTTGGGTATCTTATTCCATCGCCTCCCTACTGCGTGTGCCTCAGCTCACCTTGCTACATCCATCACGACTAAGATGGCACCCCAATTTCCACCTTTGAAGAACGATCTGCTGTTACGTGCGGCCCGAGGTACGTTGCATCCATTACTCAATACGCTCATCGTCGAAGGCACTCATCGGAACACGCAGGTGAAAAAACTGAGCGCGCGCCGGTATGGATCATGCGTCAAGCAGGTCGTTATCTCCCAGGTCTCATTCCACCAGCCGGTTTTGTGTGACCTGGAACTGAAGACGATCCTCCAGAGTTCCGCGAGTTGCGCAAGGATCATGCCTTCTTCGACATCTGCAGAACGCCCGCCCTCGCAACTGAGATTACTCTTCAGCCGATCCGCCGATTCACCGGTCTCATTGACGCCGCGATCATCTTTTCGGACATCTTGGTCATTCCGCAGGCCATGGGTATGGAGGTCCTCATGAACCCAGGCCCCGAGTTTCCGGATCCTTTGAACACACCCGCGGACGTGAGCAAACTCCGAACGGTTGTGGACGTCGACAAGGAGCTCGGGTACGTCTTTGAGGCGCTAACTCAAACGCGCATCGCACTCGCGGGGGAAGTGCCGCTGATCGGCTTCTGTGGCGCCCCCTGGACGCTGTTCATGTACATGATTGAGGGTGGCGGCAGCAAGACGCACCAGAAGAGCAAGACGTGGTTGTACAAGTACCCGGAAGAATCTAAGGCATTGCTTATGCGCATCGCGGATATATGCGTAGACTATCTCGTCGGTCAGGTTAAAGCCGGGGCACAGGTGAGTTTTTGGTGCTATTTTCGTGACTATTACCAACGGCGAAACCTCGATCTAGATTCTGCAAGTATTCGATTCCGTCGCAGGGGAACTGTCCCCTGACGATTTCGACGAGTTCTCTTTCCCATCCTTGGTACACATCTCTACACATGTTCGCAAGCGGCTAGCTCAAGAGAACATACCCGCTGTTCCAATGACGCTCTTTGCCAAGGGCTCCAACTACGCTCTCGCTTCGTTGGCTGAGAACTCGGGCTACGACACGCTGGGGTTGGACTGGGCGATCGATCCTGCTGAGGCTCGGAGACTTGTGAAGGGCAAGGTTGCGCTCCAAGGGAACATGGATCCGAGCTTGCTTTATGGCGGTCGCGTCGCAATTGAAAAGGCTGTCAAGCGGATGTGTGCGAGGTTTGCGGTCGAGGGAAACACCCAGGCCTGGATCGCAAACCTCGGTCATGGAATCACTCCCGCCGTTGATCCTGAGGACGTACGATGGTTCTTCGAGTGCGTGCACAAGTATTCGAGCCATAACTCTTCGTGAGCACGAAAATGTGCTGGTACGGTATGCCTAGGTGTATCCGCTGTGTAGATGAAATGAATGCAACAGAATCTATAATCTAATCTGTCACGATGATGCCATCATTTTCTATCTTCTCCCAGCCTTCAGCCTCACTCATTATCGAACATCTTAAATGGAATGGATTCCTGGCCTGTCGGACCGAATTTCAAGAGCAAAGAGAAAGCATATCCCATCTTGAGTCACGGCGCGAAGACCTCCGCTACCTTATTAGAGCACTCTGGTCGATTCGATTGGTCATTTCTTGGTACCAATGCAACGCAAGGTAATTGCGCGCGTCGTACTCTTTCGAGCAGGCCTCTCAAATCCGTGAAGCACAGGAAAGGCTTAGCATTAGCAAGCCAGCTGTCATGTTTCCCGCGACGCGTGCGCCGCCCCTCGCAGTACCGGAAATCTCAGTCCGTCATCGTGCAGAACAAGGCGTATGTTCTCCACTCGGCAATATATCCGTCGTTTTGACACCGACACGTATACAGGCCCATTATCTTCAGACTTTTCTCCCTGATCTTGAAATACCGGCTGAACTGATCCGCGACGAACTCACAAACGATGCCAACTTCCAACGCGATTCTCAAGCATTCGATGCCTTTGCGGGGAACAGACTGGAGGTTGTTGGGGTCGAAAGGCCTGAAGTTGTCTCAGCACGCAATTTGCACCTTGCGTTTCCCATGGGTGAACTTAGCTGTGATCTCAGTGAGTACACTTGACATCACCGGCTTTGTTCTCATCCAAACTCAGACATCTCCCCCTGGACAACCGATGAATCTCAGATCTTTAGACCTGCTGCTCAGTCAGTAAGAACCTTTGACACGCCGATTCAGCAGATATCCGCTTCCAAGCCAAGTGAAGGGAATACGCAATGTACTGTATCTGTTACATCTCATCCCATAGAATTGACAACCATTCTAGCTTCATCCTATCTTAGTGTTCGTACGTTCGGGGCGACCTCTCTGCTCAAATTACGTGGGCTCGGCGATACTAGCAAGCTACGAGTGCAAGAATTTGCATCCATATCCTCCGCCCAGATTGGTGGCAAGCCCGCAGTCGATGTCAAGCATCTACCTGAATCGAACCTGCTCCTCGTGAACCGCTGCGGACAAGTTTATCACTGCAATTGGGATGCAAATACTACGTAAATTCGCATTTGAGACCGACTGCCGTAGCTTACGCGCCGCAGAATCGTCGACCATATCTTGAATGATGCAAATCCAAGCGATCCATTCTGGAGGCTCGAACTAACCGATCGATCGGATGCATGTTGGCTCCTGTGCAAGGAGAACCTTAGAGAACTTGACTTGAGGGTGAATCGTTGTCGGCTACAGCTCTTTGCGGCGCTACTCACATCGATCAGTCTCGACAATCTGTTTTGGACATCGCTTTCGGGGAAACATACACTTCTGTCGAAGACTGTACACAGGACCACCTGTTGCGTCTGTGCTCAACTTCACATCTCACCTGGTTCGATCGTCGCAAGGCTTCACAGCCTGTCCTCGCCTATAAGCATCATCGCTCGTATGATCGGACGTTAGAAGCTAAAACCATCACAATCGGAAACAGTACGCACAATGGGTCATGGTCTTTTCCTTGGTCTCATGAGATGTGAAGAACATTATACCACCCTATCTTCGAAGGACAACGGTTTGGTCACGATCTACGATGTTTCCAACGCCGGTCTTATTAGTGCGAATGACTCGCCGTTTTGTCTATCAGCTACTGTTCCCGGCAAGCAAATCGGGCAGATCTTCCTGAAGAGCGATTCTGATGTCAAATTTCTGCGATTGTCTGATTTGGGTGCTATCCACGGCTGGCAAATCACGGACAAGCATCCCGTCGAACTCAAGGTGGATTGGTCTGAAGATGTCCGTCGATTGCACTCCGAGTCAGCTGCACTTCGGGACGAACCCACTCGACTAGGCGCTCATCAGCCCACTCTCATCGATTTATCTCCAGCTTACGAGAGTGTGTGATTTTACTTCGATCCAAACTTGCGCTCATCTACTCTGTGTAGAGATATTTTATCCCAAGGATGAAGACGAACTAGAAGAATCGGCAGAGGCTCTGTATGACATGATTGAAAAAGCGCCGACCTTGTCTCAGGAAGAGACAAACGAACGGGACAATGGAATCCGAACCACGTGCGTATCTTCATTTCCCTCCGTGTAGATCCTGGCTCAATACTTGCAGGTTCGATCTGCTATTTCAATCCGGAGAGAAGCCTGCTCAGGTCGCTCGGTCTGACTTTCTCACCGAGACAGTCATTGATTCAGAACGGGCTTATCACGCGTTGCTTCAGGGCCGGCTTTCATCCAGTACTCTCCAGGGCAGCTCAAAATGGACTCATGATCACTTGGAAACATTGAGGGCATTCGATCACACTTATGTAGCCGACCCTCGCTCCTTCGTCGACAACTTGCGGCAATCCGACCCTATTTCCGACTCGGACCGAGCGGCCAGCTCTTTGAGGCGTGAGACAAGGGCAAGAGAACAGCTAGCCCTCGATCTCTCCCTGGCCCGGAATATCTATTCGTCACGGCCGTTCCACACCGCTGAAGAGGCCGATCAAGAACTGGAAACTATGACAGCAGTCATGTCTCTCGCCGACGAGCCGGCCCAATTCAAATTCGCCTTCCTTCGTCCGGTGGTGCATCCAGAGGCAGTAGTGACAGGAAAGTTCGGCGAGGAGATTGTTCCTTCCTCAGTCCGGTCACTGCTCAAGGACTGGGATGTGGGTACAGACCCTAAAAAGCACTTGTTCAAAGACTTCGATGAAGAACTCAGCGTCGCAGGCAACGCTCCTCTGTCCCATAACCCTACAAAGGGCCGTTTTCGACCTACACAGGATGTCAAGTCGCATCCTCCTTTGATTGGGTTGAGCCAGCCAGTGGCTAATCGACACAAATTCCTCTCTCAGGATCGGCCGATGCTGCAAGATCTGGCAGTGCAACGGCGACCTCCACTGGTTTCCGGCAGTCAGCCCATGGAAATCGACAAGGACCGGTCCCAGTCTCAGGAGATGATGGCCAGCACACAGATCTTGCCCGGGGCATTTGGCGGGCGGCCAGCCATCAAAAAGAAGGTCAAAAAACGGATTGGTGGTTTTTAAATTAGTACATCGGCTGGATTCAGGCGAAATATGTATGTACTATCCAATTCGATCTCCTACGATCAGTGCCAACATTGTGTGAGGCAGACCGTAGACAAGGGCTGTTCAGGTCAAGTCATCAATCGGTCGTTTCATGACTCACGGGAAAGTGTACTCGGACAAACGTCAGTTGAACCTGGTTCCAGTTACAGATATGGGGCTGGTTTACTAATGACTGCCTCGCATCTTCTTATCATGCGCGGTCACGAATCTGATCTTGCACCGTCACAGGTTATGTGACTGTACATCTCATTAGTCAGCATCATCTGATCTCTGTCCCCTCTGTAATTTCTCCCGTTTGCCGTCGTGCTCCTTCAAGATGAGGTCAGTCGTCTCTCACTATTCTTCAGATCTCTACTGACACGATGGACTCTCTCCAGTCACCGTAAGGTCTGTAAAATCTGCGCAATTTCAAGGCTCGCATCTCATACAGCCACTTTTTCAGTTCGAAGCTCCCCGTCACGGTTCTCTTGGTTTCCTTCCCAAAAAGCGCGCCGCGCGCCACCGCGGAAAGGTCAAGTCCTTCCCCAAGGCAAGTCTCCCTTGAATTATGATCACGACGATTGTTTCTGAACGCGACTTGCGCAGGATGACCCCAAGAAGCCGGTGCACTTGACTGCTGTTATGGGCTACAAGGCTGGTATGACACACGTTGTTCGTGACCTTGACCGTCCTGGATCGAGTACGTTAGTCTGCCATTGGTTATTGTCATCGTTCAAACCATGGGCCCTTTAGAGATGCACAAGAAGGAGATCGTTGAGGCCGTCTCTATCATCGAGACTCCCCCCATGATTGTCGTTGGTGTTGTTGGTTACGTTGAGACTCCCCGTGGCCTGCGCACTCTCACCACCGTCTGGGCCTCCCACCTTTCCGATGAAATCAAGAGGAGATTCTACAAGAACTGGTACCGCTCGAAGAAGAAGGCGTTCACCCGGTACGCCAAGAAGCATGCTGAGGACAGCGGCAAGTCCACTGCCCGGGAGATCGAGCGTATCCGCAAGTACTGCACGGTCGTCCGTGTCCTCGCACACACCCAGATCCGCAAGACCGGTCTCTCGCAGAAGAAGGCCCATCTTATGGAGATCCAGGTCAACGGAGGCTCCATCGCCGACAAGGTCGAGTTTGCGCAGGGCCTGTTCGAGAAGCCTTTCGAGGTTTCGTCGGTGTTCGAGCAGGACGAGTGTGTCGATGTTATTGCTGTTACGAAGGGTCACGGATTTGAGGGTGTTACACACCGTTGGGGAACGAAGAAGCTGCCGAGGAAGACACACAAGGGTCTCCGTAAGGTCGCTTGTATCGGTGCATGGCATCCTTCCAAAGTCATGTTCTCGGTTGCTCGTGCCGGTCAAAGTGCGTGCTACCAGCCGCTCTCTGATTCATATGCTAAGTTACTCTTGGTTTCCAGACGGTTACCACCACCGAACAGAGATCAACAAGAAGATCTACCGTGTTGGCTCTGGTGTCGATGACGGCAATGCGTCGACAGAGTCTGATGTGACCAAGAAGTCTATCACACCTATGGGTGGTTTCCCCCACTACGGTATCGTCAAGAACGACTTCCTGATGCTCAAGGGCTCTATCCCCGGTACCAAGAAGCGTGTCATCACCATCCGTAAATCGCTCATGGTCCACACCTCTCGCCGTGACCTCGAGAAGGTCCAGCTAAAATTCATCGACACTTCTTCCAAGTTCGGCGTAAGCTTGAATGACTACATGCGTCAGCAAACGGCTAATAAGATTGTTTGCAGCACGGTTCGTTCCAGACATTCGAGGAGAAGGCGGCCTTCCTTGGTGTTCTCAAGGTCAAGTCGCAGTAGATGTTTGTACCTATGCATACGCCATGTCCACACTATCTTTCTGCTACTCCATATGTGCTATGCATCATCAGTTCCCTGGGAATTGCCTGAAAGTTCAAGTCGAGATGGATTTTGAAGGACCCGCGAAGGCACGTGATGCATCACGCTTGGGTAACAGTCACACACATACGCTTCCTGGAAAAAGTTGCTGGCGCGTCCCACGACGTGAATAGAATCTCAGGAGGCAACCAAGGCCACTGTGGGGGTGAATTTCACGCTGGGATTGTACGTATAACCTGCCAGTTCTCTCCTCAGTCCGCGCACTGATGAGTATGTGTGTTACAGGATGACTTTAGTTGATGCGCAGAGCCTCTTCGCTGGGCACTGTCCTCCATCCAGCGCGCTCTGTTCGGCATACGCATCCTCCTCCACCATGTGCCGTACTGATCCGGAAATATCGTTCAATGCCGGCTCGTCCGAGCGACCAAGAGCGGATGGGCACCGACGTATTCCGTGGAGAAGACGCAGAACCCCCGGCACCGCCGACCTCAGTCTCACCAGCTGCCAGCAAACTTGGAAAAAGACCTGGTGGATTCCACCTCCCCGACCCTGCCCCTCTTCCGCTTTCCCTTTCCTCCTCTCGCTTCCAACTTGTTACACAGCAAGCCGCCAAGTACCCGACCGGAAAAGCCTGGCAGCGTCTGCCGCTCCCTATCATTCACACGAAAATCATCAAATTCCAGCAGACCATCCGTCTGGGTGGGGGCTGCGACGATCCTTTCGACGACCTCGATCTGCCGTTGCTGTTCGACATCGAGCGGTCCGTGCGTATGCGTGTCGACAGAGTCGCGTGGAGGAGGGACCTTCTGCGCGTCTTGGGCAACACGCAATCGTACCCGCAAGGCTGGATGGCGTACAACGCCCTCATGTCCATTCCATTTTCCATCCCGCACCGACACTTGAACCGGCTCGTGCGCCTGATGACGCAAGAAGGGACGAAGACGCGCAAACTTTTCGGCCGGATGTTGTCGGTGTTTACCTCGATCCACCGGAATGGGTGGGCGATCGAGGGATACCAGTGGAACATCCTGATAGACACTGCTGGCAAGGGCTTCCGGAAAGCGAGACAGGAGGATTTCAAGCGCGCGTTTGACGTCTTCACGGACATGGTGTCGGCGAGAGCGCCCGGCGCCACCATGTCCTCTAAATACAGCGCGACTTGGGGCTATGATGAGGATACAGGCGGCCACGAGCAGAATGTCCTGCCCGACGTGTATACTTACTCGACACTCATCAATCATGCCGTGAACACTCGCCACGGCGACACAGTCCGACAATCGACATCCCTCCTGACCGCATCGAGACTCCCCCCGAGCCGGGTCACCCATCTCACACTGCTGAAACATCATACAAACGAGGGAAGCCTTGCGGGCGTGCGCGCGAGTCTGCTCAAATTGCGAGAGCAGCAGCAAGAATTAGGGATTGACGGGCTGAATGCCTGCATGTGGGCATTCTCGCGCCTTGGTTATATGGAGGTGGCGCTGAACATATACCGTGTCCTGCGGCACAACATGGTTGCCGAGACCCTGGTGGGGATCGACGATATCTTCATCGTGCGGCGGTCCCTGCAGAATGAGGGGATCGAGATCCCTGAGTCGATGGTGCCCAACGAAGTGACGTACACAACTGTCGTGCAAGTCGCCGCCTACCACGGCGATCTCAAGACTGCGCTCACTGCCTTTCAAGACATGTTGTCCTCTCAGAATTCGGAGATCGGCGCTCGGATCTACAGAGACGAGTTTGGTAAACTACAGCCTGTGGTTTACTCGCCCACGCTCCCCGTTTTCCGGGCCATTTTCTTGGGATTCTCGCGGCACGGAGTGGTCGAATCTATAGCAGAAGAGACACAGCCGTGGGACTTGAGCAGCCTGCATTCCATGTTTGATGTATTCTTGGCCCTGCCGGAACACGTGAAACCGAATGTGTCTGTCCTGTACTGGGTTCTCACTGCGTTTGACAAGACGAGTAACCGAGATCTTGCGCTCCTGCGTTCAGTCTGGACTCGTCTCGAGGACCGATTCGGAGAGAACTGGGGCGGGAAGGGGCACCGATTGCGCCGCATTCGGGAGTCGCTGTTTACAGACGGCGTGTCGAATCATCACAACCTGGAATAGTGCTATATACATACATACAATCTACGCATTCTGCTGATTTCTCCAACCAATGTATTCGGCCCATGTCACACTGTGCTTGCGTGACTGGTACCGTTGCAGCTTGATGCTCCGACGCAGATCCTCTGTGATCGTGCCATTCCATCCCGCTTTCTCGATCGCGCTATCTACCGCCTCCCGCTTATCCCAGCCCTGTTCCGGTGCGATTTCCGGCAGGTACGTCGCACTGAACTTCTGGCGCGATGTGATTGGCGGCAGATGCGTCGCCGAGGAGAGGGGCGAAGGTGTGACCGAGGTCGCAGTGAGCAGCGATGGGTGCGGGAAGGATATCGATATCCCGTGTGTCCCGAGAGTCCAGTCTAGATACGAGTCCGCGTCTTCGAAGTCGGTCAGAAGCGAGACCCTGTGGCTGTGAGAGGACGCGCGGCACCCCGGTAGGCGGGAGGGGCTTACGCGCATTCGAGCGTCTCCAGCTCGCTGCGCTCTATGCGGCGGAACCGGTGATCTCGGAACGCGCTGACGAGCGCGAACTCGGCCAAACCGTCGTGCAGCGTCAGAGCCTGGAAACTGCCTATGCAGCCGCGCAGTCGAGGGGGGCGATTGGAGCGAAGGGTGTTCCATGTGACGAAGAGAGGACTGTCATCGAATATCTAGCACGAGATCTAATACAGTGAACGAGCATAGACTGACTACTTGTCGTCAGCGAAGCTGGGCTTGATCGGTGTTGCCGACGTAAGTGCGCAGTACAGCGCGTCAAAGGCGTGGAAGCAATGTTCTGCGGTGCATACAGAGTCACTGGACTCATCTACCAACTCGGGGACCGGGGACATGGGGGGCAGAGGGAGACCAATAAGAGCCTAATCGGGGAAAGTCACGGACAAACAAGGGCGTTAGAGCATGATTGTATGTTCGTCCTAATCTCTGAGAGTTAGCAGCGCTTTGATTCCCTGTCCTGTTTGCCAGGGGCTCAAGTTTAAACGACACAATCCGAGATTCGGACGGCCGGAAAGAGCTTGTGCTGCAGCAGGGAAATCTGATCTAATCTGACGATCACATCTAATCTTCTGTGAGGAATTTCTGGAAAGAGCACGATTCGAGGGATATTCATACACTATACGCGGGAGATAGGATATATGTACAGACATGCATGTAATAACTATGTGGCGGTACTGGTATAGCTGACAGTGGAATAAAGCGAGAAATAACCAAAGACTCAGGTAGGCATAAGGAATAAATGAACGGACGAGACCGGTGGGTACACGATACCATGTCAATGCAGGTGAGAGTGAGTCATGAGAAAGGAAATCGATGTGCGGAGTATACAGATGTAACGAGAACGGCAGTCGGAAATGAGAAGGTTCACGGAGGAACAAGATAGCCCAGGGCGCGATCTCAATCACGCACCAGGCGCCCAGCACCCGTCCTGGACCTCTGTGAGAGCAATGCGCAATGTCATCGCCATGGCTGTGCCCCCAAATGCCATGGGGGTGGTAAAATCGGTCTTCAACAGCATCCCCATGCCCGACCCGATGTACCGTTCTGCTTCGCCTTTTCCCTGTCGTCGTCATCGTCCGCTTGGCTGCTCCATGCAGGCGCGATGGGATCAAGAAAGACACTATCCCTTTTCCTCGCTGTGTTCTCCTGCTCGATTTCGTCTTTATGGAGAATGATTGCACTGATGAGATGCTCAAAAAGATTCTTGATGCCTGCAGATGGACGTAGTGAGTAAGATAAGACGATAAGGCCCGGAAGACGAGAAAGGGATAGCACGGATGTACCATCGCAGAGATGGGAATCGCCAAAAGTTCCAGAAGCATGGACGGGGAAACTCACCAGTGTCATCCTTGGCGGACACCTCAAACAACTCCATCCCTTTACTCAAACCCCATTCCCAGCCCTTTCCCACTGCATCTTCATCTTCATCTTCTTCGCCGCCATAACCCTCGTCCTCCCCATTACTGTTACTTCGACTCTCATCCTCATGCCACCCGCCAACTTGGAAGCCAAAATGGGAACCGAAGCGCGATCGTTGTGGGGGAGACTGTGAGTGGCCTGTGCGTGATGACACGGCCGATGGACGGCTGATGGCCGATGGCCTGGTGGTGGGAGATTGCAAGTCCAGATACGCGGTACGAGTAGTTGTTGATTCTGTCGAATCCTTTCTCTGTCCTGTTGCCTTCGCTTGCGGACTGATTACGGGTGCTGAGCGCAGTCCCGGGAAAGAGGTAAAACGTGGGCGAATGTAAGCGAGCGTGCTCATCTGCGGCGGCGGTGGCGGTGGTGTCGGAGGTCGGGGTGGCGGAAACCAATTATGCAGTTGCAAGCGTGCGAGATCAGGTGTAACTTGTCTATGTTCATGAAGGTCCGCCTTCGAGCCGACGATGTAAATGAGTAGCGAAGGCGGACAGTTCTTCTTGAGCTCTTAGAGGATGACATGAATGAAATGAACTGTCTCGCGCAATCCCATTGACGTACCCTGCAACCAGCCACGAATGTCGTCGAATGTGGACGCGTTAGTGATGTCGTAAAGCAGTAGAGCCGCATTTGCGCCTGGGCGGAGATCAGCGCACAATGCTAGACCTCCAGAACACTGCGCACGAACCTCGGTAGTACATAGGTGCCTGCCCAGAGAATTTGGTCAGAATCGGAAAGGAAAACGGGACTAGTGAGGCGTACCATGCTCCGGAACCGCTCCTGGCCCGCAGTGTCCCATAGTTGGAGACGAACTTTTAGTCCGTTGACTTGGACCTAGCTGGGATTAGATGGTCGTCGAGGAAGAGAATAGGTCAAAGGTCCACCTTCTTTGTGACGAAAAAAGCGCCGCTGGTGGAGGTAGTGTTCTTGGGCTCGAACTTGTTCTGGGTGTATCGTTGTAGCAGGCTCGTCTTGCCCACACCTAGCGACGCGCGATGTTCGGTAGGGAAGAGAGGGTGTGGGGTAAATGGTAGCAACACGGGATGAAGGAAAGGAGTAGATGGCAAATCAGCTTAGAAGGTTGAACGAAGCCTACACAAGAGACGTACCAGAATTGCCCATAACGACGATCTTACTATCGACGCCTTGCTCGTAGCGAGAGCGCGAGTAAGGATCCATTCCCGTTAGTCGGTCGTATTGGGCCATCGTGGGTGAATTCCACGCAATATCGATCGAAGGTGAAGAGTGGGAGTGCAGTTATGTAGTCAATTGACGCCTCGTAAACGTCAAGAGAGGACGGATGAGGCGGAAGACAGGTAAGGCGAGATGGTGGCCAGCCGTTTACGGTGTGTCTGCAGGGAGAAGGGGAGGAGGAAAGAGGGCCTTGCCGCACCAAGGCGGGAGTCTCTGGGAGAGGCTCAAAGGTGTCACTGTTGTTACACACGGAGCACGTGCGTCGATGCCGCTCTGCTGCAGATCTCCCTTTCTGGCCGACCTTTCAGGCGAAGCACCACTGCTAAGTATTAGCGACGCACGCGGCTGAGCAAAGGAATGGGGATTCTCGCTGCCGGTGAAGGATGAGAGTAAAGACGACAGAGCGAATGTCAAGTGTTGTATAAGGTGTACAGAGTCCGGGCCCGATTATGTGGAGTGTCTCGCTCAGAAGTCGGACCTTGGCGAAGTCCGTTGGCATGGAGTTTCATCCGGCGTCCTTCAAGAATCAAAAGACACCTTGGCGGCGCGAATTGAGGATTGGAATCACGTCCCGCACGGATACGTTCACAGGGCGATCACTCTATCAGTCCACTGCATGAATCGGCGCGTCGGACCCTTCCTCTCATAGTGCACCCGGCGACGAGCCTGTATCCTCGAATTGCTCTCGCACGCCTAGGGTCATTGTTCACCCAATCGGGGAATTGACTTCCCTGTTCAGGATAGCTGAACATCCAACAGCAGGGCGGAAAGAACGTGGCATCCGATTTCTCAGATGATGTCTGATGACAACTTATTATAAAAGATATGATAACCAATGAAGAGGTGGCAATGCATAGCTTTTTATATGGCATGAAAGCATACTAGACATGAAGTACACCAAGGACGCGCCTATTCCTGGGACACAACGGGGAACTCGAACACGACATCCTTCCCTGTGAGACGACGGTAGACAGAGGAGAAAGAGTCAAGCTTGTACTCCAGCGACGTAGCGTCCTTGGAGTCGAGCAGGCTGAGAGCCAGTCAGCTTGGTTTCCTGGAGCTGAAAATGGTTGTAAAAAGAGACGCACACTTTGAGGAGCTTGGAGCCATCAACGGCCACCCGGGTGCGCTTTCCAACAATCTCGGTCGGGAAGACAAGGTCCTCGAGGATGCGCTCGTGGACGTTGGTGAGGGTACGGGAACGAGGGCGCTTCTGCACAACACGCGAAGTGCGGGTGGGTTTCCGGAGCATGCGGCGCTGGGCGACGAACACGACGTGACGGTCGCTGAACTTTTTCTCGAGCTCCCGTGTTAATCTGCACGCACAGATGAGCATGTTAAACGCGTTCGCGGAGTGCCTCAGAAACGCCATACCTCTGCTGAACCTTGCGGAAGGCCTTCAGCTGAGGAACAGGGACGAAGATAACGATGGCTTTCTTTCCGCCTCGGACATCGACCTCCCGAGCAGCAGAGATTTGGAGAGACCGGAGCTCAGTCTTCAGTTCCGGGACGTTGTTTTCGAGATCAACGAGGGCCTGAGCAACGCTGAGCTCAGTCTCATCCGGAGCGGTGGTGGGTGCGTTGGCGGTGCGGAGAATCTTGTTTGCTGCCGACATTTTCTGTGAAATTTATCAGATTGATGTTCTGACTGCCTTCAACTCTCTCTCCACGAATTGGGAGACCAGTCGCCCGTCACAAGCGAAAGAGATAAGAGAAGGCAAACATGAATGCAGCACTCACCCTGGCCTCTTGTACGGCGACGGCGACTACGAAATGAAGAGCGTTTCTTTCGACGGAGGGCTGTGCTAGGGAGGCTGTGCACGATCACGTGTAAACTGTACATCTGGATCTTATCGAATCAATCAGCCGTATCTCATCAATGTGATCTTATCTTTGCCGTTGTCGCTTTCTGTCTTCAAATCATCCCACCTTCAAGACGCGCGCTCAGCGTAGAGAAGGGCGAGCCGGGAAATCATTACGTTACTGATATTTATCGGATGAATTTTTCTGGCGCAGCGCGAGCTTGCCGCCGCATTCGACTTCAGAATATGCCCACGCAATTGGAGGGACTTGTCGGTTTGTGACCGTTGCTGGGCATCACTGGCGGGACGTTGATCTCTCTCATTATCTTCAATCCTCTCCTGTGGTGAGTTTGTTTGGCACACGACCAGAACACACAAATGGAAATATCATTTCCCGATTGGGCCTTGCTCAGGAGGATGAGTCGGGACATCTTGTGCGCTCATGAGCCAATGCAGACCCGTTCTAACCGCAGTCACGACTCACCTCGGCTCCCGCCCCCCGCTCGCTTTCTTTTCTCGACCTATTCAATTGCAAAGTTGTTTACCTGTGATGCCGGCCGGTTTATACGCGAGTTTGCGTTCTGCCTGACTTTGCATTCCGAGTCCATCAAATAGAACCAGATTCACTCCATTTTCACGCTCTTTCAATCAGTGATGTCTATCGTCTGGTTGCCATAATCTCCTTTGCGAACTCATTCTACAGAGGGCGTTCAAGGATTCCCCTTCACGGCATCTCCGCTAAAAAGGCACCGGAACTCGCTAGAGAAGAAGAAGAACCGGGAGATTTGTGTGCTCTCCGAGGTCCACTTATCAGCGGACAGTGCTCCAGATTGAGATCAGACTCTCCGCGGCACGCACGGCTCCGAGATTCTGCTCCCACCTCCCCCGCATCTCTGCCGTCTCTGTTCCACGCTCCACCTCTGCACTCGGTCATATGTTTTTGTTCTCGCCCATCCTGGTTCCCAAAGTTGACCGTCGCGCACGATAGATAATTTAGATAAGTAGTCACTACCGGATGGAGACTGGCGAGCATCCCGATCACAGCTTCTTTGGCTAAGCGATTGAGCCAGACATGCGACATGATAGCCCATCTCCTTCGTTTCAGGACTTGCTGGGTCTCCTGTCCTGCGACTCTGTCAACTATCTCGGCCAGCGGCCCAGTTGACTCGGATAACGCTGGATAACGGCTTCTTTTTGATGCGCGGCCATCTGGAGCCTTCCATATAACCTGGCCACGGTCCTTTGCATCCGTGTTGGCTCCCCTCAACCTCCCCACGACCTAGCTCGCTCCCATGGCTGACGCTATTCCTGATGAGAAGTACACTCCCAGCGAGGACACCGGCTCCGGCACCCAGGTCGAGCTCTTTGAGCGTCCCCAGGGTTTCCGTGGAATCTACACGCACCCTACCACCCAGGTCGGCGCCGATACCTAGGATCTTCTACGGGACGCGCTCATTCTTTTTCCAGGTGGCCATGGTCGGATTCGTCTGCTTCATGTGCCCGGGACTATTCAACGCGTTGGGCGCGATCGGTGGTGGTGGACAGGTGGATCAGACGACTGGTGATTTTGCTATGTTCTACGACCCTGTGAGAACAGCGCTGATACTCCCGCAGCTGCTAACGCGAATGTCGCGCTCAACTCCACTTTCTCGGTTATGGCCTTCTTCGCTGGGTGCGTTCAGTATCTTCCGCAATCTTCCTGCGCGTGCTGATTCCACTTCAGGTCCATCCACAACAAGATCGGTGCTCTCCGGACCCTGCAAATCGGTACTCTTGGGTCGGTCTTTTTTTCGACACTGCTATTTGCGTCTCATCCCGGCTTGTAGATATTCTCTCTACATTGCCAGCTTCTTGTGCGTAGATGCTTGTCGACATTCCATTCCCATCCTCAAATCCTTACAGGGCGTTGAACATCCACCCTGGCGCCAAAGCTTTCGTCATTGCTGCTGGTGCTATCCTCGGTGTCTGTGCTGGACTGCTGTGGACAGCACAGGGGACGCTGATGCTCGCATACCCGACTGAGGCCAACAAGGGACACTACATCGCCATCTTCTGGTCCATCTTCAACTTGGGCGGTGTCGTCGGTGGTGCTGTCGCGTTTGGAACCAACTTCCACAAGACGGTGTGTGTCACAACGCAACTCTGGACTGCTCTTCGCTGACCTCGCATCGTCCAGGCCGGCAATGTTAACAACTCTACGTACATCGCCTTCCTCGTGCTGACCATCATCGGATGCTGCATCCCCTTCATCATGACCAGCCCCAAGGACGTGATTCGCTCCGACGGCACCAAGCTGAAGATCCCCCAGCACCCTCCCTGGAAGGTCGAGATCATGCGTCTGTACGTCGCGCTCAGGACCGATCCGATGATCCTGCTCCTGTTCCCCATGTTCCTTGCTTCGAACTGGTTCTACACGTGGCAATTCAACGACTTCAACGGCGCTCTGTTCAGCACCCGCACCCGGCCCCTGAACAGCATGCTCTACTGGGCCTCGCAGATCGTCGGTTCACTGGCCATGGTGGTCATCTTCGATCGCCACTCGCTGAGCCGCAAGACGCGTGCGTATATCGCGTGGGGTCTGCTCCTCGTCATGGTCTTCGTCGTCCACGGATGGGGATACACTTATCAGAAGCAGTACACCCGCGCTTCTCTGAAGGGCGCCACTCCCATTGATCTCAGTGCGTCGTTTCCCCTTGCCTGGAGCATTCTTCTGATGGATGCCAAAAGAGGACAAAGAATACGTCGGACGAGTGTAAGTCTTGAACGCGAATGTACTTGCATCGTCCTGATTTCAGCGCAGCTTCTTCTATATCTTCTGTGGTCTCCTCGATGCCATGTGGCAGACGACTGTCTACTGGCTCATGGGTGCCATGTCGAACGACACGTCCAAGCTTGCTTACTTCACTGGCTTCTGTGCGTCGCGTTCTGCCCACACAAAAGTCGATATCCAGCTCATCACACATCTATCACACAGACAAGTCGGTTCAGTCAGCTGGTGCTGCTGGTGTCTGGCGCGCTGATGCCATCGGAACTCCGTAAGTGCCTGTTTAGTCACGCAAAGAGGCCTCTTGATTGATCGATCGAATCCACAGCTACATGAACATCTTCGCCTCCACCTGGGCCCTCTGCGTCGCAGGCCTCGTCTTCGCTCTGCCGATGATTCACCTGCGCGTGACCGAGACGACGTCACTGGAATCCGACATCGTGTATGCTTTCCAACTCGTTCAATCTGCCCTGCTTGACCTCTTATCAGTGTCGCTGAGGTCGGCGAAAAGGAGTTCAGCAAGGGCGTTGTCTAGATCCCATATATATATACATGTTTACGCTCTATCCACGACTCTTATATTACTTACGAATGGGAAGTTCTCTCTTGGGAGATCAGGATGAAGCGCAAGATGACGCTAACATCAACGACCATTCGGGCATTCATAGGCTATAGGTGAGACACGAAACATAAGTGTTTAATATCTATCATCAGACAGATTGCGGAAAGTGGACATGAGACGCGACCAACGGTCAGACACATCAGCTGCAGCAACACGATCACGTGTTAGTCACCTGACACGACTGGCCGCACAACCACCGCGGTACAAGTCGGCAGGTAGTGACATGTAGTAGCAGGTATTTTCCATCAGACATGGCGCACCCTGTATATTCCGAACGATGAGATGTACATGGTGTACTGATTCATCAGTAATGAGGGTTCAACGTTTGAGCCCACAGCTCGCGTTTCTCCTGGTGAGTCGTGACTACGGCGGGGATTACAGTCCCGCGGCTATATTACATGGGTACGGCGGGCCAATATTCCCATCACATCATATGCGCGTGCGACTACTGATCCCACTGGTGTCTGCTACCCCTGAACAAATGAACCATTCCAACAGGAATGAGGTTCGGGTCCACCGCTTCCAGTGTACCGAACTTTTTGATAACCTGGTCCCTGTGACAGTGTAAGTTTCCATTCACACAAGTGGAGCAAAGAGAGCTCACCCGTATAGAGCCAAAACCCATCGGTCGTAGAAATCACGCGGCTGCCATTTCGATCGCTGCAGGTGGTCGGGCAGACGCAGCCACGTCGGTTGGGTGTGGCCGAGCAAGCGGACATAGCGCTCTCTCCAGAACCGGGACGCAGTCTCGCGATAGGATACGAAGCTCTCGAACGAGGGGAACTCTTCCGTCTGCGGTGCGAGGAGGCTGCGCGACCAGCGTTCCTTCGCGCTCAGATAGTTTTCGAGATCGCCTTTCTCGATTTGTTCGGTGAATCCACCGGCGGGATCCTCCGGGAAGTTGGCTCGCACAGCTAGCAGCTCGATGAGCGCATTGCGCAGCTCCATCCCTCCGCTCGCGATGGGGAAGTAGAAATACCCGTCCGGGAGGCCGTCGACACCAAAACGGTCTCTGATCATGGTGCGGAGATGCCCGACAGCGCCGTTCTCCTCGGGGAACAGTTCTCGCTGGACGCGGGCCAGCGTGCCGAGCATGTCGTCGACGTGGGCCTGACCCAGACAGAGCGCAGGCCCAAACGACACGGTGGGACGGGCACCGAAGTTGCGCGAAAAGAAGGCCATGTATTTGTTGTACGCGTTGATCCAGCCAAAGATGGACTTGCGACAAGCCAGCTGACGGCGCAGTTCGGCGATGTGGAGGTCGACCTCGGCTTGGTCGATGACAAACCGCTGTTTCTCGGCGTCGAGCTTCAAGAAACCCCAGCGGACGGGCTCAATGGGTATCCCTGGTGAGGGAGAACCCCCTATCGAGACTGAGCCTGTCTTTTCCTGGTTGATTTTCAGGCCGGTGAGATCCGCAAACTGGGTATATCGTGAGCCCGCGCGAGTGGATAAGCTGCCACCATACCTTGATCAACTCTGCCCATGCAGCTGCACATTTGCTCGAATCCGAGTCCCAGAACCAGATATCATCGTGGATGCGGTAGAGGAACAGACCGTCGGTGCGGCGGTTGATGCCCAAATCCAGACAGAACAGGACCGACTCGCCGAAAAAGGTGCTCAGCGCGTATGAGATCGGGGTGCCGCATTTGCGGATCCGGGGAGGGGAGCCTGGCGCATCGTTTGCAAACGTCAAAGGCACCTCCAGGAACCGGCGGAAAAACGCGATCCACTTTGGAGAGACCCCGAAGAAAGCAAGGCAGGTCACAATGGTATCGAACGAAAGCGATGGGCCGAACCATTCAAAGTCCGAGCAGACCACCGTGTGAGTTTTGTGCAGGGTGGAGTTCAGATAACATTCTGTGGCGACCAGATGTAGCAGCTCTTGTTTAACGTGTGCAGTAGGGGTCTGCCTGTTGTCGCCCTCCCCGTCGTACGATCCCCCGCCACTATCGACGGTCGTGGACAACTGCCCGACCAAAAAGTGTTGCTTTTGAAGCAACTTGCGGTGTTCCTTGATGCTGCTCGTCGTCGTTTCTTCGAAAAACGTCCTCAGCTTGTAGGTTTCTCCGCGTGCGAAGCCCGGGAAAGCCTGCGTCCAAGCGGCCTCGGTGTCGAAGACCTTGGTGCATTCGGCCTTGAACTTGACCTGCCACTTCAGTCCAATATATTGAAGGAGAAGCGCGTCGAGTATGTCTGGATCGGTGTACCCCCGGTACTTCCCATTCAAAGCACGCCGCATTTCCAACGGCACGCCAGATCCCCACTTCCAGCTCTCAAGGTCCGCCAAGCGCATTGTGAGAACCGTGGCCAGCTCATCCAGCACAGTCGGATTCCGGGCGAACTCTTGCAAGGTGTTTCGCTTGTCCTCGGTCATGAGATTGTCGCCCAAGAGGGACTGAATCATCCAGCGCAAGTCGATCGACGTGATAGTCTGGCGCTGGAGGTCGGTCTCAAACTCGGCCAGAGATCTCCGCATGGCTGCCAGCACCTCCTGAGAATCATCCCCTTCGAAAAGAGTGCCGAGGTATGCAGTAATCGCGTCAGTGTCCACGGATTTGCTCTCGAAGATGATGGACTGGAGCCGGTCCTGTTGTTCGCCCATTTCCTTTCTCCCCACGCGGACGAAGTCCTCGACCGACTCCCCCAGATCCGTAGGGATAGAAGAATCCCCGCTGTCCATCCACTCATTGAACAGGCCCCCAAACAGCTTCGCGAACTCGAACCGGGTGGCGTTGTGACGGATGTGGGTTTCGAGCGTGTCGGCCCACTCCCGAACGATGTCTGCGCTGAAGCCGGGATCCTGGCGAGCCTGGAACAGCCAGAGGTCCAGATTCGCCAAGTCCAGCTTCCCTGATATCATGGACTGCCGGTCGACGGCGCCTGAGCCATGCCACGATCTCACCCCTTCCAGGAGGAGTTCGACACGGCGGACCAGGTCGTCCCCACAATCGGAAGCTCGGTCGAGGATGGACAAGTGAGACGCATACGCGAGGCGCTGCTTCTCGAGCTCCTCGAGCTTGAGAGAGGTGATGTATTGCAGGGTCTTTCCAAACGAGGAGGACGGGGCGTGGCTGTCGGAAGATTCAGCGCTCAGAACACATTTCTGGGCCCCTTCTGACCTTTTTGTGCTGGTAGTGGGCATTGTTGGGCCCGGTTCTGCTTCGGGAGCGGGGCTTTATGTGGGCATGAACACATTTGACTCGTTATGATCATCAAAGTGGGGAGTTCGGAGCCGCGCAAAGGATGGACAGAACAGACGAACTGTTGGCGTTGACAGGTTCTACCTTCGTGGGCATGATCGTGTATAGAATGCAGACATGGTTGTTCGAGGGCAACCGCCAGGGTAGTGACTATCAATCTAATCTAATCATAAATTCACGATGCACATGATCTCTTCGCGACTCTGACCTCCTACCGCTGCCGATTCTCCATCTATTCAACGCGCATCCCTTCTCAAGCCTACTGATACATAGAAGCAACTGAAATCAGAGCCCACTCTCAGAAAATGAGCGACTCTGACTCTGAAGATGAGCGACGCGATCCTCTTGGACATCTCATGCAACGACAAGACTCCATAGTCCCAAGCCAACCCCCGTCAATCATTCCCGGGGAGGAGGTGCACTTGTCTTACTCCGCAGGCGCATTGACCGTATCCATCGACCTCGCCCTCGACGCTTCTCCTGGCTGCGGCGGCATCGCCTGGCCTGCAGGAGAGGTGGGACACAATCCCTTTCCCCCAGCCGATTGATCCCAATGCCGACCGCGGATTAGGTCCTCTCGCGATACCTGGTGCTCCGGGGCCCCGAGTTCGTGAAGGCGAAGAACGTTTTGGAGCTGGGGAGCGGGACGGGGCTGTGTGGGCTCGTCGCTGCAGCTATGGGCGGCAAAGTCGTGATCACCGACCAAGCGTTCGTCCCCTTTCGCGTTCTCGTTGTGTGCATCGAATCCGAGCGCCGTGCAGACCTCTGTTGCCGATCATGCGCGATAACGTTGAGCTCAATCGACTCTCGGCGGCGTGCAAAGTCGTGGAACTCAATTGGTGCGTTTCCAGGATCCGCGTCGCGGGTACCACGGTCACAAGGATATTTACGCACATCGTTTTGCAGGGGAGAGCCAATACCCGAGGACATTCCCACACCCGACATCGTTCTCGCAGCGGACTGCGTTTACATCGAATCTGCGTTCCCACTTCTGGTCCAGACGCTGTCGGACCTGGTGGCGAACGGCGACACCCAAGTTTTGTTCTGTTACAAGAAACGAAGGAAGGTCAGGATCTCGCTTCACTCAGCATTCCATGCGGCTGATCTCTGTGTCAGGCGGACAAGCGTTTCTTCGCGCTCCTGAAGAAGCAATTCCGCTGGGTTGATGTATGGACACGGTTCCATTATGTTTCCTTCTAATTCAGCTGACACGCATCGCAGGTTGAAGACGATCCTGGTCGATCAACCTACACTCGGGAGGCCATCTCGCTCTTGCGGTTGTATAAGATATAAGCAGCGGGATCTCTGTTGCGGAGCCGCTGCTGAAGGTAAAAATACATGTTAGTATGTGTACTGGTCCGTCGAGACAAATCGTGTCGATGGAGTGTGCCGAGGCTCCTTCTGAGTCCTGCTACAGATCCCTGGCATTCAAGGAAGATGCTAGTGGTGGTACTTACCACGCCCGCTAATCGCAACTAAGCTGTCTGCTTGAATTGATCCTGTCACAGTCTGATCAAGCGTCTTGACGGATTCCTATGTGCTCGCTGGTTTCATTCCAGCCAAGATTTACATTTACAAAAACTTTGCTAGCGTTATGGACTCGACTCGGAGTTAAACGCGGTTAAACGCGTCCAGAACGTGTCTTTGATGTTCGCATGAAAAATGAAATCTGGCCAGCACGGTCATGGTCGAAATTTGTGCCACGTGGGGTCAAGGCAAGTTGTCAAGGAAGTGCCTGGTAACGGGTAAATCCGGCGCTTCTCCAGCGCTGTGGTCCGCATTGCACCGGAAGTACGCAACAAGATTCTGTCGGAGAAATTTCGGAGCAGCCAATAGTCGCCGATGGTGTTTGAGGAGGCTGAGGCTCGAGACTCTGCATGTTCTGGGATGTTCTGGCCATGTACTTGTCGGAAGAGAGACTGATGGAGACTGTGCCTTGTTGTCAAGCTTGGGCCACGCGTAACGCGTTGTTATGGGCTCGGAACCTAATTGCCAAAATGCCTGTCAGGAGTATTGATGGATCAGATACAATCTATCATCGCAACCTATCTGAGCAGTGGACAGGCAGATCAGAACGTATTCTAGCTTGCTTGCACTGTTCACAACTGTGTTCCTCCCAAGGAAGAGGTACATGCGGGCGTCTGCGATGATTGATGCTACTGTCTGCTCAAGTACATTGTATAAGAACGGCGTATGGAGATTGATTCCGCAGCCCAACGTGGATTCGGCTGATGCCAACATGAGGTATTCTGTAACGAGCACGGCACTCGGAATCAATAAAAGGCTCGGCTCGGGCTTGGAAGATGTATAAAAAGCCAAACCGCAATGGTAAATTCTCATCCCTTCTTCCTCTACTCCCAGTTTCTTGGCCCGGTCGCCTTCTTTGTCGTCGTACGCTCCAGCAGCCCAACACCTTCTTTGCAGCAACACTTTCATTTTTTCCAAACCCCACACCATGTTCATCAAGGCTTTCATTGTCGCCGCCGCTGTTGCGTCTGTCCAGGCTCGGTGAGGCGCTTTCTGCGCAGATCAACGAATCTCGTGGCTGACATCGGCCTGCCAGTTTCGGAGAGGAGCACCCTGCTGTTATCCAGCAGATCGCCGACCTCCAAGTTGGTGCACCTGGTGTCGCAGCCACCCTCGCGGGAGGCTCCATCTCCAACCTGCTTGCTGCTTCCAACCCCTGTGACAAGCTCAAGACCGCTGACAAGATGATCGCGGCCCTCGGTACCTCGTCCAACGTGGTCACCCTCGTCCGGACCTTCGTTGCCGCTGAGCAGAGTAAGCGAACTTCTTCTCGTGCCGCGGTGTTCGAATTGACCTTGCTTGCCAGACTTCAACCCGTTCGCCACCGACCGCCCCGTGTTCTGCAGTGACCCCACCCTGCCCGCGACCGCGGAGCTCCGTGGTGTCATTCCCCTCGTCGACCCGGCAGTCGCCGGTGCGGCCGCGGAGAACACTGCGTCCGCCGCCTCCATCACGACCCCGCTCAACGCTGCCGGCCTTTCCGTCGCGCAAGTGATCGCCAACTCGGGCTTCACGACTTTCAACACCAAGGATGCTGCCGGTACCGCCGGATCCACCGGTGCCCAGCTTGCTGGAGGTGCCGCTGCCGCTGCCCCCGCTAACGGTGCCGCGGCTGCGACCACCGCTGCTGCTGCTGCTGCTGCCACCACGGCGGCTGCGGCTGCGGCTACCGATGCGGCCTGCCCTGCCCCGGTCACCGTCACCGTCACCGCTGTGCGTCCTGTCTATCCTTGAGGTCTGAAGAGCATCGCGCTAACCGTTTTTTCAGGCGGCTGCCAAGCGCACTGTGCCCACGCGCCGCAACATCGCTGGTGTTAAGCGTCGCTCTGCGCGTATCCTCTAGATCGAGGATATCGCTTTCTTTCTGGATCAACCCTTTTTCATTTGTTGTCGCACTGCATAGATAGGCTGAAGAGAATACGACGTTCTTTGAAGGGACAAAAAACCGCGTGTGATGTGAGGCTGAAGTGCAATTCCTGAGAGCGATATCCGCGAAGAAACTTGGCGCGTTGCTCCGAGTCGATTCGCCCCGACGGAGCATTTTGTGACTAGCGCTTATGTCGATGGGATGGGAGTTGCAAATTAGATCGCTACCTATCCTTACTACCTCCCGCTGCTACTAAACGTCTTGATTGGGATTTCATCCCACGGTCATACCGACAATCACTTAGTACTTACTCACGGGTCCGTTGCATATCCTTTCTCCTTACGCTCGGTCGTCCGCCCACTCTTTGGACCTCGGTGTTTGTCAGGAATCTTCCTGCCGGATCAGTTACGATACCAAGCAACCAAACGATCCAATCCACAAAGAAACCTTGTGCAATGCACAGTCCACTCACTCACCGTATATGTTCCTTGCCCTCGATGCTCCTCCTCCTGCTCTTCGCAACACTCTCTGCCGCGCAGACCCGCCAGACACTCTCCTTGAATGCAGTCGCAAATGAGCGGTCTCCCAATCCGCCGTTTTTCACCATCCCGGCGGCACCACAGCTGGCCATCTCTGTCACATTATGTGCCTCGACGACCAACGCAGCGCTACCGCGATTTTTCCTCGCCAATAGCTCTTCCACTGCCAGTCCGGACTCCAGTGGTGGCGTTGACGTGTTCGAGATCCCATTAGACCGAGGGTATGGGCAATGGACGGGGCCGTTTCCTCAGGGTGGAGTTGTTGGGGTGGAGAATGCAGGAAATGTACCGTTCCAAATCGGTGTGTCGGCGGGGGACGCACCTATGCATGAAGTCCTAGCGGACCCTCCGCTCTTCGGAGACTCGACCGCGACTCAGGCGATACTCTTCTCCCCGTCATTCGCGTCCTTTGACTTTGTGGATCCGACGTATCCCAACTACACTCTTTCGATGGAGAATTTGACGCCACCCGCTCCGCCTCCGAACCCACCCAACTTCAGGCTGATTATCACGCCAACGAGCGATGCGCTCTCGGCATTGCAGCAAACATCTTGCGCGCTCTCTTCCCTAAAATCGAGCGGCACGGTGGCTAATCAGACTCTGTGGTCGAGGGACACCAACGCATGGCGGTCACAATGGATGATGACAGGGCTGACTGCATCGACGAACTACACAGTCTTCGTGATCCAGGACTCGTTCAAAGTCACCCGGCCGATATATCTCACAACAAAGTCATGTACGAAGCCATTCCCCTGTGCATTCCAACGCTGACTCGTCCCAAGCCTCGTTCTCGTGCCCGCTCGTCTCTAACCTACCATATTGTCCATCAATATCATACGCCGTCCCGCTGCCTGCACTGCCATCCTCCCAGCTGGCCTACAATGCCACCAACCTTCCGACGTCGATATCGGCCCCCCTGTTGTCATCACTCACCAACTTCACGACGACGCTCACCACCTTCGCCTGTGGACGCGACTTCTACTCCCCGCTGGTGACATGCGCCGACTGCCAGCGCGCGTACCGAACCTGGCTCTGCGCCATCTCGTTCCCGCGCTGCGCCGACCCCGCCGCAGCTCCGCCGTCCGCCGCACTGCTGCAGGCGCAAGCGCCCGATGCGCGGAACGCGGCGTTTCCGCCTGGGAGCAACTACACGCAGCTGCTGCCATGTCTGGAGACGTGCACTGCCGTCGACCGCGCGTGCCCGCATTTCCTGGGCTTCAAGTGTCCGGTGCCGCGGTTCAATGCGGCGGCCAGCTACGGGGTCGGTTACATCGACAGCCCGGCCCCAGGCGTCCAGGGCCAGGGACTCACTGGCGCGTGGTCAGATGACTTTGGGAATGTGTGGTGCGCGGGGAGCCCATGATCCTACGGACATGCTGTTTTCTAGCTTATGTATCACTATCTAAGGCGACTGTACAATTTGTTGTGAGCTGGGGCCTCAGGAATAGAAACCAGAGTCGCGCAGATGCTGCTGGTGCTCTCCACGGTGGGCGCGGACGCGTTTGTCGACACCCATCCGCCAGATGGGTGCGATGATCTGCGCATGATGTCAAGAGCTGGCGAAGAGAGTACGTCGTATGAACGCACCCCGGCAAGACAGTCGTATATGGGATCCAGGAGCAGATTGTTGCGAGGCGTCACGCCTCTCGTGGACGCCCGAAACAGGTCTGTAATCATGTCTGCTGTGATGTGAGTGTGTCCTCGTTGCACTCCTGGGGAGAGTGAGTCGTACGCCGAGGAGGCTCGACCCAATCAAACATTACCTTGGAGCAGGGCTTGGGCGGCAACTTCCGCTGTGATTCCCTCATCTGTGCTCTCGATATCCAGCGTTAGTTTTGGTTTGCTCAGGTTTTCCGTCTCATATCCTGGGGTATACATTGTCGGCGGGAAGAAGATATGCACGTCGATGTCATACAGCATGAACTCTGACTGGAGCGTGTCGGCCAATCCTACGAATAGAATTCAGCTAGGTGACGACAGGTATGAGTTATAGGCACATACCACGAAGAGCGTGTTTCGCAGGTGAGTATGAGGAGTAGCCGACGAAGGACATATATCCCAAGGTCGACGACACCATGGTAATTTTGCCCTTGGCTTTCGCGCGAACCATCGCTTTGGCTGCAGCCTGCTAGCGTTTAGATCGGAAAAGAATAGAAGAACGGAATAGAGGGCACCAGAACAGTCCAGGCTTGAACCCAGTATCCTTGCACCATGCCATTGCTGAGATCATCTTCCGTCATGTCCACGAAGAACATCGGTTTCGAGCCACCAGCACAGGTGAACACGGCGTCTGGGGGCGCCCCACTGAATGGTTTGCATGCCGCTTCGAGAGCAGCGGCAGATTCGGTTGCACTGGCTAACGAATACGAGTACGCGGCGAAGAGTTGATTGGGGTGTTGTCTGCGTTCCTGAACTCGGCCAAGGATTCGATGGTCGTTCGCGCGAAGTCGGATAAGAAGCGCCGCGCACCTCGAGATCTTGCAGGGCTTTGTCGAGTTTTCCCTGTGAACGGGCAACAATAGAGATGTGCGCCCCCTTCCCTGCGAGGAGCAGCGCAAGTGAAAGCCCGAGACCTTGGCTTCCCCCCGTGATGTAGACGTGCTGCACGCGTATCCAGTTTCATTTACTACCAGCACCAACGCGAGCATACATACCTTCCCGTCTGGATTCCATCCCTTGCTGAACCACATGGTAGCCTTCAGTACAGAGCAGTTGATGGTCCAGCAAGCACCCGAATGCGAACACGTGATCTCACGCGAACGCTCGAATGAGCGCGGCGCGTATCACTTCCTGATCCCGGTTTTGAGGCCTAGCTCAGCATTTCCCGAAATGAGAATCCGACAGAATTGATGCTCATATCTGAAATACAGGAACAAGAGTGAATGTGATTGTATTGAAGAACGGAGTCTGGGGCCAAGCGTGCGACTATTCTGCGGCACTTGCCGGGGCTCTTTCTGATTAACTAATCCACCCAAGTTACTCAGACTCAGCTTTCACCTCCATTCACCGGATCGTCTTCCAATATGGTTGCACGACACAGGAATTTCCAGAATATGGATTATGATAGTAAATGGAACTCCACAACACCCCAAACTATTCGTCATTCACTGCTCCAGATGACTTGGACGACGATGCACTGTCAGACGGGGGGGATGACTACATCTCACCAGAGGATCAAGGTTACCGCCGTTTCCTACTTATTCTCCTGAAAACTGAATGACAGCCCTGCTCTAGCTCTGCTCAATGATGGGTTGGATCGTGTTCGAGATACGATAGGCAACTTGGCTCAATCTGGACTCACGGATGCCTGGATCAAGGATGTCTTATGGGACTGCAATTTTGAAGTGGAGGAGACAGTCCATTTTGCTATTGGTGTGTTTCCCTCCTTCCTGTTTGTTCATCAGCGGATCTCACCCGCGAACAGAGGAGATCGAAAAGAACCGGCTTGCCCAGGAACGTAAAGGTGAGCTTTTGGACTTCCTTTAGTAGTGTACAAATCCTTCTTCGTCGGTGTGCCCCGATTGCGCGCGTTTTCTGGGGAGAGATGTTGTGCGAGATGGAGACGAGAGCAATGAGAAGGTGCACGTCTGTCGATCAACCTCGTTCGATGTACCCTCGGTCTCCTCCTGCACGTATTCCCAACTTACGTGATCCTGGCAGCCAGTATGAAAGACCTCCCCCCGCTTCCTCCGGGAGAGAACGACCAGACAACTTCGCGCGAACTCGGCTACGGTGAATACTCGCCACCTGTGTTCAATCAGCACGGCTCCATCGAAGAAGAGACAACCCCGCGCGAGCGCCGCACGAACCTTCCTCTCATCGTTCTTGCTCAGCAGAAATACGGAGGTGGAGGTGTGATCGAGGAGGAGGAGGAACATTCAAGCGGTCCAGTGAAGCGTATCCTGAGCACGATCAGCGAGAAGACGGAACGGACCGAGGTCTTGTCCCCATTGTGGGCACCGGGTAACATCGACCACCCGCGTCTCTCTCTACACACGCTCAATCGGGTTTCGAGCTCGGTGGCTACGTCATATGGGGAGGCCGTGGGTGCGCTCACTCATTGTCCTTATCTTACTTGCACGCTGATTTCTTACCTGCTAGATCCTGAGGAGACGACATTTGGCTCATTGGACCCCGATCTCATCCCTCCGTCGCCTTCTGGATCAGCGCTGCACAGGTTATCAATATACGAACCTGCCCCATCGTTGCCACCGTCTGAGGCAGACAGTATGGAAAGCTCTGCTCTCTTTGGCTCCCGTCGACATGCTCCCAGTGAGCCGGTTCCTCCCTTGGATACCATCCCGGATATTCCAGACATGAATTCCAAGTCTAGTCGGCCAGTGACGGTTAGTGCGTCACAGCCAGCAAAGAAGTCGAAGCTAGCGCAATTGGCGAGCAGTCGGGCATCTTCCTCGAAGAGCGCCAGGTCTGAGAGCTCTCATACAAGCACGCCGGAAGACGTGGAGTCTGTTAAGACGTATCCCAATCTTCGACCAACTTCGCAGTCTATTCGGCCACTCAGCACGGCTTTGACCACTTCTTCAAGCATGTCAGCACACGTTCGACGGGCTATTGCCACTGCGCTTGAATTTGAGGCGGTCGAGCAGGAGGATGGGGCCACCGTGAAATCGGCTGTAACAGCTAAATCTGGTGCTACCGGCAAGTCTGGTACCTCGGTCAAGTCCTCTGCAACAGCCAAAAGTGGCTCTACCATCCGGCCTGTTCCACCGCCTGCGCCGATTGCATCGAATAGCAGCAGCCCGTCCCAAAAGCCGCAGTCAAAGCTGGCTCTTCTCGCACAAGCAAACAAGGCTGCTCGTGCTGCTGCTACTGCTGGGAAGCATCAAATCGTGCCGACGACCCAGCCGACCTGGAAAGGACCTGTCTTGCCGGAGGAGCACACCGAATACCTCACACCTATCGCCAACGGCTCGAGTGTTACGACGGCCATCACCACATCGTATCAATCTCTGTACTCCCTGACAGACCCGGCGCGCCAGCCCATGACGAAGGCGCCGTTCGTTGCGCCTCTGCCCAATCCAGGGACAGAGATTCCCAAACCCTCTAAATTGGCTATGAAGATGAAAAAGAACCAAGAGAAACCCGTCCCCCAACCGGCTATCGCCGAACCGCCGCCTCCCCCTGTCTCGCCCATCTTCTCGCCCAAGCGCACCCGATCACACGGGACTCCCTCGGCATTCGGAGCACTGCTTGTTGATGAGCAAGAGCCAGCGAAGCGCAGAAGCAAGGCCAAAACCAGATCTGGCCCGCGACACACCGCCCAGAAGATACCTGATCTCTTTGCGTTGGCTGGGGACGTCTCGGCTTTTGATGGCCCGAGTCCGGACGACATCGTGCTCAATGCTCGGCGCGACACGTCTCTGGCGAAGAAAGGCAGCGCAATCGGTGGCACACCTGCGAAACTCGCTGCTTCGAAAGCTTGACTCGTTTCTTCTTAATTGTTGTTGTTTTACGGAGTGCTAATCTATTTGTTGTGCGAACGATAGACGCGAAAGAGCGCGAGAAAGCGCAGAAGCAGGCGGCTGCGGCGGCTCGACCTGCACCCGCGACTCCAGGCAAGAAAACACTTGCGACCAAGACGAATGCGCGTCCGACTGCGAGTGGTTCTTCGACCCCCAAATCCAAAGCTCCAGTCGATCAGAGAGAACTCGATCTGTCTGGGCTGAACTTACTAACGAAAGAGGAGTACAAGACAGAGCCGGCGCCGAAAGTAAGCTTTGCTCGGGACAAGCTGTTGGAGCAAGCTGCCCAGTCGATCGAGAAGCAAGAAAACGGCAAGAAGGCACTAAGTCTGGTTGTCATCGGTGCGATCTTGTCTGTGGACTGACTCTCGTGTTGACTTTGCATTCCCCAGGCCACGTGGATGCTGGCAAATCGACCCTGATGGGACGGCTGTTGTATGAAAGCGGGAAAATGGACGAGAAGACTAAGACGGCCAATGAACGTAACAGTGGCAAGGCAGGCAAGAGCAGTTTCAGCTGGGCATGGGGACTGGATGGCACGACAGAGGAACGAGAAAGGTGCGTGCCGTGGCTTTAGATCGCCGGGTGTTCCCGATGTCAAGCAGGGGAATCACTATGGACATCGCCGTCCAGTCCTTCTCCACACCACATCGGCAAATCACTGTGCTCGACGCTCCGGGCCACAAAGAATTTGTGCCCAACATGATATCCGGCGCCGCGCAGGCCGACTGCGCACTATTGGTCGTCGACGCGTCCACTGGCGAATTCGAGGCCGGTTTCGAGCGAGGTGGACAGACGCGCGAACATCTGATTCTTGCTCGCAGCCTCGGCGTCGCCCAAGTCACCGTGGCTGTGAACAAGCTCGACCAGGTCGAATGGTCTCGTGATCGGTTCGAGGAGATCTGCGGGATCCTTAAGCCGTTCTTGGTGCAGTCGGGCTTCCACCCGTCCAAGACGAGTTTTGTGCCGGTGGCTGCGATGATGGGCGTGAATCTCGTCACATGCGACCAGAACGAAGCGCAAGGGTTGGTCCAATGGTACAAAGGCCCGACGCTCGTTGATCTTCTCAGTGAGTGGTTGTGCGAGGCTGTCCTCCATCTTGTCTCAATTGATCTCAGACAAACTGGAACCTCCCAAACGGGATCTGACTACGCCTGCGCGGATTCCCGTTGCGAATATTTTCAAGGGCCAGGGATCCGGCATCTCGGTGTCCGGCCGGCTGCTGAGCGGTGTCGTTCAAGTGGGCGAGCGCTTGCGCATCATGCCGGGTGACGAGACGGGTGTCATCAAAAGTACGGTCATGGTCCGTGCTCCGAGAGTCGTTGGAATTCATGTTTTGCAGCGATACAGGTCGAGGAGGAAACTGTGCCTTGGGCTGTCGCGGGGTCCAATGTGACGCTGGCGCTGGTCAATGTAGATCCAATCCATTTGACTATCGGGAGTGTGCTTTGCCCTCCGACCGATTCCATCCCGCTGGCCACGACGTTTACGGCCAAAGTCATCATCTTCGATATCACGGTCCCGATCATCACCGGTGCGATGGTGGAGCTGTTCCACCACTCACACGATGTTCCTGCGACTGTCTCCAAGCTCATTGCTACGCTGGACAGGGTCTCGGGCAAGGTCATCAAGGCGGGGCCTCGGTACGTGTTACTTTTCTTGTTTTGTTGTTGTCATTGTGAATAATGATTTTGCAGGGTGTTGAGCAAAGCATCGTCTGCGGAAGTCCAGATTACTCTGCGAGCACCGGCGCGCCCCATCCCGCTCGAACCCTATGCCGTCAATAAGGCAATGGGTCGGATCCTTATCCGGCGGGAAGCAGAGACGATTGCAGCTGGTAGGCCATGCTCTTGTGCGTAATCGAACATTGTTGAATCTCGTCCCTAGGTGTTGTTGTTGACATCCTGGGTTGAATATTATCGATCATTTATGCAGATCTTATGCCTCAGTTCAATATCTAATCTTCACACGAGTACGGGGCTTCACTCTCAGCAGTTATCCATCCAGAGTGTAGCAAGTATAGAAGACGACATGTAGTACCAGCCATAAACAAAACAGAAATCACTTTTTCTCCTCCTTGTCCTTATCCGAGAACAGACCCTTCAACTTGCCGAAGATCGAGTGCCGCTTTTTTCGGGCGCTGGCTGTCGTACCGAACTTGCCAGATCCCGACGGTGAGGAGGATACCGAGCTCGGGCTCCCAGCCGCAGGGAACGCGTGGTTCTTCTTCGCAGGCGTCGTCGGTGTGCTCGCCGGGGTCGCTTGAGGCGATGGAGTGCCCGTTTTGGGTGTCGAAGGGGCCGCAGGGGAGGCCGCCGGCGCGGTTGTTTCTGTCACGGGTGCTGCGGTCGTCGTCGGTGCGGCTGTCGGCTCGGGAATCGCCTGTGTAGCCTCTGGCACTGGTGGTTCGGCAGCCGTGAGCTCGGGTTCGTTCGTAACAACGCCGTTTGCCGGGGAGGCAGGCACAGCGGTCGTGATCGGCTCGGCGGCAGCGGGCGCGGCGGCAGTCTCGGGAATACTGTCTGCGGTAGAGGCAGGAACAGCAGTGGTGATTGGCTCGGTCGCAGGCGTCGATCCAGCCACGGGCTCGGCTGCAAGGGATTTGACGTCCTGAACGGCTGCCTCTTCCGTCACAATCGGCTCAGGGATCACTGGTGTGACCTCTGGTGCTGCGTGTTCGGACGAGCCATTTGGTGTGGATGCAGGGACAGCGGTCGTAATCGGCTCCTCCGCCGCAGACGTAGCGGGGGCGACCTCGTCTGAGGGCAACTTGACCTCGCCGTTTTCTTCTACAGGAAGCTAGACAGGCGCATAAACTTAGATGCAGTCGAAACGGAGTACAGTGCTCTTTTCACATACCTTGGCCGCGTTTATAGGATCCACTCCCATGTGGGTCTCAATCACCGCGCCCAGCGCCGACGCAATGTAGCCTAACGCAGAGGACGTGCCCTCCTGGGCCGTGAGCGTGTCCACCACATCCGCAATCGTCGTCGTCGTCGTCGGGGCGGCAGCGGCGGCATCTCCGTTCTCCGCCGCTCCCGCCGGCCCTGCGCCGACAGGCTCAGGCTCCGACTTCAGCGCTGGTGCGACCACGGGTTGCGTGGCCGGCACTGCGGCGGGCTTTGCAGGTGCAACATAGACATTGTTGACGTTGCCCGACGCATCCGCCTCCGTCGGTGCTGCCGCGTCACACACCCACTGCGAGTCGACGACAAACTTGAACAGGATGCGCTCGCCCCATGGGACCCGCGTGGACCCGGTGAAGCCGCCCGCGCCCGTGTCCTTGGTGAGGTGCAGCGAGGAGGACCACTGGTCGAACGTGCCGGTCACTAGCGAGCGAGAAGTCGAAGAGGAAGGATACGTGGAAGATTAGATTTGGCTTGCTGATGGGGAGTAGCATAGGAGCGTACCGATGACGGAGGCGGGTTCCGTGGAAGGCCAAGTGAAGTGCACCACATGCGAATCGTCGACCATAGCCTACAATTGTGGAATGGAACAAAAAAAGTTCAACGGCACGATTTCCACGGCTTGTCGAACAGCAAGTTTCGCCGAAGCTCCGCTCGACCAACCAGCGCTCGACGCGATCACGTGGTATGACGGATTTCCATTTCGCACGATCGGAAACAGTGTTTGATTGGTGGGAAGGCAGGTTGGGTACAAGATACTGCTACGAGAAATGCTGATGACATGACATGACAGGATAGCGATGATAACAAGCAGGACGATCATCTCAGGAGCGACACTACACTTCAAGTGTCTCTGTGTCGGAAAGGATATGGGGACGGAAGCCGTCCGAGCGTCTCGGCTTTAACATATCGGATTGGCCCAAATCTGCAGCCAAGCGCTTGAGAACCAGGATTCGAAGGAAACAAAGACGGAACGGAACGCACATGTCGGACGTCGGAGACCGCGATCTTCGATGAACACATTGTGCGAAAAACGTCGGCGCAGCTGCGACCACGTCGCGCTGCGTTGCGTTGTGTTGTTTGAGTTGTGAGGGATGGAGAGGGGAGTCCGGGGCAAGTGATGACGAGGGGTTAATAAAAAATCTCGGCCGCTCAACACGGGAATCGCCAGACACCAGGCAGATTCACCGAACGCTCAACACCAGCACCTCAGCCGACTCCGACGTCGGCACCAGCCCGCAGAACCGCGTCGCGCCCAACAGGGCGTCGACACGGCGCGGGTATGCGCTCAGATCATGCGGTGTGAGATAGGCGCAGCGCCAGCGGCGAGCGCCCTCGATGTCGTCCGCTGTCAGGTGGGACTGGAGGTCTCGTGGTTGCAGCGGACGTTGGAGATCAGCATATACCTGGCTCAGAACATCTCCGACGGTGACATAGCCCTTGTGCTTAGGCCTCACGACCTGGATGTACGACGCGAGGCCGGGGACGTGAATGAGCAGACACGGCAGCCCAGATGGGTTCGCGGAGGTGGCGGCGGGCTGCGAGAGCACAGTCGAGCTAACGTTCAGCGGAACAGTTGCAGGGTCGACGGCGACGTTGAAGCCTAGGCCCGCGCCCGTCTCCTCGGAGAGGACGGGGTTGATCGAGGCAGAGAAGGCGGGCAGGGGTGTGGACGCGTAGAGCGAGCGCGTGTGTTGGAGGGGAGGGGGAGTCACGTCATATGCTAACGGAGATGACGGATATTGGACCGTCGCCGGGGAAGAGTACCCGGCGTAGGGGCTGGTTGGTTGGTTGTGGTATACTGTCCGGCCAGGCATCGCGTCGTCGGTGGGTAGATAGTACTGGTGGATGGGAGGAGGCGATGGATTGGAGGCGAAGGGTGCACGTAGGATATGCACAAGGACAGTTGTCGGATGAAGACATCTTGAGGGAGGTTATATACAATGGTGTCTGATTGTGAATCGCAGCCGCGATTCCGGGGCAAGTCCGTCACGGGTGTCAAATCGAGTCAATTACGCGTTACATCTGGGTCACAGAGTCACGCCCATTTCCATAATAGATCCATTACGCACTCCCTGTTTTGCCGGTGTGGGCGCTACGTGTAGCTCAGTTGATTCTTGTTTCTGGGTTTATTTCCCGTCATTGCGGCGCAGCAGGTGCTTTCAGCCCCGCAGCTCAGCTGCGCAGCGCAGTGACCTCAACGGTCACGCACGACACCGATCGAGTCATCCGACGTGGCTGATGTCATCTGGAAACGTGTTCTGGAAATCCGCCAGTGGCAGTGGATGGGCTGTGGACGAGAGGAATCTCTGCGAATGTTCCAGTACTTTCTTTCCAGAATACACTGCCAGGTTTACTACAGAGGATCTTAATTATAAAATGTGTGCATAGATAGAATACTCGGTAACAACGCGACAGATAAACACACGGTCATACGTCACCTCCTCCGGAAATGGCTGCCGCAAAGGCATCGGCAACACTCTGGCATTGCAGGAAAATATCGATCTGCGTTTGGCCGGTGTAGAACCATGCAGTCAAGGCCTTGAACGTGTTGGATCAGAAAACAAACGTTCCGCAGCAAAGCTTCAGTGCGACTCACAATCATCGCTGCAGGACAGGTCAGTTGGTCTGGAATGCTGCAAGCGAGTTCGGGAAAGGACATACCATAGAAGGACAGCATAGCCACACCCTCCGCCCAGTTAGTCTTGGAGTCTGCGGTCACGTAGTTGACCACGAAACACGAACTGATAACGAGTGCCACTTCGAAGATATCTGTCCTGCGGTCAGCAGCGGTCGCAGCCCTTATCGCGCCACAGAACGCACCGAACAGCAAGAATAAGGGCCGGCCCGTCCACCATCCCAGAAGAACAATGAACGGCATCCAAAACAAGATGAATTGGATACTGAGATCGATCGGACGAGCACTGGCCAACGTTCCCTGCGCCACACTGAGAATCACTGGGACTCGCAACAGATCAGACGGCTCGTACCGGAGGCGATGGCATCCCACGGAGATGCCGGATCCAGCTTCGGACGAAGAACAGGATGGCCAGGAATCCATCTCCCGAAAACGAGACCAACGGAAGGAGAATCAGGCCAAACCATCTGTGCACTCTCAGCGGGCGAACTTGATAGATCCGGTACTAGCTGGCACTCACTCTCTTTGTATGGAATGCCCGTGTCCAATGAAGTCGATGCTATCAACAAGCTGCGGGCTGAGATCAGATCAGCCAGTCGAGCAGACTGATTGGTCAAATACCCATTCTGCGGTCGCAGCCATGATACCGATGGTGACCGCTAGCATGGCAATACAGACCCACTGACTGACTTCCGGATCCAGTTGCTCGAATTCGGCCGCCTTGTCTTTGAGAGCCTCGGGAGCGAGCCTGTGTTCAGCCAATTCCATGTGTTCTCCGGGAGGATTGTATAGGAAGATTCTCGAGCAGACATAACTGCCACGGCTCAGCTTCGTATGGAGGCTAGCGTCAGATGTCCAAGACTCACACAAGGAGGAGAAGAATGGCGATCCCTCGGCTCATCTGCAGGAAGATAACTCGGTTCTTCTCGATAAGAAACCCGTCGGTGAAGTTTGAACGCCCTTGCGTGGCAGCATCTGCCGGTGCGCCCGAAATGATGCCTTGGTCCAGCGCGGCGAAGAACGCGGCCGGGAGTAGCAAGGCCATGACACCGATCGTGAGCAGTGTCTGGTTGAGCTGAGTCAGATGCGGGTGCAGATCTTGCTCGATGATCCGGGCACCGCCGGTGACGAACGCCACTCCAGGAATAAGCAAGAGGTGGAGCAGAACAACCCCAATGATTGTTGATTGCAGCAATTTGAGCCTGACCGTGGCGAGTTAGCGGCGAACAGAATCGTTTCCAGCCGATCAGCAGCACATACTCGCATTTCTTGAGCAGAATTATGGCGAGGGTTCCTTCAACGACACTGAAGCACTATCAGAATCGATATTACGAGGAGGTGAGTAAGAGCTTACTTGTTCAACGTGACCACCAGGAGTTCGCCGAGATCGGGTCCCACGTAGAAAGCCATTTGTTCACCACCTTACATCCATTCAACAAACGTGTTTCACCTGCTTGATGAATATGAGACGCACCATACTCGAACAGTTTCTCCAAGGGAATGATAGCCAGGAAACAAAACACAAATGTGACCGAGAACGGAAAGGTCCTCATCCTCATGTCAGATCAGAAGCCGCGAAAACAGGACAAGGCTCACTTCTCCGGCGGCGAATCGTGTTTATTGGCAAAGTGTGCGACCCAAGCGATGGGGATGAAGAGGAGCAGAATATTCAGCCCTGCAAGAGGCTCAACCAACTAATCGATTACCGATCGAGAGGGCAGACACGCACACGACGAGAACACGAGCGCCTTGAGCGAGTCGACTACGCCGACCTTGGTCTTGCCCTTGCGGAAGAAGCGCTGGCCCATCCTGCTGTGCGTCCGGGAAAGCGGTTTCGGGGGCTTCTCGTTCGATCCGCTCGGCTGCAGCTCCAGCGCCAGCTCCTCATCGGCCGGCCGCCCGTGTGATGTGCGCCGCAGCGTGCTCTCGGACATCGTGTGGTTATGCGTTATGCGTTGTGCGTTGTGCTCCAAGCTTCTTGGTGCTGGGGACGGCCGGTGTATTAGGCTCTGATCCGGTCGTGGTGGCAGGGGCGTCGTCCAAGCTTTCTTGCACGGAAAGAATGCAGAGGCGAACGGAGGTCAAGAAGAGGCAGAAGAAGAGGGTGAAGAAGGGAGCGAGTCCGGGAAAGTAGAAAGATGAAGTGAGGATTGGTTAAGTAAAGGACTGTTAGCACCGGGCAGCCAGGTCTGGAGGTAATTCGCAAGCGAACTGTCTTGGCTGTGATATGTGGGAGAGCCAAGCTGTCCGAGCGGTGTTAACAAAGTGCCGTCGTGACTTTGGGCGCTCCGGGCGTCGATCATCCATCCCCTCCCCGGTATTCGGTCGTGAACCGGCTAGAGAGCGTAGGAGAGGTCGCGCAGCCGAGGAAAGGCTGCAGGCAAGAGTTCCTTGAAGCTGAACTGGATTGAATAGGATGGCATGTTTCCGCGGCCCGTGCGTGCTGTCATTCGATATTGTTCCGGATCCGATCAGTGACAGAGGTGGTTCCTGGCTCAGGCCACACCTTGACTTCAGCTTGGCCGCTCAAGACCAAGGAAGCCCAGGAAAGACGTTCAACACTCCACCGGCCAGCCAATTCGGCGACTCCACGGTGAGCTCACTGTACGGAGCAAGCTAAATCTCGGAACAATCCGGCCTGTTTATCGCTTTGACCTCTGCTATATATATGCACTGGGCAGGGAGATTCTAATGTTCTCGCCTGGCCGGACGATGTGATGCTCCCGTTTCCAGATGGCTTCTCGCATTGAATTGAATGACGATCCGCACGGAGCTGGCAAAGTCCACCCCTCCATCCTGGATTTCCCTGCATCTAAGACAGGGCGCTTTGACCCACAACGCGCCAAAAGTCTCATTCTTGTAAACATTGACTCAGCTCGATTACTTGTGGTTTCGTAGAATACCTTACCTTGTGTCCCACAACCCGATTTGTCAAAATTACTTGTACGTAGAGGAAAGTTCTGAACCCCCGACCGTGCTTGCTCTATGTTTCGACTAATCGCATTCGTGATTCTCGGGACAGAACTCCAACGCTGGTCTGGGGATACCATCTCTGCAATCTCTATCATCAAGCACATCGGTTCAGGGAGTCGCATAGCGACTCCCATTCGTCGTCACAAGCACTGCAGCACGTCTTTCCGTGTTGTAGGGAGCCAGTCGGATGCATGCCGTTTTCATATCCTCATGGAGAGGTGTGATCTCAACTCACGGCGAGTCTACGAGTCTGCATAGTCCATTTTATCCTCACAAGGCGAGAGGACGTGGCGAATAACGAAAGAGGCAAGCGGCCTGGGCGGCTGTTTCGGGCCATGTCTATCAACACAAGGACTCGAAACCACGGGCAGCCCAGGAAACTCACCGTCACTTTTGTGCGATAGACTTCCAGCACGTGCACCCTCTCATCCAGCTCGGTTCTCTTGTCGCTGGCTGCGAGCCAGATGGTAGCATCGGTCAGAAACGCGAACGACGGCCCCAATGCCGGTTTTCTGATCTTTGGGTTGTTCTGTGCAGATCCTGAAACAAACGGTGTGAACGGCGTCGAGTTGTTCACCAGCTGCCGTGATTTGTATTCAAGACGGGTTCCTACGCGGGAGGAAGGAAACGCACAAACACAGCGATGGAATACGTCTGCGCAAGAGTCCGCAGTTGCCGGAGGAGGCCAGTCATGATCGCGTGTCCCTGAGACGACACTGGGCTCAAGAGGGGAAGAATTAAAGGTGTCAGTGAGTCGATGGCGATAGCGCGGGTCCTGGTAGTGGACATAGGATTTGGCTGGTATCAACGAGGGAGATGAGCATCCACAAAGGCCGGCTTAGACGACACGCACTTCACTCAGAGACGATGCGAGCTCTTCAATAACCTGCTGGACGGCATCAACTTCGAAAGCATTGGACAGTTGCATCCGAGATAGCGCGTCCTGAATCAGCCTTAGAAGAGAAGTGCAGGTTTAGTTTAGTTTCGTAGCACGCACCGGAGCATCAAAGCTCTTGGCCATCTCTTGTGCCCTGTGGGGCGAGAATTCACCAGTTGTGTCAATCCAGAGGATGCTGGAAGATGGTTCCGTGGATAGATGCCGGAGTACGAGGTGGAGCAAAAAGGACTTGTCATGTCCGTGAATCCCAGCCGTTGCAGCTTGACTCGACGCACTGTTTTTCCCGACCGCCTGTCCCCCGATATCTCAACGATTCGGCGAGTAGATGTCAATCCCTCCAAGACGCTGTCAACGTCCGGCAAGCCAGTCAAGAATCCAAATGCCAACTCCTCGGTTTCGTCCTCATCCTTCAACAGCATTTCGAGAGTCTTCCCAGGAGCAGATGCAAGCCCAGCAACGACGTCTTTGTACCGTGAGAGCTCTTGAAGCGTGATTGATTGAGCAGGGAGTGAACGGTAGATGTTGAGAATTGAACGGCCGAATAGCAGCTCGTTATCTGTTCTGATTCCGCATTGCTCCAGAATTGAGATGAGCGTCACGGGAATATGGGGTGCGTAGGAAACCAGTCGCATGGGGGCGGGAGATGGAGGAGTAGGAGGGGGTTCACAATGACATCCGGCAACGTTGGCTTTCAGGGGGGGGATCACGTGACCGTGCACTGACAGGCTCTGACCTCCGTGCGAAATGTTTGATTGGCTTCTATTCACATCTTTTATGGAAATGCTACGGATGGTCCGACGCCTGATTTCTGCCCTCCATGCCATAATTTTGAAGAGAGGATCGATGGTTCTTGGCAACGCGCAGAAGGGTGAGGACGCCCCGATACGCAAACTCTTGGAAATGAACAGCATGGAGGGAGCCACGAAGTTGCTTGTCGTCAGCTGTCGGCTGATCACCGCCAGTACGAGCATCAACGGCCATTGTAGCAGACTTCCAAGCCCTCCGTGCCTGCAAAATCTGATCAAACCATTCTTGGAGGAATGGGGCCATTGCAAGGATAAACGGATTCTTCGTCTGGGACAGAAGGAGTTCCCGTGGTTCACCCAGATTATACGAAGCCATCACGCCTTCCCGAACATTGACATTGTCAGAGGCCAGATTAATCGCCCACTCGACCTCGATTTTCGAGTCTTTGTCAGCATGGCCTTGTAAGAGCGCAGAAAGGCCAGTCCAGAACGCAGACTCGTGGTCATCGACAGGGGATTGCAAATAGGGTGTGCCATCTTGAAGAGCATCTCTGAGAGTTGTGGACATGAATCGGTGTGTGCCCTGAACAGTGTCAGACATGAAGTGACATGGATGCAAATGGAAAACATGCACACCGAGAGAGTGCCTCGACTGTGGTCGTTTCGGAAGTACTCCTTCAGCTCGCATGCTTGATCGCCATCCATGATCATACCCTGGCACTCTGTCCCGATGTCCAGCTCGCCGATAGCCATGTGGACAGCGTGAGCCAGCTCAGCCAATTTATGCTTAGCTGGCTCGTTTCGGAGCGACAGCAGGAGACCGTCAAAGTCAGGAAGGAGACCGCCGGCAGCAAGGTCGAGGCGATCAAGACGGGATCCGAGGTCCGCAACAAACTCCGACTGCTTTCCAAAGACAGAGAAATCGGCAGACATGTCCCGCAGCACTCGTTCGATGACCGCAGCCGTGAATTTCGGTCGATGCAAAGGCGGATCCGACCGCAGCAGATTGACGATGCTGACATTCCGATGAAGAAAACCCGCCTGGAACAAGGAAAGCCAGCCTCACCAACCAGTGAGTCAAAATATGCGGCCAGTAGCAGAAACAGAACTTACCAAGCATGCCATGTACGACAGAGATGACTAGGTCCCAGGGAGTCTTGCAGGTCTCGAGACGTTTTCCCTCGCCGGTTGTGATGTGCACACACATCGTCCGATGGTCGAGGAATTTCTCGGTTACATGAGAGCTCGCGTTTGGATACTGCCAGAGCCGATCTGCCATGTGATCCGGCTCGGGAAGGAAGATGTCGTTGGTGAGAGGGACGTCCTCCTCACTACATGGGATGAAGGATATCACATGTCCAGCAGTACCGAATGTATCCGGACAGGCGTGCAGCATCTTCCCTTCGATCTCAGCTCTGTACGAAGGATACCATCCAGTCTTCAGAATCACGTGTTTCACTGGCCCTTGCTGGGGGCTAGATGTGAGTGCTTGCATGGCTTGAGGTAATTTCAGCTCATCATTCGAAGGTCGTGGTGTAATGAGCTCTGATTTCTCTGCTGAGAATGCGGTCATAGTTTCTAATGTAGAGACGCGCGCGGCATCACTCACCTGACGGTTTCCCTTGCTTCTCTCTCCCGCTTACCTTGCCGGTTTCCTGCTTGTCTCTGGGATGGACTCCGGGCTTTGGGGTATCAGACGGGAACCCCAAGTCATTGACAGCAACAGCTCCAACAAGAGTGTTCCGGCCCCGAATCGAGAGTCTTGCATCCAGCACTGTCTCCATAACACCGAAACAGCATGCATCAGCGTTTCCGACATCGTCCACCTTGGGAAGAACGAATCGAACGCCGTCCGTGAACGAGGGAAGGCCAGCGTCCTCCCGACACGACCAGAGAACGATCGAAAGAAAGACTTTCTCGACAGCGGCGCAGGTGGAAGCGTCCGTGACATCCAGCCCGACTGAGGCCGTCAGTCCTCCCCGATGGAAGATGAGAAAGCGCAGTTGCCGTTCGACGTGATTGAAGGCAATGACGACAGAGAACGAGCGCATCGGGTTCACGCTTAGCTGCGCATGGGCATATGCAGCGGCGTGCGGAATCAGCTCGCTCCAGATACGTTTGACGCCAACGGCGATCTGGATCTGCTGCAAGTGACGGTTGGGACCATGGTCGCCGAACGTCGATTGCCAGCAACAGTCCAACTCCGTGCTCGAAGCTTGCAGTGTGTTGATCCCGACAAGGTCAGGGTCGAGAAGACTTGCCCCTTCGATACCGTCGAAAGTGCTCCTGTCGTATTCGTAGAAATTTAGCTCGGGAAGCAATCGGGATTCGTCTTTCAGGGCAGGAAAGGACGTCTCGCCCACACAGACCTCTGCCTTGGAATCCACGATTACTCGACAGGCGTTGCGCACGCGTTTCAGGCGTGCATTGAGGTACTTGGCGAGAGGTTCGTAGTGGTCTCCTTCAGTCAAGGACTCAGATATGTACGTCGTTGCCGAGTTACTTTGCGAGGACAAAGCGAGGGAGACAGCGTCGGAGTTCACAAGACAGTCAAAGTGAGCGAGGTGATGGGGGCCTTCCGTTCCCTTCCACTGTCGTTGGAGACGCTTGGGACACAGCATCGCAGCGATCTCATCAGCCGGAAACTGGTACACCTGTGAGCCCAGCTCACTTGCCATTTCTTGAATTGCAGTGTGTTGAGCGCGAAGAGAAGAGTCCTGCACGGTTTTCGCTCTCGCGCGGAAGTGGAGGACGAGGCATTGAACGCTATGGCATTGCGCGTGATCCTAATCCTTTAGTCCAGACACATGATCCGTCACATGCTGAACTTGTCCAACGCCCACCATGGAATTGTTGGAGAGACAATCTACTATCGAGTTTGGCGCTCGACCAGGTTGATCATACAGAGATATCGTACAGAGATATCAATTGCATGAGCCAATTGAGGCCTCTACATGTCTCCTCCTCTCCAGGCTCTGGGCCCAAGCCCATTGAATTACTGATGCAAAATCACAGAATACATTCGCTTTAGCTGAGGTTTTGTCTTCTCAAATGTGACACACAGCGATTGAGAAGGATTTGATTGAGTTGCTCGAGCGTTCATAACACACTGCTCAGCACTGCATCACTCTGATCTATAGGGCACTAAACGCGTCAACTGCTGTCAACAAACTGATTTTCCCTCTCGCACTTCAATGTTCTCCGCCCTCCGTGCCCCTGCCGTCCGGCGTTCCTCCCTCCGTGTCGGTCTAATACCTTTTTCATCTTGAGAAGCCTCTCCAACCGCATTATCCAGGCTTTCTCGACTACCTTGCCACAGCACGATCTCGCGAAACTGACACTCATTGGCACGCTTGGACGAGACCCCGAACTCAAAACCACTAAGAACGATAAGGAATTTGTGTCGTGCGTGTTGAATATCAACCGCGTCCAATGTCTCATTGCCCCCATGTGCAGTTACACAGTCGCGACGGGTTCTCGTGGTGCTAATGATGGTGCGTAGTCTAAATTTGGTTCATGCAATCTATATCCCTACTGACACTCTGGTCCTGCATGCAAAGAATGGACTACGACGTGGCATCGTGTCTTCTCCTTCTCGCCGGGCTCGAACAAATACCTTCAGACGCTGAAGGGCGGAAGCAAAGTCTACGTTGAAGCTGCCTTTGAAATTCGAGAACCCGAGTCCGGAGCGGACCCATCGACTGCTCAGGGCCAGCGTCAAATTTTCTTGCGACATGGTGCGCCCGGACTCGTCCCTGCGCACGGCCCTGCTGACGTTGCGTGTAGAGAATATCCAAGTGGTCTCGCGCCCCAAATCCGATTCGGAACACATTGAAGCAGCTGATGTGTAAACTCTTTCCCCACCTATCCTCTGTGACTTGTATATACCGTATCTCCCATCTTATTCGATTTTACTTTCGGTGTGATATCACTATCAATACTGTGGGAAACTTGCTTGACAACTTGCTCTCGTCCAGGATGGAATTCTTCAATAGTGCTGGCTCTGACCCCCTTAAGCCATCTCTATTTGAACTGGTCGCGCAAGAGCAGCTTCGAGATTTGCTTCAACCTGCCCTGAAGTATGTCTTGGCGGTAAGACGCATCTCCGACGCGCTTGCGCAAACGCGTTGATCTTGCGCCAGTTTCTTGCACAACACTACCCGCGCTACTTGATTCGGGTGGTCAACCGACATGAAGAATTCTATGCATTCATCATGCTATTCGTCGAGAAGCATTATCTGCTGAAGCATAGTGCGTCCCGCATCTCAATTGGGCACGGACCGACATGGCGTTGAACGTGGGGCATTGACAGACGCATCGTTTGCGGAGAATTTTTATGGTCTCAAACGCAGAAGGCGGCCTTTCATCGAGACCGAGCGAGCGCAGGCTGCTGTGGGCGGTATTCCATTAGCAGAGAAGCTGCGTTCGCAAGAGGTTTGGAGGTCGTTGATTATCCTCGTGCGTGTTTTCTCTTCCATCCGTAGCCTCACATGACGAGCTATACAAGGTCGGGCTGCCGTATCTCCGAGCCAAAGCCCAGGATTACTTTGAGGAGATTGGTGGTGGTGTCAGACACGACATTGACGACGAGCCAGGTTTTGACAGAGTTACGGTGAGTCGTCATGCAACCTTGCTTCCGATGCAAATTGAACGAGTCCAGCCATCCGAAGGTTTATACAGAAGACTATTCAAGAGAATATATCCATGGGCCAACACCTCCTTCGAAGTCTGGCTGCTGGTCTGGAACCTGAGATATCTCTTCAGCAAGACACCATTTTACCGACCGTGGCTGTCATGGGTCGGAGTTGAGCTCCGTCGACTGGGAGCGGAAGATTTCGTACGCATGAACTCTGCCTTTATTCAATGCTTCCTGACGCACAGAATCCCAGCGTGCAGCTGCCGATTTGGCCAACAGAAGCGCCAGTAGTAAGCCCTCAACCAACTTGCTGGCTCGATTGCGGGAGCTCCTTGTTGGCTCTCCTCAACTCGCACTGGACTCTCTGAGACTTCTTCTGCCTACTGCCATATTCTTCATCAAGTTTTTGGAGTGGTGGTACTCGCCAGGATCGCCTGCGCGCTCTCTGTCGACTTCCCCGCTGGGACCGGCGGTCCCACCTCCAAGGATGCTCCGGCCGCACCCAAAAGGCATACGCTTTGATGCGCAGGGCTTTGGGAAGTGCCCGATCTGCGCAGACGATCTGAAGAACGCGACTGCTCTACCGTCTGGTTACGTTTTCTGCTACCGGTGTGCTTACGACGAGGTTGAAAAGCATGGGCAGTGCCCTGTGACGCTGTTACCGGTCCGGGTCTGGCAGCTGAGGAAGGTTATGGTATAGTCGTAGTCTATGTTACATGCATTCGTATGCTACGCGGGATCTGCAACGATTTTCATCAGTCTCCCGCATTTAGGTGCCGGGCCGGCCACCCGTTATTACGTAATATAAAGTACCTGGGGCAAACGTTCAACGATTCGAGTCCTTCTCTCATGGGCTTGCAATTGTACATATTGTTTTCATACTACCTTTGCCTCCCGTTCCTTTCTTCAACGGTTGACATCAATCCCAAATGAAGGTCAGTGTCTATTATTGCTCCTGTCGCACCGCAACACATTGCCTGACGTTGTCACGGCTTTACAGTTTGGGAAGCACATCCAGGCGCAACAAGTCCCAGGATGGTCTGCATACTACCTCGATTATAAATTCTTGAAGAAAATTATCTCCTCCCTGACTGCGAATCGGCCTGCACATGAAGCTGCCGCCCTCGCCGTCGGACTACGACCGACGGATATACTAGATGCGGCCCCTCCGTCTCAAGTCCCCTCCATTCCGCCCTTATTCGCTGCGGACTCGACTCAGGATGATCGGGGGGCGGACTTCAGGGCACACAAGGCTGCATTCTTTTTCAAACTGGAGCGGGAGCTGGAGAAGGTGCCGTGCCGCGTTGGGTCGCGCTGCCGCTGTTGTGCCTGATTCATTCACCAGATCAACGAGTTTTACCTGCAGAAGGAAGCCGAGCTTAAGCTTCGACTCGAGACCCTACTTTCTAAACGGCGCGCTGCCGCCCTGCGAGGTTTCCCCGACCCGACGGAATCAGACTCGAGCCAAAATGTAGAGTGGACTGCGGTGGAAGAGGGCTTCCGTCACCTCGAACGAGATTTAGGGAAACTGCAGGTATAGGATCCGTGTCCCCTCCCGCATCGCTCATCCACATACGATATCTTGCAGCAATTTGTGGAGATCAACGCCACAGGGTTCCGCAAGATCCTCAAAAAGTTCGACAAGCGGTCGACATCCACGACCAAGGAGCTGTATCTCGCACGACAAGTCGACGTGCAGCCCGTGTTCAATAGGCAACTGATCTCTGAGTTGTCCGACACTGTTGCTGCGTGTTTACTAGATTTGACGGACCTGTCGTCGGGTCTCAAGTTCGAAGGATCGGCTGCGACGGATCTGTTTGCGCAGCAGATTCTAAACGAGCGCGCACAGCATCAAGGGCCGTTCCAAGACTTGGAGAATAATCTGCGGAAAGCCGTTGCGACTTCAGATACGTCTGCGATTGCGGAATACATCCACTACTCCGAGGTCCTTTCGCAGCAGGGGCAGGGCGGAAAAACGAACGTGACGCGGATCCTTTGGAATGCGATCATCGAGGCACCGCCTGATCTAGCGAACCTGATCCTGGCTTCGCTCACAACGCCATTCGACTTCGCGTTCATCGATGACATCAACGGACGCACGTGTCTGCACGAAGTAGCGATTGCTGGGGCGCCGCGGCTGGCTCAGATGTGCATTGAGAGGGGTGTGGATGCGACCAAGGTCGATGCGTACGGCCGGACTGCGTTGCACTACGCTGCGATGAACGGGCATGCCAGCATTTGCAAACTGCTGCTCCAAACCGCGATTTCCCCTGAAAGCCACGACATGGACAACTACACGGCGCTCGTTTATGCTACACTGAGCGGCAGTGCTGACTGCATCAGAGTTCTGCTGGACGACGGCCGGGTTGCGATCCAGCCTGGTGCGGCAGGAAACGATTTGATTCCTCTTTCTCTGGCCAGCCAGTCCGGCTACGTCGATGCGGTGAGGTTGCTTCTCGAACGCGGCGCCCGGTGTTTGCCGAACAGCAACGGAGAGTTCCCGATGCATCTCGCGGCGCGGGAAGGCCATGTCGATGTATGCAGGATGCTGGTGAACAAAGATGGCTGGGACACCCCAGACAAGTACCACGAGTGGACGCCGTTGTTTCACGCGGCGCGGTATGGTCGAGGGGAATGTGTGAAGATCCTATTGGATGCCGGTGCACGGGTGCGAGCAATGGATGAACTGGGCCATCTGGCGGTCTACTACGCCATGTGGTATGGGCACAACCAATGCCTCAGTCCTCTACTCAGTGCTACGCCCATCATTTCGTCGATCGCGGTCCCTCCTCTCGCCATGAAAGACTCGCCGTTCTCCGATGCGCCGGTGACTGAAAACGAGATCGACCTGATACCCTCACTGTCTCTCCCTCCTCCCATCATGCCACATCGAGTGTACGGTCACAACTACTTGGACAAGAACCACCTCGTGCAGGTCACCATCGGCCAGACGTCTGGTCGAGACAGTGCTGTTCCCAGCGTTCGGCTGCACCACCGCCTCATCAGCCCTGCGTTCAAGAACGATGTGGTGATGGCCACCACGCCTCTCAAGCTTGTCATCACCACAAGCCGGGATGTCAATTCAGGCCCCTTCAGCATCCCTCTGCCGCAGAAGGAGTCGTCCGACACGTACACTTTCCAGATCGCCTCCCTAGACAACCTGTCTCTGATCTTCTCGGTCTACCCCAATTTTGGAACGAAAACTATCGGACGTGCCGTTGCACTTCCTGCGTTGTTCAAGAACTTTGAACGAAATCGACCGTTTGTGCTTCCCATCTTGGACACTCGGTTGCATGTCATTGGCGAGGTACGTCAATCTGTTCGGTTTTTCCTCAAGGAATACAACCCAGCGCATCACACAGATCGACTTTGAAGTCAACATTGTCACGCCCTTTGACGGCGTAAAGCTTGAGGTCGGTGGGGATGTTGAGACGTATTGGAAGTCGCTGGCCCGACCACTGGCCCCACCGCGCGGCCCTTCGCGATGGCCGCATCGCTCGAATCTGATCGCATCCTCGACGACATCTCCGTCCGCGCATGCGATTACGAACAACGTGGGTCAGGCGTCGACGATTTCGTCTCTCCGCGGGAGTTATCTCGCTCTCACTGTCCAGGTCACCCGTGATCTCCATCCTGTCATCTGCACGGACTGGATCCTCGCCCATCCTGACTTTGACCTGACGGTTGCGGACGTGACTCTCGCTCAATTTGAGGCGCTGGCGAAGCTCCTGAGCCGCAACCTAACTGAGGAAGCAGACGTGTCGGCGATTGCGTCGTCGATGGTCTCTCTGGCTCAGGTCCTGCAGACGCTTCCGCCAACGCTGGGTGTGAATCTGGAGCTGGCGTACCCGAGAGCGCAGACGCGTCTGCATCTGAATGATTTCGTGGATTCTGTGCTACGCACGACGTACCACAACCCGGCGTCTCGGAGGAGATACGTCTTCACATCGTTCTCGCCGGATGTGTGTGCTGCAGTCAATTGGAAGCAGCCGAATTGTGCGTTTCAGCAGCTCATCGTGCTTGTTCCATCGCACTCACACACACACTCTCTCTCTTTCTCCAGATCCCATTTTCTTCGCGACACAATGCGGGAAGAATCAGTCGGATCCGGACCGAGCCCCTTTTGTTGGAGGCGATGACTGGGACGGGAGGACCTCAAGTGTCGGTGCTGCAGTCGAATTCGCGCGCGCGAACAATCTATTGGGCATCTTCGTCGACTCGGAACTCTTGGTGCGTTTGCACGTGGGGTGCTGCTGCTGACACGACACTCACATGATGCCTGCAGATCCAAGTTCCTTCCCTGATCGATGGAATCCGCAATGCAGGGCTGCTCATCGGCATCAACGGCGCCTCGGACAAGACCGACGCGCTGACGACGGCATCGCACATCGAGGGCACCCCGGTCGATGGGTTCGTGCGCGATGGGAAGGTCGTCTACGTCGACCATTCCAGCCGGGAGCTGATCTGAAGCAGTATTTAAATGAGTAAATAAATAAATTGTAATCGGAATGTTGTATCAGCCCGTCGTCGAGGCATTCAAAGCGTCGTGGATTCGAATTTCGCTGAGCAGGACGAAGCATGTGAATTCGTGTGTTGCTTGTTGGCTGGCTCTGCAGTCCAAGTCCACATTTATTCATGATCAGATGTCAGGGCCCCAATTCTGCTGGCAGATGACAACGTGGTAAGCAGAAAGGACAAGTAACGACAGGACATCTCGCATGTGTGATCTTGAGCAACCCGTTCAAAAGGCGTTCACAGTCCCGTTGTCCGGAGTAGCCGCAAGCGTGTACCAGGGAGCCATGCCGTACGCCACTTCTCTGGTGACAGCCACCCAGGACGAGCTATCGTACGTGGTATTCTGGAACCCGGCGGGGACGGTCGCGGTTCCCGGCCAGGACCACGATGCATCGCTGACCACGACGGCCGCGCTGGTGCACGTGCTCGCCGCGTGGACCAGGGTCATCTGCGCAGAAACGACGAGGCCCGACTCCAGATGCAGAGTTTCTCCAAGAACCCCAGTTTTGAAGCGTTACAGTCGGTTGCATACAGGACGTCATTTAGCTGGAGATCTTGACTCGACAGGAATGCTTGAGATCGAGCAGCCAGCCTCGGCGGCTCCATCTGCCCACCCGCCGTGGTTTGACGTGCCCTAATAGACGGAGAAATGGAAGGACAGTGAGTCATCCAGCAGCTGTGCTGATGGCCTACGTGTTAGTGAGGGCAAACGGAAGTGTGATAGTGCACAGAGAAGTGTGATAGTGCACAGAAAAGAGCAGAATAGAGCGAGCCGAGGCCCAATTTGTGTTCCCAAAGACGGACGAACTGCTTCCAGGAGCCACGCCGATAAATGGATTGCGAGTGGCCCGGTCGACTTCATTGGCAGTTAAATACCGAATGAGAGATACTCAGCAATTATCGAGTGATATTCACATCTGTCCAAGCTCGGTATCCGCCGATCGCCAGCCACCCCGCGTCCGTCATACGAGCCAAGACCAAGCCGTCTCAATCTTATTCCTCGGAGGGGCATCGTCACGGTCTTCCGCCTCAATCTCGCTGATATCCGACACAAAGTCCATCTGGTCGGGCGGGATCCAAGAGAGCGGATGCCCCCTGCAAAGGTGGTACCAGCACTTGGCGGCGACGCACATGACGGGGAACAGCGCGAGCGGGAGGTAGTTGGTCACGAAGTTGGCTGTGGACCAGTGTCCGTGGACGAAAACAGACCACCCACTGAACTGGACGCGCAGACAGATGCAGGCGTGAGAAAGTGGCATACGCAGGGGGTGGCGAGGCACTCACGAAGCACATCGCAGCGCAGAAGATCATCGCGTACCAGGCCGCAAAGGGCTGCAGACGCGAGGCGTAGGGCAGCGTCGAGCGGTCGTAGCCTTGGGATTTCATGCCCCGGTGAAACCGGATGTACGTGAGCGAGATGCCGAACCACGACATCAGGCCCGCGACCGCAGTCATGTTGGCGAACCAGCCGAACACCTTGCCAGAGCCGGCTGTCACGCCCATGTATGAGAGAGTCGCGCTGGTGTCAGCTTCAGTGTGTTGTGACATGGAAGAAGAACCCAGCGCACAAGAGCGAGCAGAATATGACGGAAGAGATCGGCAGCCCATTCTTGAGGGTTTTGAGGAAGATCTTGGGGGCATTGCCTGCTGCCGCTAGACCGTATAGGGCCCGTGAGCTGGTATACAAGTCACTCGAGCCTGCACTCCAGGCGGAGGTCAGCAAACAGGCGTTGATGATCGAGGGGAGGACCCTGATGCCAGAGCTGGGGTTGTAAGTATGAGCAGAGGGATGGAGGATATAGATATGAGTTTTACCGTTGTATGGCGATGACAAAGCTAAAGTGCAATCAATCATGGTGAAAGGAAATAATGGAATTCAACTCACGGAGAGCTCGCTGCAGTGCCCGAGTCAAGGTCCAATCCTGGGCTGTCATGTGGCACAAGCAAGCCAATGATGAACACACCCCCGATATAGAACAGAAGGAGTCTGAAATCAACCCAGTTTCATAAGCGAACGAAGAAGCAAAGCAGCGGCAGTGCACACCGGATGTAGACACGCCGGATGGCCTTCGGCAAATTCCGTCGTGGGTTCTTGGCTTCTCCAGCAGCGATCTGTCCACAACACAGGCCTCAAGTTTGGCGCGTTACCAAGACAGCAATGCTCACCGCAACGATCTCGGTCCCACTGCGGCCCAGCATGTGTTAAAAGTCGGAATCTGTCCGAGATGTGCTTACATGAACGAAAACGCAGCCTGGGCCATCACAGACCACCACCCGACGAAGCGGCCCTCTGCACCCGGAATGTCGCCATACTCACCAAAAGGACCCGGGTGTTTCCAGAAACGAAATCCCAGACGATCGTGGTCAGGGCCGCCCCCCAGGTCAAGGACAAGGCCAAGCACGATCAATCCAGTGATCTGCAGATGGTCTCAGAATGATGAGCAGGACCAATAAAATGGATTCGACCGACAGTGATCACTTTGATCGAACTGTGAAGAAAAGTTGAACGGTTCGTGTGGGCAAAGAAGCGCAGGTGTGACTGACGCAAAGATGAACTCGGCTTCTCCGTACACACCCACCCCACACATGTTGATCCCCACCACGAAGATCAGAATCATCGTGATCCAAACAACTTCGCTGACGGAGTTATCCCAGTAGTCGACCAAAACGGCCGCAGCAGACATTTCGGCAGGCAGCGCTGCAGGGAGCGATGAGAATCTCGCCAGCATAAATGCACCGTTGCTCATACCAACTGTCCGAAACATATGAGTACCGAGGATACTGCAACGAAAGAACACGGAGGACGCAACTGATCAGGTTATACCAGTAGTTCCAGCTGACGTATATAATTAATTGTCAGACCTTCAGAACGGAGAAATGACGAACCCCATGGCAAAGGAGAAGGCCGGATCCACAAATCTTTCTGCAAGCTTGATATGTCCCCCTGGGATTGGGAGATAGGCCACCATTTCACCGAGCGAGATCCTATCGGTCACCGTCAGCATGCGGCGGAGATAACGCACAGTCTTCAATCACATACATGACCGAATAACATATACTTCCAACGAGGAGGTATGCGATCAGCAAACCTGCATACATCGTCATGTAAGCGAGCAGATAGATCAGCGAGCAGTGTCTGGTCGACAGACCAGCAGGCCCGCCGTGACGCAGCGCTAGAAAGGGCATTGTCAGGAAGATGCCCAGCCACATTCATCGAAAATCCAGCGCACCGGTTGCCGTGCCCAGGAACAGCCCTGTGCCAATCACTCCCCCAATACTGTCCGCGGTTTTCAAGCGCGTCAGCATCCACACGCAGCAAAACGCGACGAGCCCCTCACCTGATCATCGTGATGTGCCCTCTTGAACGGTGAACAACGGATGCCATGGCGCATACAGACGACATCAGACGCACGGTTCTTCAGGTGCCGCACAAGCTTGTTGGGCTCCTGCTGGTACACTTCGATGACCTCGCGCACGGACGCACCGCGAAATTTGGCATCCGCTGCGTTCTCCGACATGCAGGGTGAGAAAGAGAGAGTGCTCGTGATCCCAGAGAGCTTGAGTTTATGTAGTAAGCGAGTAAATCCCTCGCGGCAAATCGCCGGGGCAAGTGGCCACCAGATCTATGTTCAGAAGTCGGGGAGCAGGCCCTTGTCCCGGATAGATCGGGCTGAGTGTCATCGTTGGCGGCGCATAAAGGTACGTTGCTGAGACGGGTCCCAATCCCGGAGGACCCATAGAGCTTCAGTCGTTCGGCACGCGTCCTGGGATACTACATAAATGGAATGCTGCGAGGAGTGACAACGAGCATAGACGCTGCTTCGATTACGTCAACAATCGAATGATGCGACGATCTATAATATGTTACAGCATGAATGTGATAGAATGTAAAGCTCAAGGCCGCCGGTACCAAGCGGGGTGGCCCGGAGTTGAGTGAAATACAGCTACCGAATACCGCCATCACTTCCAGAGGATTGAAAACATGCAGCTGTAGACCAAGGAGGGGTAGATCTCTTGATCTTTGTCTCATTCTCACGACCCTATACATCGCCCTCGGAAGCGGAAGATGGATGGATGGATTCACCGCATAGGTCCCTGTGCGGAACGGCGGAGCTCTGTACCTACACACACTGGCCTAGTACGGTGTATGCTACAGACAATGAGCGAACACCTCCAGTGCACTCGAAATACACTAGGGTCATCGTCTCGTGCAATAGCTTTGTTGAATGGGTTGATTTCGTACATGAGATCGGGTGCGCGGATGATGCATGATGGTCGAAAAGGGGCCGCGCATGGTGGATGGATGGATGAGAGGAGTCAGCGTCAGAGATCGCATTTGCAGAACGGCAGCATCGAAGCCTGGAGACCCCTTCGCAGTCGGGACTCTGTACTATTGAACAGGCCAAAAGTTCTTTTCGCATTGGGATGTTTTCCTTGTGCGCGCAAGACAGCAGGCATAGGTGACGGTCACTACACAAAGATAGCCCTGTGCCATGCCATTTCGAGGATATAGATGTGCATTTCTAAATGCATATTCTTGAAATCAACAGCCCGGGGCCCGAGCCCAGACTTGCCTGAGCCTGCCGGGCTCCAAAAGACCGAGGCCGGGTACTCGGGCTTGTAGGCCTTGAGCCCGAGCCCGCCCAACACTACTCAAGTATATACATCACACTATTCTCATAGTGCTTGTCCACTCCCGCCATGGAGACATCGGGCAAGATCACTTGGAAAGTCGACCAGGACACGGTGCAGACCGCGTACTGGGTCTACGGCGACCTCAGCACCGCCGCGATCCCGCTGATCGTGCTGCACGGCGGCCCGGGCTCCCCTCACGGCTACGTCCAGCCCCTCGCCCAGCTCGCACAGCGCGGGCCGCACAGCGCGGTGATCATGTACGACCAGCTCGGCTGCGGCCAGTCGACGCACCTCGCGCACAAGCCGGCCACGTTCTGGACCGTCGAGCTCTTCATGGACGAGCTCGAGCACGTACTCGCGCACTTTGGCATCAGCGGCGACACCCGGTTCGCGCTGCTCGGGCACTCGTGGGGCGGCATGCTCGCCGCGACGTACGCCGCGCGCCGCCGGCCCGCGAACCTGCATCGCCTCGTCATCTCCGACTCGCCGGCGTCGATGGCGCTGTGGGTCGAGGGCTGCGCCCAGCTGCTGGCCCAGTTCCCTGCGGGCTTCCGCGCGCTGTTGGCCAGCCACGAGGCGGCCGGGACGACCGAGAGCAAGGAGTACCAGGACGCGCTCCAGGTGTTCTACAAAAAGCACCTGTGCCGACTGGAGGTATGGCCCGAGACCGTGGAGCAGTCGTTTGCGGAACTTGCGAAGGATCCGACGGTGTATATGACGATGTGCGTGTAAACCCCACCTATCACGTTGGTTTCTGCATACTCACCCCGGGCCGGTGACCAGGAATGGGCCATCGGAGTTCACGATCACGGGCTCGCTGAAGACCTGGACCATCGTCGACGAGCTGCACCACATCACCGCCCCGACGCTCTTGCTCAACGGCCGCTTCGACGAGGCACGCAACCTCGCAGTCGCGCCGTTCTTCACGCACATCCGTGGCCCCGTCAAGTGGGTCGAGTTCGCGGAGAGCAGCCACATGCCATTCTACGAGGAACAGGAGCGCTATCTCGAGGTCGTCGCAGAGTTCCTGGCCCAGTAGGTTCCGTAGCTAGCAGGTCCAATGAGAAGTGCACTTTGATGCCGATCAATGACTTTCCATGATCTCATCAGGAAACCTAAGTACTGCGGCAGCCTGCAGGTCAGCGCAGGTCAGATCCGCATTCGTCCGGCAAACACCTGCGATCGTTCCTGATCAACCAGCACCCTGTCCGTCTCAGGTGCCCTTACTGCACCGCTCAAGCAGCGTCTACATAGCACAATCTGTTCACACTTGGCGGCCACATCGGAACTGAGGCAGAAACCTACGACGCAAAACCGTTCTGCTTCTTCTCGCTCGCAAGAACACGTCCAACCAAGAGATGCCCGCCGCAGAACTCGGCGCGCAGGTGTACCAGTTTCCGGCTGATGAGATCGCTGCGATGCTGTCTCCCAAGCGTCTCCAACGACAGTGGAAGGGAACGGAAGGCCCCCATCACCTCGCTCACTTTGACTGTCTTGTGAACTCTGACGCTGTCTCCCTCGCTTTGTCCTCGCAAAGTAACTTGGCAACGATGTACAGATCTGAGTCCTTGACTGAAAGAGACCACTACGAACCTCTCGCCAAGTACCTCAATGCACGCCTGAAACGCGTGCGCAAAGCCTGTCGAGTAATCTTGGATTCCAAGGCAGAGGTCTGTGTGGGCGAGACGTCCTTTCCTGCCCTGAAAGACGAATCCCGATTGCTTCCCGAGCTAAATTTCTACGAATACGACAGGAGCACTTTCGACGGTATCGAAGGGGCAAATCTTCTCAACCCTGACCTTGTCGGGATCAACACACTGCAAGCTTCGAGCACGGAGTTGGACTGCTGCTGGCAATCGACGTTCGACGACCATGGTCCCAACCGTCACTTGCAGCAGATCCAGATCGCCGTTGGCGTCAAACGTATCTGGAGCGAGCTGATTCCGCACGCCGCTGCATATGCCCATGCGCAGCTAAGCGTGAACCCGATGCGCTCGTTCTCTGTCGTCATTGCCTTCAATCACGTCGAACGGCAACTGCGCTTTCTCATCTTCCATCGTGGAGGACTGACGGCCTCGGTCGGGCTGGATGTCACGGACGCTTCCACCTGCGCCGCTGTCGAGAAAGTCTTTCTTTCGATCGCTCTCTGGTCGTGTCGGGAGGACGCTGGCCTTCCTTCGTTCACGGATGGCGTCCGATTCGTTCTTCCCAAGATGGACGGTGTCGGAAACGCTAATGCGTGCTGTTTCGGTGTGATGAAGACAGTGCTGGATGCAAGACACTCGATTCGGGGCCGGAACACTCTTGTTGGAGCTGTCGCTGTCAATGACTTGGGGTTTCCGTTTGATACCCCAAAGCCCGGAGTCCATCCCAGAGACAAGCAGGAAACCGGCAAGGTAAGCGGTAGAGAGAAGCAAGGGAAACCGTCAGGTGAGTGATGCCGCGCGCGTCTCTACATTAGAAACTATGACCGCACCTAGCAGAGAAATTAGAGCTCATTACACCACGACCCTCGAATGATGAGCTGAAATTACCTCAAGCCATGCAAGCGCTCACATCTAGCCCCCAGCAAGGGCCAGTGAAACACGTGATTCTGAAGACTGGATGGTATCCTTCGCACAGAGCTGAGATCGGAGGGAAGATGCTGCACGTCTGTCCGGATACATTCGGTACTGCTGGACATGTGCTATCCTTCATCCCATGTAGTGAGGAGGACGTCCCTCTCACCAACGACATCTTCCTTCCCGAGCCGGATCAAATGACAGATTGTCTCTGGCAGTATCGAAACGCGACTTCTCAAGTAGCCGACAAATCCCTTGACCATCGGACGATGTGTGTGCACATCACGACCAGCGAGGGGAAACGCCTCGAGACCTGCAAGACTCCCTGGGACCTCGTTATCTCTGTTGTCCATGGCATGCTTGGTAAGTACTGCTTCTACTATAGGCCACATATTCTGATTCACTGGTTGGTCAGGCTGGCTTTCTCTGTTTCAGGCGGGTTTTCTTCATCGGAATGTCAGCATCGTCAATCTGCTGCGTTTGGATCCACCCTTGCATCGACCGAAATTCACGACCACAGTCATCGAACGAGTGCTGCGGGACATGTCTGCCGATTTCTCTGTCTTTGAAAAGCAGTCGGAGTTTGTTGTGGACCTCGGATCCCGTCTTGATCGCCTCGACCTTCCGGCTGATGCCCCTCTTCCTGAATTCGCCTCTCTCCTGCTGTCGCACCGAAACGAGCCAGCTAAGCACAAATTGGCTGAGCTGGCTCACGCTGTGCAAATGGCTGTCGGCGAGCTGGACATCGGGACAGAGTGCCGGGGTATGATCATCGATGGCGATCAGGCATGCGAGCTGAAGGATTACTTCCGAAGCGACCACAGTCGAGGCACCATCTCGGTGCGCATCTTCTCTCTTTGCATCCATTTCACTTCCTGCCTGACACTGTTCAGGGCACACGCCGATTCATGTCGACAACTCTTAGAATGGCTCTTCAAGATGGTACACCCTATTTGCAATCCCCTGTCGATGACCACGAGTCTGCGTTCTGGACTGGCCTTTCTGCGCTCTTGCAAGGCCATGCTGACAAAGACTCGAAAATCGAGGTCGAGTGGGCGATCAATCTGGCCTCTGACAATGTCGATATTCGGGAAGCCGTGATAGGTCCGCGTAAGCTGGGCGCACTACCGCGCTTGCTTAGGTCTCAGACAAGCAATCCGTTTATCCTTACAATGGCCCCATTCTTCCAAGAATGGTATAAACAGATCGTAGAGGCGCGGGACGACTGGGCTGGTGCTATAATGGATGTCAATGATCGTACTGGCGGTGATCAGCCGACAGCTGACGACAAGGAACTGCGTGGCTCCCTCCATGCTGTCCATTTCCAAGAGTGTGCGTATCGGGGCGTCCTCACGCTCCTGCGCGTCGCCAAGAAACATCGGGCTTCACTTCAATCGTACGGCACAGAGGACAGAACATAGGTGTAGGAGATTTTTCAGCTGTGTGTAGTACAAGAGATTTCATAAATACGATAGTGTTCCGAGCTGTGCGTAGTTGTTTTCTGATTGTTGTGAAGCCATTGAGCACGTGGCCTCGGGCAGCAAGGTCTCAAATTCAAGCTGGTTGGACGGACTACAGTGCTCCAGGAGTGAATGCATACTATAGATATGATCTTCGGGATTCATTACAAGCGCACATGTGTGCTACGTTAAGGTTAAGTATGTTACCGATCTCATTTCTCACATCTGCAAGACAGGTTCAGAGACGAGGATGGAGGAAGACGAGAAAAAACGACGCACTAGCCAAGCCCAGAACGCCTCGAGCTTGTTCCTGGGCGGGGGGTCGTCGTGCTCCTCCGCCTCGATCTCCGCGATGTCGGTCACAAAGTCCATCTTCTCGGGGGTGACCCAGTACAGCGAGTGTCCCTTGCGGTAGTAGACGTACTTGGCTCCGGCATACAGAATCGGGAACAGCACAAACGGAAGGTAATTCGTCACGAAATTTGCGACGGACCAGTTGCCCTTCAAGAACGTCGCCCATCCGCTGAACTGCAGACAAACGCCGTGTGAGGGGAGATTCGACAACAGTCAAATGGTGGGGACATACGAAGCAGATCACGAGGCAGAAGATCATCGCGTACCAGGCCGCATACGGCTGCAGGCTCGACGCGAAGGGCAGAGTGGAGCGGTCATATCCTTGCGCTTTCATGCCCTTGTAGAACCGGATGTACGTCACCGAGATACCGAACCAGGTCATCAAGCCGGCGATCGAGGTCATGTTGGAGAACCATCCAAAGACTTTCCCAGATCCCGCTTTCACACCCATGTACGCCAAACTCGTGCTGCATTCGCGTTGAGTGGAAATCGGCGTGTGGCTGACACCATACGCACAAGAGAGAGCAGAACACGAGCGAGGCGATTGGCAAGCCATTCTTGAGGGTCTTCAAGAAGATCCGGGGAGCGTTGCCAGCGGCAGCCAGCCCGTACAGCGCACGAGAGCTGGTGTACAAGTCACTCGAGCCCGCGCTCCAGGCAGATGTCAGCAAACAAGCGTTGATGATCGAGGGAAGAGCCCTGATGCCAGATCTGAACAAACAAGGCCATGAGCAAGGGGTGTATGACGACGACGATAACGACAATCTTCTTACCGCTGGATAGCGATGACGAAGCTACAATCATGTCAGAACATAGTTTGCCTGGCCATTATGCATGCGACTCACGGAGAGCTGGCCGCAGTGCCAGAGCCGAGATCGAGTCCGGGGCTGTTGGAAGGGACGAGCAGCCCGATGATGACCACACCGCCGATATAGAACAGCAGAATACTGCCGGTCCAAGAGTCAGTGCGACTGCGGGAAATGGGCGGGCCAATCCTACCGGATGTACACGCGCCGGATGGCCTTGGGAAGGTTACGTCTCGGGTTCTTGGCTTCTCCGGCGGCAATCTGAGTTCTCATAAGCCCGATTCAGCCATTGAAGCGCCAAAGCACTTACAGCCACGATCTCAGTTCCACTAGTAAGGTCGCCATCAGTCCCACCATCTTATCAAAGCTAAAGGAGCTCACATGTAGGAAAACGCAGCCTGGGTCATGACAGCCCACCAGCCGAGGAACTGGCCTTTGGAACCGCCGATTCCGCCATATTGGGCGAAGGGGCCCGGGTTCTTCCAGAACCGGAACCCAAGTCGGTCGTGGTCTGGGCCTCCACCGAGGTCGAGCACGATTCCCAAAATAATCAGTCCTGTGATCTAGAGAGAGAGGCTTGGCGCCGTCACAACGAAAACTGATCGAGGGGACGCACGGTGATAACCTTGATCGAGCTGCGTCAAGTTTAAGCGATCCCGCTCAGAAAAAGGAGGGGGGAAGGACTGACGCGAAAATGAACTCGGCCTCGCCGTAGGCGCCGGCGCCGCACATGTTGATCCCCACAACGACGACGAGAACGATCGTGATCCATGCGGCGTTGTTGACAGATTTGTTCCAGTAGTTGATCAGCACGGCCGCAGCGGATAGCTCGGCGGGCAGGACTGAAAGGAGGCCGTATGTGAGTGACACGGTGTGGGACGTCGGACCGGGTCCACGCACCAACTGTTTCCTATCAGTCTCCACACAACGGGAAGAGCAACAGCTGTATGTGACTCACTGATCCAGTTGTACCAGTAGTTCCATCTGTGGAGCACGTCAGACGGGCTGCTGCGGAGAGTGTCACCAAGGGACTGACCCCATTGTGAACGAAAAAGCAGGGTCGACGAAACGTTCCGCGAGTTTGATATGTCCACCAGGGATGGGCAGGTAGGCAACCATCTCACCGAGCGAAATCCTGGGTCCGTGTCAGTTTCGAGCTCTGGAACGTACAGAAAAGGGCGTACATGACCGAGTAGGTGATACTCCCAACAGCGAGGTATCCGAGTAAAAGACCTAGATCGCGATGAGCATCGACCTCGAACACAAGGCGTTCGTCGGCGAACCGATAGGTCCTCCATTATGCAGCGCTGTAGTGTCTTTGTGAGCTCTCGGCTGGGATATGCAATCCACACGACACACCAGTCGCAGTTCCCAAGAACAGACCCGTTCCAATAACACCCCCAATACTGTCAGAGCACGCCGCGTAAGCCCTATCGTTATACCCTGGCACGCGACACTACGCGAACGAACCTAATCATCGCGATATGGCCTTGGCGAAAGTATCAGCATCTTCCTCGTCCGCACACACGTACAGCGCAGCCAAAGCCAACGTACGATTCTTGAGCTGCCGCACGAGCTTGTGGTCGCCCTGGTATACATCCCCCGGGGCGCTTCCCTCATCACCAAAGGACTCCCGCTCGGAAGGGGTCTTCGGCACTTTCTTCTCGTCGATTTTTTCAGCCATGACGGTGTTGCGTCAGGATTGGGGTGGAAGAAGGACGGGAGAGAAGAGAGAAGATGAGGTCAGGTGCAGGGAAGCCTGGGAACCCGCGCATGGGTCTGCGGTGTTTATGGGGGCTCGGCCTCTCGGAGGGGTTTGACGGCGGGCTTGGCAGTTGTGGCTCGGCCGAAAGGGCTTCTTTCCACAAGTGTTGATTTGTATCCAAATTTTCAGATAAGACGTGATAGCAACCATTTCAATTCTCCGCTGGGAAAAAATATGGACCGCGCGGTGAGGGACAAAATCAATTGTTTGTAGCATGGTTTGTAGCATGGCTGGCGGCGAGATGGGCGATAGCTCTGGTCTCGGCAGCCTTGATTATCTCCAACGCGGCGGCCTCGAACGGGTAATGGCAAAAAGGATCAGCAGGAAGTCGTGGTAGCGGTCGCGGTAGCGTGGTTGGCTGTGGTGGCAGCGGGTGGCATCGCGCTTATGCACTGCGAACGTCGGGACGACATCAGTCGGTGACACTGATTGTTAAAATTAGATTACATCTATGTAATGTGTATGTATGTACAGTAGTACACTGCCGAAGTTCAACTGAACAGACTACACAGAGGCGCGATACAGCGCCGCATAAGCGCCGTCCCTCTTTATCAACTCGTCGTGGCTGCCGAATTCAATAATCGTCTGAGAGAGAGAAAAAAAGTGAGCAGACTGCAACGGTGGACGTCAAAGCACCGATAGTTACCCCGTCCTGCATCATCGCAACCTTGTCGGCGCGTTTGGCGATGTACAACCGATGGGTGATGAATATCACACTCTTCCCGCGGCCGGAATGGGATATCCGGTGTATTGCATCGAAAATCTGATTCTGGGCATGCGCATCCAGAGACGACGTCGGTTCATCAAACAGCATCAGATCCACCTGTGGCTCGCTTGCTCGCATGAACGCCCGCGCGATAGACAATCGTTGCCACTGTAGTCTGCGTCAAGCCGCAGACACCACCTCAAACAAGGACAGCACAACTCACCTCCCCGCCCGAGAGACCGTGGAGTCGGGAAAAGCCCTGGCCGGGATACGACATTGACTCGAACCCTGGCGTGTCCAGATCCGTTCTGAGCCCATACGGAAGTGAGTTGACCAAATCGTCCGCTTGCGCTAGTCGGATGGACTTCTCGACCAGTGACTTGGATCTCAGCCGCTCGACACGTCCTAAGCCGACGTTCTCGCGCACGGTAGTGTTGAATTTGGAAAACCCTGGGCACACATCAGCCAAAAGAATCCAGAAGCAGCACCGCCATTCGTGCCTTGGAATACCCCGGTGATGTGCTGGTGGTAATCTGATGGTTCGTATCGGCGGATGTCGACATCGTTGACGTAGAGCTCCCCCGAATCAAAGTCGACGATTCGTAGCAAGATCTTTGCAAGCGTTGATTTCCCAGAACCGTTATAGCCTGATGATACATGCATGAGACACTTGAATGATCCGACATAAACAAGGACCTACCAACTATAGCCAACGTCTCACCCGCGTTCAGCGTGAAACTGATGTTGTCCAAGGCAGGCTCGGACGCTCCCGGATAGGTGTACGACAGATTTCTGAACACAGTGTCAATTCCAGACACTGCATAGCACAAATGGAAACAACTGACCGAGCCTGGATGCTCGCTCCGTTGAGAGATGTGTTGTAACAAACCGAATCTTCCTCGTCGGGTTGCAGCTGGGGTTTGATATTCCGTCCGGCGCAGAATGCCGACATGAAGAATATCCCCTGGAAGGCCATCGTCGACGTCGCAAGCAGGTTCTTGGATGCATAGATAACAGCTTGGATTGAACTCCGATACAACGTCAGGGACCCAAGGCTAGCGGATGAGGTCTGTAACAACAGAACTAGCGGCACCTTATAAAGCCATTCGATCAGATGCAGAACACAGAATGTGTCCGGAAGACTGACATTCTGCAATGCAAAAAGCAGATCCGAAAAGTTCAATCTCGAAAGCGGCGAAAGATCTCGCAGATGATGATTCTGCTCAGAGTCCAGAACGAGCTGCCGGGCCTTGGTCCATGTGTCCAGTATCCATCCGCCCAGGCCAAACAACTCGATCTCGGGCCGGTGAGCTTCGTTGTACGCCCAATTGCGCATCCGCTCCTGCCGCTCGGCGGCCCGGGTCTCCTGGGTCGTGTACATCGTTTCGGAGTGCACCTCCGAGCAGCGCAACCGGGCCAACAGTAACGGCAGCGTGGCCGAGACCACCGAGAGCAGCAGCACGCCCAGCTGGGCGGGCGCTCCACCCGTCAGCGACAAGATGAGCAAGACATGGGAGAATATCTCGGTTGTCAGGGAGATGATGTGAATAAAGTCTAAAGGGGACAACAAGCCAAATCCGCTCCCGCTGAATGATCGCGCAAACAAATCAGATTCCTGGAGCAGGGCCCGCACCTGTGGATCCGCGAGCGTCGGTATGTCGAGGCGCAGCCGTTGCTCGAGCTGCGCCCGTTCCACAAAAAAGCGCGCCGAGTCGATCACCTTCGTCTCATTGGCTGCACTGATAGGGATTATATTAACGTGATGGTGGCAAAAAAGCACCCTTACGCAAATGAATCCAACAGGCTTTCGAACAACCTCCGGGTGAGCTCTGACCCCACAAGATACAGCAGCCTTGCCCATGTGAAGTTGCCCGATGTCACCAGAGACTGCAGCTGGAACACAGAGATCAGAACGGGCAATTAGGTTCGAGTCAGCGTGATCGGGGCTTCTAACCTCGTCTATGATGAGGGCCTGACACCACAGTCAAGCGGCAGCGGTCAGGGTCGCGAGCAGACGCACCTGGGAGTACCCTCGGAACGCAGGAACTATGCTTCGGATAATGTTGAGGGACATCATGACAATTGTGCGCATTCTGTGCAGTTCCAGGATGTCGAGAAACTGCGCCTGGTTAGTGCGGGGTCGACTCAGACCATAAGCGCACGCACGAGGTCTAATGCGCACGTCCGCACGATGGTGTAAGCCAGCTTCACGTTCCGGATAGAGAAGCTGCGATGGACGCCCGGCGAGAGCATCTCCTCTCCGTCGCGCATCCGCGACGAGAGCCACGCGTCGTACGCGGAATCCAGCCTCGGCGGCGCCGTGTGTTTCATCGCCTTCGTGCGCGCGGCGGGGCCAGGATAGATTTCGTCGGGTAGGAGCAGCGCGCGGCCAGACTTCAGCAGGTCTTGTATCAGCTTGAAACTAGACGACGGCACAGTGAAGTGCATTGGGGGAGTGTTGTTCTAGGAGGGCGGAAGAAGAGGCAGAGTGTAGACCGAGCCAAAGCGAGATCCGGTGCTCATATTCGCCGGCTCTGCACTGCTTGGTGCTACGACGGTGCGGCCGAAGAAAGAAAGACGCGACCCAAGAAACGGTTGGCGGGACTGATGGGCGATCAGTTGTGATGGTGTGCCCCGACACGTTAGGCAGGACCGCTCTTCGAGTTTGGTTCTTTGGGCTTTCCATTCCTGGCCATGGAAACGGGGGGAGAGAGACATACTTGGCTGAGCAGCAGGAGCTTCCTGCCCCCCCACTGCATGCGCGCCTCTTTCGAGAGAGACACTGCCCATTGGGGAAAGCACATTACGTATGCCTACCACGTGCCTGTCGATCACCAAAAAGTTTTCCGTGTCGGCGCCCCTAGATCAGCTACTACCCTGCACACCACCTCTCTCTTAGCGGTCTCCCAATAGATGGCGACGTCGTCTCCAGCCGAAGAAAGCGCCACAGTCTTGTCCCCTTCTGGCCCGGCCGTGGCAAGCGAGCAATCACTCACCACGAGCGGCGGCGGCGGCGGCGGCCTGTTCCGTTCCGGGGAAAGCTCCCCTCTACCCCCCAGCGAGCACGAACTCGGCTGGCCCGGTGAGCTGCATCCGGCCGTCCTACACGGCTGCGCGTCTCACGCACACGCACCCCAAGCGAAATCCACCCTGTCGCGCCTCAACGCCACGCCCGAGGAGATGGCCGCCCGGGAGCGCAAGATGGCCGAGGCCGTGCGCACGATCCTCGAGTGCATTGGCGAGGACCCGGACCGCGAGGGGCTGCTCAGGACGCCCGAGCGCTATGCGCAGGCGCTGATGTGGATGACGAAGGGGTACGAGGAACGGCTGTCGGGTTCGTGCTGCCATCCGCTTGTGCCCGTCCCTGCCTTCACGACGCACTCTTCATCCCCAGACGTGATCAACAATGCTGTGTTTGCCGAGGACCACGATGAGATGGTGCTCGTGCGGGATATTGATATTTCGAGTCTATGCGAGCACCATCTCGTGCCTATCACCGGCAAGGTGCGCGCTTTCCTTTTCGCCCCTTCACGTCGGGCATCGGCTCATACTCCCCCCCGCCCTAGATCGCGATCGCGTACATTCCGGGGCACAAGCAGCTCGTCCTCGGCCTCTCCAAGCTAGCGCGCATCGCAGAGACGTTCAGCCGACGACTGCAGATCCAGGAACGCCTGACGAAGCAAATTGCCATCGCAGTGCAGGAGGCCATCGAGCCGCGGGGTGTCGCAGTCGTTATGGAGGCTACGTGCGTGTCCCATCCAGATTCTCTACATCCGTGCCGAGCCATTGCAGACACCTGTGCATGACGATGCGGGGAGTGCAGAAGCCAGGCTCGATCACAGTAACGTCGTGCATGCTGGGGTGCTTCCGCACGCAGCAGAAAACGCGTGAGGAGTTTTTAACTCTCGTCAAAGGAAGGTAAAGAGAGCCCGATTTCATTTTGTATCACCGATTCAACTCGTAGCACCAAGTTATACATAATTTCGATGTATAAGTCTCATGTATAATACCGCCATGTCGCAAAAATGTTTAATTTATGATCAGTCCTGACGGACCGATATGCGGCTGATTTGAACTGACGGCTTGTTGTCAGACCCTGACCACATATCCTCAGGCGGTGGTCAGGCCGGTAAGATCTTGTCAGGTATGCTCAGACGGGAGTCAGCCTCTGGTCAGTTTGGGATCAGGTATTATAAGTTGTAATAAGGCTATGTCTTTGGGAAATGCTACGGATCAATGACATATATGTTGTACCGCATTCAGAGAGCGTAAAATATGTCCGCATCAACTGTGTCGACCAGATAATGGATTTCTCGACCTGAGTTTTGCTATCAGTTACCCAAATCTCGATCGTGGACGAAGGACTCGCCTTGAAAGACAGTTCCGCACTCATGTACATCTCAGGAAACTTGTTGGCGAGGAATTAGCAGAGTTGGACATCGAAGTTACGGAAAAGCTCGTCATTCTCTGTATTTTTTCAGCCTATCAGAGCTCAACTGTCCCCGTAGTCCCATGGTGCACCGAAAACCCAGTGAGAATCAAGATTGGTTGGAGCGATCTTCAACAGGAAGTCGACGCTTCAGAGGGCGACGAGGTCGTTGTTCGTGTTCAATACACGTTCACTCGGATTCTTCAAAGCGCGCGTACTATCACGCGTTCATGCTGCTTTACGCGCTCACGCTGCGCCGCGTGAGTGCCGTGCTGGTCAACTAGGGCTGGACGAATCGGCACGTCGACATCGTGCTCGCGTACCCCCGTTCGGGCCCGCCGCGACCGTACGCACGCGCGTCGTGTACCCCTCATGCGACACGCGCGAGATGGCGCGGCTGTCGCTCACGGGGAGGGAGCGCGTGATTCCGATGCAGCTCCGCGCATTGCATTCACTGCTGCAGAACCGCCCAGAGTACGCTGCGCGGGGCGTGCAGCCGGTCATGATCGGCAGATGCCTATTCTGGACAGAACCATGTGCAATTCGTGCTGAACGCACCGTACTCGCAGGTGCTCGCTTGGCTGGGTCGTGCTGGATGAACACTTCAGGATCAATGTTATGGAGTTCATGGTACGTCGCCTTCTCTCTCTTCTCTTTCGCTTTGGTCAGCAGCGCTGACGCACAGGGCCAGGCGGCTGGAGTGATACCCATTGTACATGCATCCGGCGGCCCGCTCGTTTGCGTTGATGGCGACGCTTGTCAATGTATCCGAGTCCTTGCAGCTGAGCGTCGAAGGTGGACCTCAGAGGATATGGTCTCGGCTTGTTGCGATGCGCAGACCGCAAAGTTCCAATGGCAATATTGTTGGGAAGATGTCGAGAGATATGTTGAACTTCACAGTCCTGTGTAGAAAGATGCTGGTACGCTGCGAGCTGCGAGTGGAAGGGTCGTTCTGGTTTGCGTCATCATGATGCAAGTGGCTGTGTTAAGTCTCCGACGACACTTAGCACTGGAGCACACAGTGCAACACGCGCCTACATAGTGTAGTGGTCTGTATTGGTCTAGTAGTTCATGTTCTCGCGTTCGATTCCCACTGTGAAGTAAATCGAGTGAAATTATTATCATTAAGGCTGAATAACAGTGTGACATTAATTAATTAAATTAATTGAATATCCAAGTGAAAGTGAAGCGATACCCTGTTCAAATGCAGTGCCAAACGTGAATGTAAAAAAGTGAAGATGGAGCAAGGAAGAAAGCCTGTTCTCCTTTTGTCTTCACCGCTGAAACCAGGGCCTGGTAGTTTTCTGATCAACCGCTGATTCCCGCCTGACTGACGTCCGATACTCACCTGATGCGTTGCTGACCATTCCCTGATCAACGTCTGATCACCGTCTGATGACGACTGATTCAACCTTTCCTACGGAGATCAGCCAGTCATCAGGCTGAAGGCCTGAGCCCTACCTATCAGCGCTGACCATAACAGATATGCCAATTCAGATTTTTGCGACACACCTCATTCTATTGCTTACATTGCACGGAATTGGGAATAGAATCTCAATCGTATCATTCTGCTCGCCGGCTTGAATCTCAGCGCCTGTTCTGTCGCGTAACTAGCTTGGTCTTTCTTTCGCTGCGGTATGTGGAGAAAAGGCAGTGAGTGTTGAGGGAGAGAAGCAGAAGAGACAGCGTCTGACTCCACTATTCTGCACAGCCATCCTTGCATCGTGTACATACACCTGGTTGGATATATGCCTACAAACAACTACTCCTTGGGCCGACGGTCAATCGGCAGCGTCTTCCTCGCGACACCGCTGTACTGATTCGGATTCGGCGAATTCGGGCCTGACGATGGCGGCCCGACATACCGATTGCGATGCAGCACACGCGGTCGCTTCTGCTCCGAGCCAGGCCCGCCGTTATCCAGATCCCGGTCTGTACACGCACACCAAACATGTCAGTCACAGCCATAGCCCGAGAAGAGCGATATTCACGCACCGGATGCCGTCCGCTTACGGCTGTCCCGATCCCGGTCCCGGTCCCTGTCGTCCTCCCTCGGTCGGAACGGCGCAGCATGAGGATCGAGTGACATGATCCCGCCCATCCGCGAGCGCAGACTGCCGCCGCCGCTACTGGCACTAGAGCTAAATGGCGGCGACTGTGGTCGGTGGCCGGCACCATTCCCCATCGACAGCATTGGCGTACTCGAGCTCACCGGAATCGGCGGTAGTCCACGAGCAAGCCCATGGGGTGCCGAGATCGGTGAAGGCGCTGGCGGTGTCGGTCGTCCGGCACGTGGGCCAGACGGGACCGACACCGCTGGGGTCTGAGGAAGAGCAGGCGCAGGAGCAGGAGCAGGAGCGGGAGTGGGAGTGGAGGGTGGTGCTGATTTTGAGGAAGCTTCGTCCAAGGTCCTGTTATCCCCCTCCTCCTCCTTCCGCCGTCGATCGCTCTCGGGCCGACGACTGCGCTCGTCTCGGTGTGCACGGGAGCTGCGCTTCGATCCCCGGTCCGGCTAGTTACACATATCAGTGCTCATCATTCAGGCAACGAAGGAAGAACGCACATCATCATCCGTCGATGACCTCCGCCGCTTGCCCAGTCCATCATCCGGCGCCCCGTTGCGATGCCTCAAATTCGGTTCCGTCACCGAGGTCGGCATCGCCGTCCCGGGTCCCCCTGGGGTCCTAGATGGTGCGTCTTTCTCTCGACGATGCCGGTCCCGGTCCCGATCTCCATGCCTGTCCCGGTCTCCGCCTCTGTCCCGGTCCCGTTCTCGATCGCGGTCGCGTTCCCGGTCACCATGCCTATCTCGTCGGTCCTTGTCCCGAGATTCGCCGCCCCGGGACTCGCGGCCACTCTCGCGTCGCACCTGACCGTGCACGTGATCGCGTTCGCGGTCGCGGTCAGATGATCGCTTGCCCTCGTCGCGCTCACGATCCCGGCCTCCGCTGTTGCGACTCTCGGCGCTGTGATTCCTCGTTCCCGGTCGAGATGGGGACGTTGATCTGCGCCGGGGAGACGATCCGCGAGAATTGCCGTTCGACGGAGCGGCACTCTCCTTCTTGACGATAGACTGTTTCGCAGTCTCCCTCAGCTCTTGGGCGTCCCTTGTCTGGCTCGGTGCAGCGGGCGGCGGCATGGCTGGTGTCGGGGTCGAGGGCGCCACGACCGGACGCGGCGAGTTGTGCACTGAGCTCGGGCTGTTGAACCTCGAGCCCCCAGCCGAGCCTTCAGCATCATTGGACGCCAGAAGTGGCGGCGCACCATCTCGCACGCGCTTCATAAATGGAGGCTTCTGGATGTTTGCGAACATGGACGACGTAGATGATGTTGGTGCAGGTCCGACCGGCTTCTCCGGTACTGATGCTGGAATGGCAGCGAGCTGCGCTCGTGGCGCTGACGGTGCTCGAGCTTGAGTCGCAACAGCAGTTGGTACCGGTGCGGGAGTCGATATGGGAGCAGCATCCCTCGCCGAAGTCGGTGGTTTCTCCACACCTTTGACCGGTTTCTCAGCAGCTTTCGTACTAGCCGTCGTCGTAGTCTTGGCATCCACACGTTTATCCAAGCTGGCAAAGTACCTGGCACATTCTAATCAATAACGTTGCCAAACGAAGCAAACCAGGCAAAAAAACTCACGCTCGGCCCAGGATCTTCAGATTGTCCCTGGTCTCGACCTCCAAAAACTTGACCATCGCCTGGTGCAGTGCCGTACACGCTTCAGGCGACACCTCGGACAGCGGAAACACCGGGAACATCTCCTTGAGCATGATGATCGCGTTGTAGATGTGCATGTACTCCCCCGTCCGGATGCATTCGGCGAAGCATTTGCTCATCCGGAGGTGCCACTTGCGCACCATGCGCCGGAACATCGTCCCCCATTCCAGCAGATCATTTAGCTCAACCGGCCCCGCCGTCCATTTCGGCACAAATCCGGTGTGGTAGACGACATTCCCGCGGACCACAGATTGGTTGTCGGCATGGTACTGATCCTGGTTCTGATACCACTTGAGTGTGTCGGCCAGCAGCCCGCGGAGGAAGCGGCCGTAGTTGCGGGCTTCATATTCGCTACAAGAGAAGAGCACAGCGCGGACCGTGTCTTCTCCGAGGATCCGGTTGTAGCACTTGACCGTGTGAAAGTAGGGCGTGTTCAGTGTGTGCAGGAGCTTGATGAACTGCGCGCAATAATCCGCGTCCATGGGCGACAGCAGACACCGTGGCTGGATGCAATGGTCGACAAAGGCACCGATGATCACAGACGACAGGCTCGATGCTGCCGATCATCAGTCCAAGCACTCGAAATGGCAACCGGTAGCACCTACTTTTGGCAAACCAGTGATGTTTCTCTCGCGCCAATCTTTTAATGGTAAAAGCCCGTGCAACGGTCTGTTGCTTGTACTCCTCCGTCAAATGGGTAATGAAGGTCGTGTAACGGTGGCTTTTCGCGCGGTGCGACGGCACAGTAGCCCGGACACTGCGATCCGGAGATCTGTCAGCGGACTGAGCTCTGCGGTTTTCCTCGTTCGCCAGGTTCTTGAGTGTCGAGCACATCTCATCGTATTTGGCGCTCGGAGGCGACAAATCGTAGGTCGAAAGCTGCCAGAACGAAAGATAGAACGCTGGGCCCAAGACTTCCATGGCAGTCGCCGGCGCGATCTTCTTGATGTCGTCGAACAGAGGAACAAGTTCAGGTAGCCAGGGACTCTTTGGTTGCACCACTGGAACAGGTGTAGGCGAATCGACTCCTTCCATGCTCACATCTTCTTTGCCGGCTTCAGCCTTAGCCTCCGCTTCAGCCTTGACTTCCGCCTCAGCTTTAGCTTCTGCTTCAGGCTTCACATCCACCCCAGGGGAAGCGACTCGCGGAGTCGAAGTCGATGATTGCAGCTTCGCAGTGAGAGCTGCTTTCAGCCGTTTCTCTTGCTCTTCCGCAGCGATGCGCTCGGTCTCCTGCATCGCTTGGGCGGCAATCTTGCATCATGGAATCAGATTGCTTCACTGGCCAAACGTTTCCACCACGCACCATCAACTTGGCATTCAAGACGGGCCGGATGATGTGCATGCACATCGGGGCAGAAATCCCATACAGATCGCCCAGTTCAGCGAGCGACGGCAGAACCTTGGTTGCATAATCCTCGCCAGACACGATCGACGGAGAAGTGAGCAGCTCCAGATATTGGAAGAGAACACCGTGCGTGGAGTCGAACAGACTGGACAGGGACTTGAGGTGAGGTGTGGGGGCTTTGTATACACAAGCCTCTCGCTGCTGGGCTATCTGGATCAGCAGCGGCAGCGCGAGCGACGAGTCCACGAGCGCCTTTCCAAGCCTTTGGGGTCCTCTGAGCACCTCGTTTGGATCCAGCGCAGCTCCTCGGGTGCTGGACGCGATCGCTTCGATCCGCAGTACGGGTCCTCCGGCCATCGCCGCGATCTGCGAGTCAGACAGACTCGGCAGAGGTTCTATTCCAGCCATCTTCCAAATGAGCTCGCGTAGGACAATGAGCTCGCCGGTTTGCTCATTGTGAAGCTGGTTGACAACATATTTGAGCACAGGCGTCAAATCTCCGGCGTAGCGCTTGAAGAGCATGCCGATAAACGACGCGAGACCTGCGTCACATCAGTTGAGGAGTATACAGGGCCAGAACGGGACCCACTTTGCAGCCAATCACTCGTGTTCACCCCATCCTCTTTGACCCGGTCCTTGTTTGGATTGGAGAGTGCATCCAGAATGATGAACACCAGCACATCCAGCGCCATCGTTGTCAGATTGCGGAACGCGTTCACCACGACCTGCGCCAGATTGTCGTACGCCATCACTTGGTTTACCGCGTTGGCGAAAAAGATGCACGGATGGCAGTTGACCAGCTTCGACACCGAACCCGAGAGAGAATCTGCAGTCTGGCTCGACAGCCGGCGCATGATACCTTTCGATTCCCTGTCAACCTGCACGAATCGCACCCGCAACTCAGCATGCGACTGATACATAGTCGTCTTCCACTCTCCATACAATTGCCAGCGCTTCTCCGCTTCGTATTGCCGAATAGTGTTCCAGACGTCCACGATCAGCGTCGCATTCGATTTGCCTAGGCTCAGACACGGCAGCAGATACTTGCGCAACATCATGAACCAGAAGCTCCGAATAGGATCTTCACCATCGTCGCTGGGTTTGGACGCCTGGAGATGCACCCTGGCGAGTCTCGAAAGCTTCGTCAGGAACACTGGATCACGTGAGGCATGGATGCCGACGAATGCCATGAGCGGCTTCACTACGTGAATCAGCTCGTCCAGCGTCGAACAGACGGGTATCCGCTCTGTCCACCGCGGGAAAAAGAACACGAAGTCGTGGGTGGCGGTACATGGCGGAGTTGGTGCGACGAGCGTGAGCAGACCCTTCCGTGGAGGTGGCCGTATGATGCCCGTCGTTCCAAAGCGGGGTCGAGGTGTCCCGAAATTCGCAGCTCGAGGCTTGTTGGCCACTTGTGTCTCGTACAACGTCGAAACCGAGTGCTTGAGCGCCCTCAACACCAGATCCGCGGTCTCCGGGTGCGCATCAACAAGATATGGGAATTTGGACATGGTCGCCACGGCGGGTCGGAGCGAGCCCATTGCCAGCAGAGCTTTCAGAAGCTCCAACTTTTGGTTTTCCTGTTTCTTCGCTTCTGCCGGCTTCGGATTCGCCGAGGTCACTTTGCTGCTACTTTTTGCAGCGGGAGGTCCTTCTTGTGTCAGAGGAGCCGCCATGGCCAATGCACTGACTCGAGCAGCACTCATTCGGGCCTTGACCGAGTTCGCATACTCGGTCCGCACTTTCTCCATCTCAACGTCGTCGGGGGCCAACTGGACATAGCATCAATGTCAACGCCGCACTCTCGGACTCTGCGGCACGCACATGAGGATGTAGATCTTCGAGAGTAATGTAGCCTTGTCGAATCAATAGGGCAGCAGTGAGATACAAATTCTTCGGTGTTGCTTCAGTAACATCGGCAGACTGAGCTCTTGTTCAGAGAAAGTATCGGAATGCAAAAAGTGGGCACGCACTTGATAGTATGTGAACTTGAAGCCAAGCACTTGTGCCAACACACGCGGATCGCTGACTTCAACTGATGCAGGCTGCTCCCCTCCATGATCGGCCATAGCCAGCACGTCATCTAGAATCTTTCCCTCATAACAGTGTATCGGCTCATCGATACCATCCCTCTCGTTCAACGGCCTTCTCGTCGGGGGCGCCCATGGTGAGAACGAAAGCAAGGCAAGGAAAAAGCTATAATGGGCAGACAGATGCACAATGAGCACGTCCAGAATGATGTCCAAAGCTCTGTTGGGATCCAAATCGAAGTACCCAATGAGACTCATGAGTTTCTCCCATACAGGTCGTGCTCGTTCTTCTATGGCAAAGTATGGCTCTATCGGTTCGCCAGTGATGGATGAATGTGCAGGTCCAAGGTTACTGGTAAGTTCCACCGCGAGCTTGCTGTAACCTTCAGATTGTTCACGTAGAAGGTTGAACTTGTTCTGCTTGTAGCTGTGGTCTGTCAGACAAAGCTGTCGGAGAGAGTGCGATTACACACAAGAGTCCCGTTCGCACACGAATCTCCTTCTTGTCAAATGCAACTTTGTTCACAAGACCTGCATCCTCAGCTATCTTCGTATCCAACCGCTCCAATATCGTGGTCGGCGCTACGAGACGAAGTTCCTACCCGCAGTCAGAACCGTTCCGAGTCCAAGTCGTTTGTGTCACATACCAATAGCTGCTTGACAATTCCAGTGAGGACCTGTTTATCCTGCTCTGCCGTCTCCGCCGCCTTTTTGGCTTGTGTCTGCGCGGTCGCGAGACTGCCCTCCGGCGTGTCCCCGCAATTCGTCACTGTCGTTTTCGCAGAAGCCAGCTCGTCCAGCTGCGCATACAAAGCCCAGATCATGTCCAAGAGATTGTCCGAGAATGCGGGAGGGCCGGACGAGGAAGACGGGAGACCGTCCTGAGCCTTCTTCACGAACGACACGAACGCTGCGGGGGAGAGCGCGTGTTTCGGGACCCATGTAGCCAGCGTCGATGACAAGAGCGTTTGATACGTCGTCGTGAGCGTGTCCAAGACTTGAGGGTCCGAGGCGCGTTTGTGGGCGGCTCTGAGCGTGTCGCAACTGCGTGGAGAACGGTAAGCTCTTATCGTATAGAATGAAGGGCGACTGGATGCACCATTCTATTTCCCCTCCAGCGCTCCACCGCTCTATTTGTCGCTGAACGGCGGCGATGACCTCCATTACACCCAGAAGCCTGCGATGAGGTTGCCCACCAAGGACGTTTGTTGGTCTGTTTGGGCACCTTCCTTTTCCGGGTGATGATCATCAAGCTCATTGGCATCTTGTCACTTCTCAAGTCCTATGCAACATAACTCCAGTGCCCGAGACTGACGAGTCCAATAATTTCTTTCACTGCAAGTGATACCTCCGCCGTCCACAAGCTTTATGGACAGTAGCGCGAATGACTTATACCTGGGGGATTCACTTCCTGTGTGACTCGAGTTCCGTAAGCTTCATGTTCAGGATGTACTCGGATCTCGTTACGGACGCTCTTTTGAATCACGGGCCGACTCAGACGCAGATGGCTTGGCGGTAGTGTACTTGGCTGCGGGAGCTGAAATATTGTTGATCCCAAAGGAGAACCATAAAATTCCGTTCCGAGTCTTTCCTGAAACCAAGAATGCATGATCTGTGTCGATGCCAATGTCTCTCATTACGCTTTTTCACTGTATTCCTTCTGTCTGTTGCAGAGTTGTCGAGCCTTGGATGACAACCTCGTGTGGCACCACGCGCCGTGGTGACAGGCTACAGGCTAAAAAAAGTCTCGGAGTCTCCATGGTCGAGTCCTGCCCGTTCCGGAATGAACATTCGACTTACATAATAATTGAAACACGGCGGCCTTACGGAAGGTCCCCTGGTGACTGCACGACGTGTTTGTTTTTGCGCAACAAAGTGACATGGTGCAACACAAAGCAGGGGACAATAAGCGAAAGAGGACAATTGCGGCAAACGGCTTTTGTGCTTGAATGGGGATGAGCGTAATAGCTTCCTATTGTCTGCTCTTGTTCTCTTTTGGAACAAGGCGCGGCAAGAAGCTTCCATTTCCACGCCAGTGAGAATATAAGCGCAGGAGCTCGCCGTGCCACCCATCCGGCCCCTCTCCCGTCTACTTCCGCTGTGTCTCATCTAGGTGAGCTTGACACAGGAGATCATCCGTCAATTTGTTATATTGAAGGGCAATCTTTCCTCTTCAGACCACATCTACGACCCCCGTTTCTGATCCACGCATTACACGCACAACTCGTCTCACTCCTTCTCATAAGCTTATTTGCTTCGCATTTCCACGCTCTTGCATCTCGCATCCTCTAATATATATCTCACGTCTCTCCTCGTCTTTCGCGCGCACTCGATACCGCACAAATCCATCGCCGGACGATCTCACACCTTCGTATTCTCATCAACAACCATGTCTAGCCTTACCAACACCGTCGCTCATGCCGTGTCCCTTTTGACCCAGCCCTTAGCCAAGGCCTACCCCCCTCAGACCATCGTCAAGCTCCAGCTTGTCCTGGAGGCCAACCTCACCGCACTGTACGCCGAGTCCTGGGATGTCCACCAGCCGATGCGTGGCTCTGCCCGTCGCTGCCTCGTGCTCTCCCCCGACTGTCTTCCTCCTCGAGCCATCTACGCTGCCTGCATCGCCGCTGGCGTCCAGTGGTTCGACTGGATTGCCCTGCTTGGCGGCAAGGACGTCGAATTCTTCGTCGACCCTGGTTGTGTCTCGATGCGTCTGGAGCGTACTGGCCCGGACAGCGAGCTCATCCCTCTGTGGGTCGCTCAAACGCCTGCTCCCAGGCCCATCGTCGCCACCTGCGTCCCAATCCACATCCCGCGCACGAAGACTATGGCGCAACAGCTGCTCGAAGACGACGTTGAGTCGGACGAGCAGATCTTCACCATGCTGTCCGATGAAGCCGGCGCCCCGACTTGGTTCACACCCGTCGTCGCAGAGTTCCCCAAGTCCCGGTCCATTTCTCCGATCTCGGCTCCTTCTCGGTGCAGCTCGCGGTCCTCCAATTCGAGCAGCTCGGGTAGCACGTTCTCTTCGGTGGAGTCGTCGCCTTCGATGTCGGAAGGCCCGCGGATGTCTCGCAGGGATCGTGCTCGCCAAGCTCGTGTTTTCATTGACACGTCTAAGAACGAGGTAACCCCTTACGATGGTGGCAAGACCACTGTCCTGACGGGTGGTGTGATGCTCGGTGGCGCACCGAAACCTGCCCGCTCTCGTCACAACAACTCGAACGACGCCTACGGCTGGCGCGTGCGCATTTGAACGCTTTCCTTCACGTTCCTTTCACGACTGTTTTCCACGTCCTCACGAAAACGCTGACAACAACAAACAAGACTGACTTGCTGGACTTTCAACACTTACACATCCACACCAACTCGTACATTATCACTCTAATTATCAACAGCGTGCTCATCGTCGTTCACTTTCACTTCTTGTTTTTTTAGCAGATGTAGCACCACGATCGTCACCGTGCGGCTTGTCAGCGCCCTCGGTTAGCCTATACTTCGCTTTAATCTGCTTCTTCCTAATCTTTTATCTACTTCATCCCGCTTCTTGATCTTGTATTATATGGTCCATAATCTGCTGCATTTTGCGGCCTGGTGTACTTATAACAATGCTATCGGTGCGCTGTATTTGATGTGTCAGACACTCTGGCCGCCGCCAAGCAACGAAAGCAACCGTGAATTGGCGCGATCAAAGAAGCGGCTTTTCAGAAGACATGAAATGTGGAATGAGCGATAGACGTCGGGCATAGAGGCTCTCAGAAGCCTCTCGGAAGCAGCCAAGTGACAAGTGGCTTGTGAATGAGAATGATTCTAGAGATTCCAAGTGCTTGCGCGGTGATAACTCGGCGTGATGATATCCCGGGCCGGCTGCACCGCCACACGATTATCTCCCACCAATGACAGCACGTGAAAACCCAAGCCGTCCCCAAACTTTTGCCTACTTACTTTCGGTTTACTCACCTCTGCCGCGCGTCTGTTGCCCCCACGAACGTCGCGAGCCATGTTCAGATCTTCAGTGCTTCTCACCAAGCCTCTCTCGCGCGCGCTCGCAACGCATGCCAGCCCAGCATCCGCCGTATCTCGGAGATCGTGGACCAGGCAGGAGATCCAAGACGTCTACGACTCTCCACTGCTTGACCTCGTCTTTCGATCCGCTGCCGTCCACCGCCAGAGCCATGATCCGACGAAGATCCAGCTCTGTACTCTCATGAATATCAAGAGTGGGTAGCCCTCTACCGATCGTCGCTACTTAACGCTGAACCCCCTCTCAACAGCTGGTGGATGCTCTGAAGACTGTATGTTTATTCTCTGCGGTAACTTGGATTATTCTGGATCTTCGCAGGCTCGTACTGCTCTCAATCGTCGCGCTATTCGACCCCGACAAAGGCTTCGAAGCTGGTAGATATTGAGCCCGTGTTGGAGGCAGCGCGCAAGGCGAAGGAGAATGGCAGCACACGTTTCTGTATGGGTGCTGCATGGAGGGACCTCGCTGGCCGCAAGCGCGGATTCGAACGCATACTGGATATGGTTCGCGAGGTGCGAGGGATGGGGATGGAGGTCTGCACCACGCTTGGCATGCTCTCTCCGGAGCAAGCGAAGCAGCTGAAAGAAGCGTGCGTCCCATTTTTTCCTCTGGAAGCATCTCCTCATGTCCGTATAGCGGCCTCACTGCGTACAACCACAACCTTGATACGTCGCGAGAATTCTATCCCGAGGTATGTTCCCCCCCTGAGCTGCAGTGCATCAACACATATGTCCGCAGGTCATTACGACTCGCAGCTACGATGAGCGATTGGACACTATCTCCGCTGTTCGGGACGCGGGCATCAGTGTTTGTTCCGGAGGCATTCTTGGATTGGGAGAATCGGACAAAGACCGAGTGGGATTAATCTGGGAAGTCTCCAAGTGAGTATTTTTTCACTTGAGTCATCTGGCATCAGAGCTGATCTTCCTGCAGCATGCCGGAGCACCCCGAGTCGTTCCCTGTCAACGCGTTGGTCCCTATCGCCGGAACTCCTCTGGAGAATAACGAGGTCAGTGTGGTTCATCAACAACCCGTGATGAGACTGATCCCGGAGGTAGCCTGTCAAATATCACGTCCTTCTCCGGACCATTGCCACAGCACGAATTGTGCTTCCTACCACGATCATCCGCCTTGCTGCTGGCAGGAACACCCTGGCTGAATCCGAGCAGGCGATGTGCTTCATGGCAGGAGCAAATGCGGTGTTCACCGGAGAGCAGATGCTGACGACACCTTGTGAGTTGGGCTTGCCTGCATCAGATCTCCGCTCCCCTTCTGATGCATGTCCAGGCTCGCCTTGGGATGAAGACAAGGCGATGATGTCTCGCTGGGGTCTCGACGGCATGCGCAGCTTCGAGCAGGCCAGTGTTGCCCGCAAAGAAGTGATCAAGCCGGTTCAGGCCAGCAGCGCCAGCGCCGACGCCGTAGCCTCGCTCTAGATTATCGATAAGATGGATTATGTATTTGTACCTGTGGCTGTACAGTAGAGTGGGCCACAACACTTCACTTTGAACCCAAGATCCATGAGTGCAATTCGGCCCCCCAGTCCCGGGTCCGCGAAACGACGCGTCAATGATACCCAGTAGGCCGTCTCACTGGCTCTTTCCTTCCAACGGCTTACATGACTGTCCAGGGACCCCATTTTGCCCATGAGCGATCGGAACGCCTGGTTTTACCCATCGTATGGCTGCGACTCAAGCGACGACGACAACGTTCATTACTCTAACTGGGGAGCCAAGGCCAAAAAGAGAGGTCGTTGGGTGCGCCCGGGGAAGTTGTCGGCTTGGGGTCCCGATTTCGGTGAATGGGAGGTGCGTGTCTCCCGGCCATGTGGTCCAATAGACTAGAAATCCATGCTTCATTCCAGGAAGAAGACCGCGCCAGAAAGCGCCTGAGGATGCTCGTTCCTCAGGAGCGACGGTCCCCATCTCCCCCAGCTCTCCCTCACCTTTCCAACCCCTCATCCGCGCCCATACGTTCTCCGTATCCGCCAGCCATGACACACCACCTCACATACACGTCGTTCGTCATGGACAAAGCCGTGACGCACACCTTCCGCTCCAAGCTGGTGGATGAACTCGAGAATGCCACGAACGGACTGATCGAGGGCGAAGCCGCCATGCGCCAGGCTCTCGGCCGGCTGTGGCAGGCCATGAACGACGAGGCGAGCAATCCTCCGGTGTCTACTAAACAGGAGGATGACGAGGACGTTGATGTTGATGATATGGACGATGTCGCGAAACGAGTGGCGCGCGCGCCTGACCTCACCCTTCCGGCGCAGAAGCTGTTCAAGGACACATGGGCGCCCAGTAACGACGGCTCTCCGCCGGTACGTGAGTACTCTCAGTTCGCATCGCCTGCGACACAACTAGAGGGCTTTGAGAAAGCCATCGCGACGCTGCGAGAGCTGCACGACGATGGACGGGAGTATACCGAGAGACTGGAAGATATCAGGGAAAGTCTAGGAGATGTGCGTGCTCAGAGAGATGTCGTTTGGACTTTTGTTCGAGAAAAAGCCGTGGAAGAACTCAGAGAGGTCGCTTCTTCCGCTTATGTTGCTTAGCTAGTTTCCAATGTAATAGTCTATGTAATGAACAGATGCAGTACCTCTAATTTTGACAGCGTACTCTTCCCGCAGAGATCAGTCTGTATGTACCGTATCGTCTTGAACGGATCGAAAACTATCGAAAAGCTTCTGCGTTCTTCAATGATGGGGCACCACAACAGTCTCCGTCGCGAAGCGAGACCTGGACCAGAAATCGAGACCGTGTAGTATGCAACAGGTCATCGGGGCTGACGAAGATCATTGCGAGGTTTTTATCTGTGTCACATGAGCATAGGCGGCAGATAAGTGTGGCTCTGTGCCGTACTTGGAGTCCATGAATGTCAGCTATCTCCTCCTTGATGGTCCGTGTTACTAGCTGGTGTTGCTTGACCGTGGGCATCCCCCGGAACGAGTCACTGGCAATCACAATGGCAAAGAATGTCCCGCATCCTCCAGAGACGTCTTCAATCTGTAGTTGAGACGGAGAAAACCTGGGTCCGTTCAGCCGCGAGACATACAAATCAGAGAGGACTGCGCTTGTTCACTTTTCAGTCAGCTTGGCGCGGATGACATCTTCTGTAGAGACTGGAGAAGCGGGAGTCGAGAAGGCCCGGACACGGCATAATGAGGTCGCGAATAATCGACGCGTCGAAAGCGCAAGCATTATGACCGCAAAAGCAGAGCTGAAGTGGGTAGTCGGGAATTGGTCATCGGCCGCCGAACTACTGAGAAAGGCAACTGTAAGGCCGAGCAACCGGCCGCCAAGAAAGCGCGTAATTATAGATGACTACACGAGACTAGAATTGTCCACTGAGCACTCGATCCGACCCGACTTTTCCCAGTCTCTCGTCTCTCCCGACATGCTGCTGGGTGCCCTCAAGAGGGCCACTCAATCCAGGAGCCTCTCAGCGTGCTCTCGTGCTCCACAAACTGCGTTCTGCTCTCCATTTCGGTCTGCCTCCTTCACTGCGGCGTCGCGCCCATGCATCTCTGCGCGCTTCGCACCAACTAAAACGGGGATCTCTCGTCTCCCCGTGCGTCGATGGGTGACCCTCGATGCGTCCAAGCACACCTCAAAACTCACTGCCGACGACGGTATTCCACGGACCGTTCCAGGGCAGAAAACATCTACCGTAACAGACGCGACAATCGATGCGGCGACCCCGGGTACTGCACCCCCACCACCTGTCTCCGTGGGCATATGGCTCATGGTCTCGTCCGTCCTCGTGTTGGCCGTCGTCGTCGTTGGAGGTGTCACTCGTTTGACTGAATCTGGGTTGAGTATCACGGAATGGAAACCCATCACAGGTGTTGTTCCTCCCATGACGCAGGAAGCGTGGGAGGAGGAATTCACCAAGTACAAGGCCACACCGGAGTTCAAGATGTGCGCTTGCCCTGCCCTCCTTTCAGAGTGCGATGTTCTAACCGCTGCTTTAGGTTGAACCACTCCATCTCTCTCGAAGACTTCAAGCGCATCTTCTACATGGAATGGGGACATCGTGTTCTCGGGCGCCTTATAGGGCTCGTTTTTGTGGGACCGCTTATCTATTTCAAGGCTACGAAGAAGATCTCTACTCCGCTAGCCCTCAAACTCGGTGGCCTCGGGCTGCTCATCGGCGCTCAAGGCGCTCTCGGATGGTACATGGTCCAGTCTGGGCTCGAAGACTCCATCATCGAAAACGGTGCTGTCCCTCGTGTCTCCCATTACCGACTCGCCGCGCACCTCTCGATGGCTTTCGCGCTGTACATCGGCATGTTTTCGACTGGCATGGCCATCATCAAAGACACCAAGTTCGTCAAAAATGGGATGGCCGGGGGCCTTTCTCTGACCTCGTTTACCGAGGCAATGAAGCATCCCATCACGAAGCGTTTCAAGACGCTTTCGTGGGCTATGACAGGACTGGTGCTGTTGACTGTGCTCTCAGGTCAGTGGACTGGAGATGTTTGTAATTCTTTTCTGATTGAACCGCTCAGGGGTCTTTGTGGCGGGATTGGATGCCGGTCTGGTTTATAACGAATGGCCTCTGATGGGAGGCCGACTGGTCCCACCAACGGATGAGCTCTTCTCGCCGCATTATGCCAAGAACGCCGACAAGTCTGACTTATGGTGGAACGTGCTCGAAAACCCCACCACAGTTCAATTCAACCACCGAATGCTCGTGAGTACCCTCACGTGAAGGTCGTCACGTCAGACTCACAGCCCGGGCAAGGCCACGACCACCTACACCGGGATTGCCCTGCTTTTTGCTCAAACCTTCCGCCCAGCCTGGAAACAGATCGTGCCGCCTCTCGCTATTACCGGAGTCAGAGCCGCCTTCGCAATGGCAAACATCCAGGTTTTGCTCGGTATCACCACTCTCATTCATCTGGTGCCGGTGCCGCTCGCTGCAGCACATCAAGCCGGGAGCCTGTTGCTCCTGACGGCCATGCTGCAGCTGCTCATTGCCCTCCGACGCCCCGGTGCTGCAGCCCAAGCCTGGAGGAATCTTAAAACGGCCCAGAAAGCACAACGGCCATAATGTGTACACAAAATAATTTGTATTCCCCGCGTATAATCAAACTACCCCTCCATCTGGACATCCTCGTCGGCAGATGCAGTCGCGGCAGGCGCAGGCCCAGCATCGGTTGGCGTCTCCTTCGGTACCATGCTCTGCAAGTAAACTTCCACATCGTCACCTTCAACGATCCGGAAAGGCCCTGCTGGTGTCACGCTTTTCTCGTGAGCGCCTCCAGGACCAACGATTCCGATGGAGGTGTTGTTGACATTCAGTTCTTTATCTTGCTGCAGCGTTTCGCGTAGAGCGTGCAGGCCGTGTCGGATCAGTTGCTCCAATGTGCCTGGCACACGATGAGACTACGAGCGAATGCCAAATACGATGCAGGAGCACGTACAATCTTCGAACTCTTTGAAGTGCTTTTCGAGATATGTCTTAGCACTCTGGCTTCGCGCACCGATGGACATGGCGTAGTACTCGTAGGAGTTTCCCGATGGCGAGAACTCATAGAGGTGTGGCCCGGACTGGTCCTGGCCAATAACTAAGAAACCCACACCGTACGGTCGTCTTCCGTATTCCTGCGTGTTGACCTGCGCCTCTGCACCCCATTTGAGCAGTCAGTTACATTCGATTTGAGGGGAGACGCACTATCGGCAATGGAGGCAACGAGTCTGTTTACAGGCACCGGTCGGTTGAAGACCATTTTCGAGGACATAGCTTGCTGCCGCATGAAGTTGCTATCAGCCGGTTAGAGGGCATTATATATACCAGAATCGGATAGCAGCATACCTCAACACACGCGCATCCGAGGTAAGTCCAGCAATCGCAATCCCGACATGATCATCTATCCGGAACATCTTCTGTTGGTAGGACGCGAGCTCCCCAGACGAACGCTACACACACGCGTCAATCGAGCACTTTCATGGAAGAGGTAAGCTTGGTTACCTTGAGTGCCAGCAAAATCGAGTGCGTCTTGGATCGCAGACCAACAGCGGCGGAACCCTGCTTCACGGCTTCCAGTGCATATTCCACTTGATGCAATCGGCCTTGGGGGGAGAACACGGTATTGTCGGAGTCGTAGGTATTCCTGAACTGTACGAGACGTTAGAAAACGCGCTCCTAAGCAATCAGAGGATAGAGCCTTGCCATGGTGGATTGAAGTAAAGGAAGATCGTGTTATTGAGCTGACGCGTCGAGTAGCGTGACTGTCACACTTGTGTTACTTACGCGGCTGATGTCCAAGGACTGGCGTGTAATTTCATGCTATTGCCAGGCGCGTGTCTAGCATTATTTGACTATGTGCGTACAGTAAGTGCGTCAGATATCATCGACTTCTCTTGTCGGACTTCCACTCCTTGAAGATAGCGTCCAAACTTTTGTGCATCTGGTTCGGAGGCAGACAGCGGATGATCTCGCCAACCCGTTCTTCGACATCTGCCTTGCCTTTGTCTCCGTCTGCCTTGATTGCATATTCCATCGAGATGCGGAAGATCGCCAGAACCGCCAGTGAAATCGGTATCTGATGAGAGCCATGGACCGATTCCGGCGAGATAGCGGCCAGCAGCGGAGCAGCGAACGGCGCATGCTGAGAATAGGGACCTTGATTGTTGCGGATAAGGCGAAGCAAGATCTCGACAACATTGTCGATTTTGGAAAGATGTGTCTTCAAGAAGCGTTGACGTTCAGTCAATGAGCCGGCGCCAGATGCGTTGGACCATGCTTCGAGGACTGTTGCGAGAGTGGGGGGCTTGGACGGATGTCAGCGTTATGGAAGCGCGCAAGGAATGAGCAGAACGCACTGGGTCAGGATCGGAGACGATGATTTTCTTCTCCCAGCTCTCAGTCGAATCACCCGCAAACCAGAACATTCGGCCGAAGAGACTCTTCAGCCATTCAGGTATATCACCCGTCCTGGCCCATTTGGGCTCTGACAAGGGACGGTTGGTGTCAAGATAAACGAATAATGTGATAGTTTGAGGTCTGGTTATTTGCAAGAACGGCGGAAAGTGAGCAGAGCCAGCGGTCGGATCAGTCGGGTTGTACGACTTGGTGGCCTCAGAAAGACTTTCCATCTTGAAACGGTTAGCGGAAGCCGGTTGAGTTTTAATGATACTCACCAAGACGCCCTTGAGGCCGGACTCCTCGTCAGTCAAATTGATATGGACTTCCGCTCGAGCTTCTCGACGATACAAAGTCATGGACTCAATGATAGCAGCATCGAAAACAAGGCGATAGTTCCCGCCCTCGTAAGAGATGGACAAACGATTAGCAGCAGGAACTTTGTTGTCCTTGACTTCTGGCTTCACTGCCTCTGCAAACGATGTCGTCGAATCAGCCACTGAAGGCGGAGGCTCATCAACATGTGTGCCATCGTAATCCTGGAACTCGTCCTCCAGTGTAGGATCACCCATCAGAATTGTGGCCTCTCCACGAATATCCTGCCCATCAGATAGCTGATCATCAATATTGAGCAAAGTTGCAGAGGCAGAGAGAAGCTCGTCAGGTGGCTTTTCTGGGGAAATGGGAGTAGCCGAGCGCAGTTCTTTCGTATGCTCAAGCGCCTTGGGCGACGACATGACATGGTCTTGGACAGAGGAAGGAGCAGAGTCAAACAGAATATCCACAGCAGACGGCGGCTCAGAGAGAGGAGCAGAAAAGCCGGTGGCAGGTGAAGCAGGCGCATGATCCACAGGAACATCGCTGCTTTCAAGTTGCGATTCGGTGGCCAAAGAGCCTTGCAAAATCGGAGTCAGCGATGCGCAAATGTGGACGCCTCGCAAGAGGGATTCACAAAACGCAATGATGATCTCCTAGGACAAGGGAGCGCGCTCACCATCGATCTGCTTCTCGGCCGTGTTCTCCGTCCTTGACTCATGGGGATTCTCCTGCTGGACATTGCCATGAGAGGAAACATCGTCATGAGGATCATCGCCAGGCTGAACATCGGGAGGCTGAACATCATCATGATGCTCTGACACAACCTGATGCTCAGCGTCTGCATTGTCTTCGTGCTCTTCGTCCTGCACATGCGATTCACTTTCACCATCGACGATAGCAGCCATCAGCCAGTCGCCCTCGCTCGATGTCTCTGCAACACTGGGCGCTACACTGCCCCGATCATCATTCAAACCAGGAGGGGGAGGAGGGGCTCGGCCCTCTTCAAAGTCTCCATCGTCAGACTCTATCTTCTTTCTCTTCCCCTTCCGGGAGTCTGAGGGAGAAGTGCCCATAGAAAAAGACCCCCCGTCCCGAATGGGATGTGAATCCACTGCAGTGACCGGAGTGTGAAAGTAAATGCGCATTCGCGAGGGCGGTGGACCCAGGTCCGATGCTGACGCTTTCGCGGTCAGAGCATCTGAAGAAAGAGGTTTCGAGTCTGTCCCATCTGCCATTGGCACGGCCTCGACGACATCGTCTACGGGCTCAGACTCTGTTTTGACAACAGGAGGATCAGAAGCATCCTCAGCCGCCGCAGTCTTCTCTGGGGGATCTCCTGGTGGGACCACACCCCAGGACCAGTCCAGCTCACGTATTTCGAGTCCGACGATCTTAAAGTCCGTGAGCGTGCGACGGTTCTCGTCCTTCTTACCAGAGTTAAAACTCGTATTCGATCCGTCCCGCGTTCCAAAGGAGGTGCCATTGTTCCGTCCCCGATTTAGGTTGCCGTGGCCGCGACCCCGGAAGGAACCCAAGTTGCTTTGGAACGAGCCGCCACCCGACGCGAAGGAACCACCTCTGCGGTTATGGAAGTCTTTGTTGCCGCCAAAATCACCCCGAGAGCCGCCATGTCCCCTGAGCGGCCCGCCCGAATTGACGCCGCCTCGACCTTGATTGTTCCCACCGAAGCTTCCACCACCTCGATTTCCACCCCTGCCAGGCATGCCTCCCCGATTCCCACCACTCATCACCCCATTGCCTCTTCCGCGACCCATCGGCCCTGTGCCTCCACCACCTCCTCGAACGATTCCGGGTCCTCCACCTCGCATACCCATCGGGACGTGATTCCCAATGGCGCCGCCACCTCGACCAGCAAATTGACCGGGCTGCATTGCTCCCACCACTGGAGCCGCTTGAAACTGTGGCTGGACGGGTGGCGGCCGGTTGTGCATCGGGCCATCGAATCGCTGCCGCTTCGCCGGCGGCATGTGCTGGGGCGGCGTATGGTGAAGATGCCGCTGTTGCTGTTGCTGTTGCTGTTGCTGCTGCTGCTGCTGCTGCTGTTGTTGCTGCTGCTGCTGGAGCATCATGTTTTGCATCTGGCCCATATGCGGCGCGGGGTGCGGGAAGAACTGCTGGAGTTGCTGGGGCGTCTGCGGCGGCGGTTGTACGTATGGGACGGGTACTTGAGGCACATAAGGCTGGGCGTAGCCGGCGGTAGGCTGATATGGATTGTATCCTGGTTGCGGCGGGGGCGGTTGAGCTGGAACATAATGCTGCTGCTGCGGCGGTGGTTGCTGGCGCCAGTGATTTCCCTGGTTCCCGTAACCGTAGTTGGCGTACAGAGCGCTCTGCTCAGCTGGAGGTCGCGCTGGCTGGGCAGCAGTCCATTGCTGATTGAAGGTACCGATGGATGGCGCGGGCGCTTGTTGCTGCTGAGACGCGTTCCAGTATGAGTTGTAGTCCGGTTGACCTTGGACAGGCTGAGGCGGAGGTGGTCCTGGAGGCAGCGGTGGAGGGTACGCAGGTTGTTGAACGAACGAATTTTTATGCATTGATTTTGCCGCGGCTGTGCACAAACTTCCAGCAAACCAAGATCCGATTCCAGCACTGTGCTGATAACGGGATGTGCGAGGGCAGGCCAAAAAGAGGCCAAGAAATCTGCCTGTAGCCGGAGCGAAGAGTGGGCGAACGCGCTGGCAGGTCCCAAAGAAGGCAAGATTTTGGAGTGATTATTTGATGGTGGACTAGCCTCGCGTTATCTCAATGTAGGGTCTGCGCATCTTGAACGTTCTCATTCCAATTTTTCCGGTCACAAACTGCTACTCAATTTGCGAATAGTCATACAACCAGTAATCTATGATATCGTCTGTGAACCCCATTTACAAATCCCCTCTCGGCGCACCTTAGAATCCGGGGACATTCAGTCGAGACTCGAAGAGATGAATCGTTCGGCTTACCTGGTAAGCGGGGGGCAAGATCCTTGGCCTGAGCGGTCTGCCTTCGTTTGCGGTGCTCTCCAGTCCTGACTGTCTGCAATTGAGATAGGTCACCCGGGTGGCGCATCGGCAACTCAACTGGAAAATATGTCTCTGTGCAACACAAACTTCTCGTGCGTGGGCCCTTGCGTTGCGGGCTTCGGGGTGAATGAACCAGGGAGCGCGGGGGTCGGAGATTTAGAATCGTCGCCTTTAGCTTTGCCTTTGTCCTTCTCATTGTTATCGCCCTCCTTCCCCTTGTCCTTATCCTTCTCCTGGTTCTTCTCTTTCTCCTCCTTCTCCTTGGCTGCTTTCCGTTTCTGTCGATCTTCCCAGTCCGCTATAGCCTTCCCGACATCCTCTTGGCTGACTTCTGGCTTCGGTGTGGCATCGGGGCTCTTCAACGGGTTCGCAAACCCGGGATCCGAGAGATGGACCTGCACAACGAGACTCCATCGTAAACGCGGACCAGGCCAGGGTAAGATCTCGGACCGGACAGATGTAGAAAAAATCGACGGTGTTGATCGTGGCAAGAACAATTGGGGTCGGTTTATAGCAGACGAAGCAAGGTTTGGGAGTGCCTGCAGTCTAGATATCTAGCTGACTTGGCAGCAGGTGAAGAGCGCTGGTCTTACTCGTTTGTAGTATGAGTTGGCGAACGTCGCCATCTTGAGACAGAGAGACTTGGAAGTGAAATAACACCGAGATGTCCGGACCGTCCGTGCCGAGCGGTCTGCCCCGAATCAACCCGGATCACCCAAGGTTAGCTCCAAGGGGAGGAGCGCGGGGTTACATGAGTGTTTGTAGGATTCGACCCTCCCCGGATACAGATATTGATTTAGCACGCGAAATCCAGGCTCTGTAGAGGTCAATGATGAGGTGCTCGCTGTGGTTGGTCGGGAAATAACGGGTCGGCAGCTGCACTCGGATCAAGGACAGTCCGATCGTGGGCTGGGCGACGAGCGTGGGATCTATTTTCGCGGCTTGATCCGTCACCTCTGACGTTTCTTCAGGTTCATCGGATTATCTCTCGATCGGTGTTCCGGCCAAACGTGGATCATACATAAAACTCAGCGACCAAATGCGATTTAGTTACTCTATCATCGACTCTCCCACTCATCACTCCAACCCTCTCAAACCGTAAACATGAGTACCATTACCTGCAAAGCTGCTGTGTGCTGGGCCGCAGGCGAAGAACTCAAGATCGAGGACGTCCAGGTCGCTCCTCCTCAAGCGCACGAAGTCAGAATTAAGATACTGTACACTGGCATCTGCCACACTGGTTCGTCGCATCGTGCCCCAAAGAAACCTTCCGCGTGTAATAAAAACACATCTCTAGACGAGTATACGCGCTCTGGACGCGATCCCGAGGTGGCTCATCTTCCAACTTCTCGTCATCATCGGGCACAGCTAATTTACGCGAACAGGGTCTGTTCCCTGTAATTCTGGGCCACGAAGGTCGCTCTTGCTTTCGCTCTTTATGGCTTACACTCACTGCTTTCTAGGAGGAGGCATTGCGAGTCTTTGACTGTCGTCTATCTGATGAAACTGACCTCGCTCTTTGCGCAGGTCGAGTCCGTGGGCGAGGGTGTGACCAACGTCGAAGTTGGGGATCACGTCATTCCTCTGTACACCGCAGGTAAGCCACAAATAGCTCCATGCGCGTGAGCGTCAGCAGATCTGACCCATGACCAGAGTGCCGCGAATGCAAATTCTGCAAGAGTGGGAAAACGAACCTGTGCGGGAAAGGTGGGGGTGATATCGCCTTCCACCTGTTCGATGCTCACGCCACCTGCCAGTCCGTGCGACCCAGGGAAAGGGTCTCATGCCCGACAACACCAGCCGCTTCTCGATTAACGGGAAGCCGATTCACCACTTCGTCAGTGATGCCATCGATACTCTCTGTTCTTATCTAATCTGCGTCCAGATGGGGACGAGCACTTTCAGCCAGTACACCGTGGTGGCCGACGTGTCGGTCGTCGCTGTGGACAAGAAGGCACCTCTCGAGAAGGTTTGCCTTCTGGGATGCGGTATCACGACCGCTTGGGGTGCCGTGATGAAGCAGCCTGGAATTAGTGCGTTCGCCGGCCAATAATCCAGGCGTCCGCGCTCATCACTTCTGGTAGAGGACTCGACGGTCGCTGTCTTTGGCTGCGGTGCTATCGGTGTCAGTGCTGCCATTACTTCATCCACCGGCCCATTATTAATGAGAGCAGCTCGGTGTCATTAACACGGCCGCCATGGTCGGTGCCAGCCGTGTGATCGCTATCGACACCAACCCCCGCAAAGAGTCATGGGCCAAGCGATTCGGCGCCACAGACTTCGTCAACCCCAGCGAGCTCAAGGAGGGCGTTAAGATCCAGGACCATCTCATCGAGATGACTGACGGTGGTCTGGACTTCACCTTTGACTGCACCGGAAACGTGCGTACTTTCAGGTCGTCGTCCCTTTTTTTTTAATCTTAAGGACCTCAGGTCCATGTGATGAGATCTGCTCTCGAGGCTTGCCACAAAGGATGGGGTGTTTCGACTGTGATCGGTGTTGCGGCTGCTGGCCAGGAAATTTCGACGAGGCCGTGAGTTAACGTCCATAAGTCTACCCTGTTGTTACTCACTCGATCCAGATTTCAACTTGTCACCGGCCGTACTTGGCGAGGATCGGCTTTTGGTGGTGTGAAGGGTCGGACTGAGATTCCGGGCCTGGTCGAAGGTTCGTCTCTGTTTCAAAGCACGGACCGTACGATGAAGGACTGATCGGCTGCAGATTACCTCAAGGGCACATTCAAGATCGACGAATATGTCACCCACACCCGCACTCTTCCAGAGATCACGGGCGGATTCCACGACATGCACGTGAGTTTTTACGAACAGCCTCCTATCCAGTCCGTTATTCTGACGATTTGGAAACAGCAGGGAGAATGCATCCGTTGTGTAGTCAACATGCAGACCTAAGATACTTTGTACAAAGAACCACGGTGCCAACCAATAAACATGTAGTATTCTTCATATACAAAGCTAGACGGCGCGGTCGACCATCGTCCTGGGAGGCTGCGAGCCTATCACCGCTCGCCAGAGAACAATCAAGGCAGCCCGCACTTCTCGTCGCCTAACGCCGCTCTTCCTCCACAGCGAACGGAAAATCCACAGCACGCAAAACAAGAACGAGACGTCCAGAGTCAACCGCCGCACGATAGCCATCCCCGGCGTCCGGTTCTCGTCCCGGGCAAAGAACTGAGTCAAGGCACGCCCGACTTCCAGTCCACGCGACACGGGGCTGACCAGCAGGGACCACATCCCCAGGTCGTCCAGATCCAGCTCCGGGTCATTGCGCCTCCCTCTCGGCGAGCCTTGGTCCGAGTGGCTTGCGCGTGGGCTGACGCTGAGACGGGACTGAGACAGCCGTCCCGACGTCAATTCAAGGAGCTCCAGTCGCTCGGATATGGCCGCAAGATGGGCTTGCACATTTTCGACACTGTGTTCCAGGGAAGACCGCGAGGCAGGGCGCGGGAGCGTCTGCGTCGTGCGATATTGGGTCGATTGAGGGTGTACGTTCGGAGGGGACGTCAGCCCAATCCGCGAGTCAGGATATGGCCCGGAGTACGGGCCAGATTGAGGATAGAAAGATGAGGACGCAGATGGATCAGCAAAGGCGGAGGGTGTTTCGAAACCAGGCAGGGGTTGCGTCTCGGGCACGCGCGACAGCGCGGTCGGTGGGGGCAACGTGGCCATCGAACTTGCCATTGGCGTTCGATAGCGGTTGGAAGAGACGGACGAGGGAGGACGGGAAATCTGTGATTGCCGCTCATATGCACTGGGTGGACGTTCTTGATGCTCGAGGATCTGGGAATGTCCTTCGCTCTCCATCAGGTGAGAGCGTGCTTCGACGTAGCCGACAGGAATAGCATCTTCATCCGAGTCCTCGGAGTCGGAAGAATCGGAGTCGCGGGATAGACTCCCTATCAGCACCGCGTCAGATGAGCCAGCAAAGACAACGAGAAACGCACTGCTCATGACCAGGTTCGCGGGGTCCCCTCCAGACTCCTCCAATTCCCGAATAAGATCAGCTGCCGCGGTTCGGTCAGAGTATCTTCGCAAAACCTATACAGATGAAACATCTCTTCGAGGGGATTGTGTCACTGGAGATACTTACCTTGAGCAGTGCCCCGACATACATCCACTTGGCCTCGTACGAGTTGAGATCTTTATGTTTCGCCCAAGCATCCCTGCGGTATCGTCAGGCAGGGCCCTCTTTGCTTCCAGCATTCAAGTACCATTTTGCGCGCCCAAGCATATCCCACAACCCGGGGCGTGGAGAGTTCACATTCCCGGCAGTTGCTGGACGGCAACAGTCAGACTAAGACAGCCAATACTTCAAATTATCTCGTTAACCTTGCTTGTAAAGACTGAAGACGAGAAATGAGCATCTTTATCTAGAACGGAGGCGGACATGCTTGCTTTACCTGTACATCAAGAGCTTGTCCTCATACCTTCGTTGCGGCCGCACAGATAAGCGAATTGGCTACCATAGAAGCAGCAAATCTTCTTACCCGGTCTGGATAGGGCCCGCAGGGGGAAGCGCCTGGACGATGGAAACAGCTTTATCGAATTGGGCGTCAATTAGTTCATGAGAGGTCGTCATTGTGGGGCTAGATGCCGCCAAAGGAGAGCCCTGTCGGGGCGGCTGGAGTCGACGGGAGAGATAGAGATGAGGGGAGGTCGACTAGGGAAGCACCTTTCGGTGACGGGAAGCAGGTGAAAGTGAGCGTGCGAGCAAAGCAGTAAATCTGAGCTCAGCAACTGATCGGTGTGTCTGAACACGTGGAATTTTCACGTGTTATTGTGGCTTCCCCTCAGCTTGGACTGAAACGGGCGAAGAGTTGACGCTCTGGCCTTCCTAATAAGATCAATAACGAACGCTTCACCAAGTAAACTAAGTTTGCACGCTTTCTATGGAATTTCTTCAGCAGTTGATGCTGTGTAGTCAACATCTTCCATCAGCAACACTTTTCTTACCAGTGCCGACGGCTCAATCAGCAGCTCTGGGAAGTAAGCGACAGTATCTGCCAGGAAGTAACAGAAAGAGGTGGAACGGAACGGTCGTAGTGCTAGCCCCATGTATGATTCCAGCCCGGACATCATCTTATAGCAGAACAAATGGAAGGAACGGATCACAATGTAGAAAGAACAGAGTTTCGATTGTTTTTGTATTCGATAGTTACCCGTAGTAACTAGTCGTGTAGCGGGGGGCTGCGTCGATGGGTCCAAAGCGATGGGTGACGAGGCTCGGTTCGAGATAACTAACGACCCGTAGGGAGCACCTCTCTGACAGTTCCAGCGGCACAGAGAAAGGAACAGAAGGGGTAACGTATTCTTGATTACTGTACCTTGGAAGGATTAGCTTCAGGTAAAACACATACGGTTGGAGGGCTGACCTCCTTGGCTTTTGAACGACCATCGATCCATTTATACTTCAGAGACCCTCGTATCCTCTCGTCTGCTCCCTTGGTCACAAGTTTGCCTGACCGTACACTCCGTCAGCGAACACCTTCATACACGCGTCACAACAAACCTTTCCAGTACAATTGCCCCCAGAGTTTACCGTGGTCTCCGTTGCACTTGAAGCGGCCTCTTGTGACGCGCCAGTAGCAGTCCGAGATTTGTTTGTCCGACCATCGAATTTGGTGGACCTCTTTCCCCACGACGTTTGGTGTCCGCGCCAAGACCTTGAACAAATTGGCGGGGTGGGTTTTGAGGGCTGGCGGTAGAGGCCGGGTCGCCGGAAGGAGCTGCTGCAGCGAGCGCGAGATGCTGGGCGCCGCGGCCATGAGTGATGGAGAGACGCAAGAAGATTTCGAACTCCGCTGATGCGACTTCTCTTCGCGCAGCCATGTCGCGTCGTGCGGCGCGCACTCTCAAATATCCCTCCACCGCAATCGCGGAGTCTGTCTGACACTGATGAATGTGGATTTCCTCTGACGCCGACATGGTCTGTGAACGAGCTGCTTTCGTCCTACCCCCGTCCGACACTATCAGCTTCCGCCATCCAGCGCCTACACGATCTTTCGGCTCTCAGCGCACCCACGGAGGGCACTCCAGAATACGAACGTCTGAAGAATGGGCTGGAGGGACTGGTCCGCTTAGTTGAGGCTGTGAAATTGGTGGATACAGATGGGGTGGTCGTAGCCTCGCGAGTGATTGCTGAAACCTCAGCTGAAGATGGCGGAGACGCGCTTCAGGGAGGTAGGACGCTCCTTCGACACTCTAAGAGAACTTCTGGTGGATTCTATGTTGTAGACGCCAACAAGCCGCAATGGTGCGTCTAGTGTCTTCAACTTGTACTTTCCAATTTATGACTCTTCTTCAGATATTTGTGCCGATGGCACTCCATAGCATTGCCTAACGTCCTTGCAATACCCAAGCGGCAAGCTCGCGAAGCCTAGCTATCTCATCATCGAGACCATATCAGCCTAGCATAAGTGTAACCCTATAGCAGTCACGGATACGGAAATCGCTGGAGCCATTAGTGTTGAAGAGTCGTGGCATGAACTCAAGTTACAGATCAAAAAATATGCAAGAACTGAGGGAGATGATACGAGTTCACAGTGAACCGTGGCCACCGGTGGAACCGAACCCGCCAGCACCGCGAATGGTCTCCTCGAGGTCCTAAAGCAGAGTTGGAATATGAACTTCCCAGGATGACGAAGAGCAGACCTGGACCTCAAGCACATCGGGAGTGTAGATTTTCTCAATGATCAGCTGCGCGATACGGTCCCCTTCCTCCACTGCAAGAGAACAGATGGATATATCCGAGGCAACAGGTGACTTGGAAGCACTCACCCTGGAAGTCCTTGTCGGAGAGGTTGAATAGCAACACAAAGACCACACCGCGGTAATCGGCGTCAATGACACCCGCCCCCGTGTCGATCATGAACTTGGAAGCTAGAGATGGGTCGAGCAGGGTTAAAGGTGAGGCAGGTGGCAGACGAATGGTAATCACGGACCGAGGCCACTGCGAGGCGCGACGCGTCCATAGGTGCCAGGTGGGACTGCAATGGAGATTTGGGTGTCTACGAGAGCTTTTCCATGCGCAGGGATGACTTTCTGTTCGGCACTAACAGTTTTCGCATGAGAAAACGCGTCGAAACGAGGACAAAACGCGTCACCTGTATAGATCGTAGCCAGCCGAGAGAGCAGAGCCTCTGGTGGGCAGTTTGGCCTTGTCCGACAAGCGTTTGATGAGCAGTTGAGTAACTGGTGAAGAAAGCTCGGATTCTGGGGACATTTTTCTTTTCTTGAGCTGAGGGGAGTCTGTGGACATGGAAGAGCTGACGAGAGAAGGACGTATCGAAAAGACAGATCAATGCAAACCATCATCAACACCCACTTGTCAATGATTGCCCTCCAACTTGAAGGGTCGGCACTTGCAGTCTCAATTGTATCCAAGAGTCTTTAATGAGCTCTCCAATATCACACGGGCTTTTCTACTCGTTTTCTCTCCTTCTATCTTACCGCGACTTGATGGCACTATTCAGCATATAACAGACTATAATCTTTTCAAGCCAAACTTCCTCGTCACGGTACCTTGCTCCCTCTTGACGATCTGTATTTTCGATTCTCTCAACCTCTATCGATGCTTTATCTTTGTAAGAAGCCCTAGGCTCACATGTCATTTTGTTGTGCTTTAGGGTCTGGCGAAACAGTCCGCCTCTGAGGTGGGACACTGGGTCTGGATCCTGACATTCTAAACTGTCGGACTAGGGGTCATACACAATTGGTCTAGCCCACTCAGTTATCACACCGTTGCGCTCCTAAGAGATGGCAAGGTAGCGATTTTCGTAATTGACTTCAGGCATTTTTCTTCTTCTGCTGTGTCCAAGAGGAGAGAATCGAGGCACTAGAATTGTTCAGTCTCGTTTCGGAACTTGAGCAGTTCAAATCTATCCGAAGGCACTCAAAGGTAGGCACGATCACGTGCAGTCGCTGGGTCTCGAGCCTGTGCTTACGCTTGTGTGTTTGATATCAGGCTCGGGTCTTGCCGGACTCAAATTCTCGCCATGCATTTGACTTCTGCCTTACGAGCCTCCTGGCAGCCTGACACTCTACGCTATGTAGACCGAAGTGAAGTAAAAGCCTCATACTGGAAAAATGGGGTATGTAGCCCTTCTGCGCCAGACTCCGGCACCTCTCGCTCATCTCAGCGGAACAGCGAATGTCTCCCGGCCTTCTACGTGCCCGACGCCAATTCCGCACCAAGAACACTTTCGGCGGCGTCGTCCTCCTCACCTTCGTCGCTGGTGTCTTCGCATATTCCATCGCTGCTGTGAAACAGGACGTGTTCGACGACCTAGACGATGAAGTGAAGACACGCGCCCTTCAGGAAGCACCGCGGGTCGTGTTGTCGGCTGAGGACGAAAAACGGGTCATGCAGGCTGCTACGAGTGCTGCAACGAAGGGTCCGACGTTAAGGAAGCCTCGAGCGGATGGGGATCTCGCTGTTGCTTCGGCGGGGGCGGACGCTAGTGCGGCTGCTGCTGCTGCGTCTCCGCGCGGAGTGGTCGCCGCATTCCTAGCGAAACGATATCCGACGCTATTGGATCCGACCAGCCACACCATTGTATGGGGCGCACCGCCAGTCGATCGGATAGGTAGTGTAGGAGACAAGATGCCATAGGCGATCGTCCCTGTACTAGGATCTTCTATGACTTCAGCTCTGGGGCTGGATCGTGGCTGCTCTTGACCTCAAGTGCTGGCTTCCTACCAATGCTCTCCTCGGTCCCGTCTAGACTGTTTCGCATTCTAAGAGTGCTCTGGGGTTGAAATGTGCCCAGATGAGCCTCGGTCCGACTGATTCGCGCGCGACTTGCTCAATGGGCCATGCTCGAACGAACGAAACGACCAACCATGGTCTTCGTCGTGAATGCGCTGATAGAATCTTCAATGTCGTCTGCAGACATTGCGCTGTTATCATTGCCGATGTGAGCTTAGTGCCTAGTGCCCCGCCGCACTCGAGTGTTTATTTATGTAACTGATACGCACTGTTACTAATTCATCAAAGCTATTTGCGACTACAATGCCACTGTGAACAACTAGAAAGCGTCGGCTCCGCCGACATTCTGCCTTGCTATTTGATATCAAAATTAATTCTAATTTTTTCTTTGATATGGGCAACTACGACGGGTCGAACTCGAGACCGACAGGAAAAACACGGAGAGGAACGGAACAGCGGGGGAAGCCGGGTCCGACGAAATCGAGCCAATTATGAGGGTGGAGAAGCCTTGACAAGCAAGGCAATTAAGCTTGCGACAGCCAACCTCCTCGTTCTGCCTGGTCTTATGTCCCTACATGTCGCTTGACGCACAATGATGCTATCAGTATTCACGGGCCCTGCTGCCTGGCCACAGCAGAAGCTGTAAGTACCAAGAAATCAACCAGTGTTCCTCTATCCGCTGTTCAGCGGTCTTGAGCGCCGGGCCAATTCGAATCCATTTAACTGGCATCTGCCAAAATGAGTGATAGTCTCTCAGAGTTGCACTCGGGTCGGTCAACTTCAACGATGCGTTGAAAGGCTCAGACTTCGATGCTACAAAGTGTGATTGGCGTATAGGTTCGGCACCTATTTTTTGTCCTCTGTGCCGTACGATTGAAGTGAAGCCCGATGGTTCTTGGCGACGCGCAGGAGCGTGAGGACGCCTCGATACGCAAACTCTTGGAAATGTACAGCATGCAGGGAGCCACGAAGTCCCTTGTCGTCAGCTGTCGGCTGATCACCGCCAGTACGATCATTGACATCCATTATAGCACCAGCCCAGTCGTCCCGCGCCTCTACGATCTGTTTATACCATTCTTGGAAGAATGGGGCCATTGCAAGGATAAATGGATTGCTTGTCTGGGACCTAAGCAAGCGCGGTGGTGCGCCCAGAGCGTCAGGACTCATGACAGATGCCCGAATTTTGACATCGGCAGAGGCCAGATCAATCGCCCACTGGACCTCGATTTCCGAGTCTTTGTCAGCATGGCCTTGTAAGAGCGCAGAAAGGCATGTCCAGAATGCAGACTCGTGGTCATCGACAGGGGATTGCAAATAAGGTGTGCCGCGTCCGAGAGCCATTCTGAGAGCTGTTGACATGTAATCGCGTGTGCCCTGAACAGTGTCAGACATGAAGTGAAATGGATGCAAATAGAGAAGATGCGCACCGAGAGAGTGCCTCGACTGTGGTCGTTTCGGAAGTACTCCTTCAGCTCGCATGCCTGATCGCCATCGATGATCATACCCCGGCACTCTGTCCCGATGTCCAGCTCGCCGACAGCCATTTGCACAGCGTGCGCCAGCTCAGCCAGTTTGAGCTTAGCTGGCTCGTTCCGGTGCGACAGCAGGAGAGAGGCGAATTCAGGAAGAGGGGCATCAGCCGGAAGGTGGAGGCGATCCAGACGAGATCCGAGGTCCTCTAGGAACTCTGACTGCCTTCCAAAAACAGTGAAATCAGTAGACATGTCCTCGAGCACTCGTTCGATGACCGTAGTCGTGAATTTCGGTCGATCCAAGGGCGGATCCAAACACAGCAAATTAACGATGCTGACATTCCGATGAAGAAAACCCGCCTGAAACAAGGAAAGCCAGCCTACCAATCAGCGAGTCAAAATATGCAGCCTGTAGTAGAAACAGAACTTACCAAGCATGCCATGTACGACAGAGATAACTAGTTCCCATGGAGTCTTGCAGGTCTCGAGGCGTTTCCCCTCGCCAGTTGTAATGTGCACGCACATCGTACGATGGTCAGGGGATTCCTTGACTGAATCAGAAGCCACTTTTCGATAATCCCAGAGACGATTTGTCATGCCATCCGGCTCGGGGAGGAAGATATCGTTGGTGAGAGGGACGTCATCTTCACCGCATGGCATGAAAGATAGCACATGCACAGGAGTACCGAATGCATTCGGACAGGCGTGCAGCATTTTCCCTTCGACACTAGCTCTGTGCGAAGGATACCATGCAATCTTTGTAATCAAGTCTTCGACTGGTTGTTGCTGGGGGCTAGATGTAAGCGCTTGCGTGACTTGAGGTAATCTCAGCTCATCATTCGAAGGGCGCGTTTTAATGAGCTCTAATTTCTCTGCTAGAAATGTGGTCACAGTTTCTTATGTAGAGACCCGCGAGGCATCACTCACCTGACGGTTTCCCTTGCTTCTCTTTCCCGCTTACCTTGCCTGTTTCCTGCTTGTCTCTGGGATGGACTCCGGGCTTTTGGGTATCAGACGGAAACCCCAAGGCATTGACGGCGACAGCTCCAACAAGAGTGTTCCGGCCCCGAATCGAGTGTCTTGCATCCAGCACTGTCTTCATCACACCGAAACAGCACGCATTAGCGTTTCCGACACCGTCCATCTTGGGAAGAACGAATCGGACGCCATCCGTGAACGAAGGAAGGCCAGCGTCCTCCCGACACGACCAGAGAGCGATCGAAAGAAAGATTTTCTCGACAAGGGCGCAAGTGGAATCCTTCGCAACATCCAGCCCGACCGAGGCCGTCAAGCCTCCGCGATGGAAGATGAGAAAGCGCAGTGTCCGATCGACGTGATTGAAGGCAATTGCGACAGAGAACGCGCGCGTCGGGTTCACACTCAGCTGCGCACGGGCATATGTAGCGGCCTGCAGGACCATCTCGCTCCAGCTGTTTTTGACTCCGACGGCGATCTGCATCTGCTGCAAATGATGCTTGGGACCATGCTCGTCGACCGTCCATTGCCAGCAGCAGTCCAAATCTGCGCCTGAAGCTTGCAGTGTGTTGATCCCGACAAGGTCAGGCTCGAGTGGATTCGCCCCTTCAATACCGTCGAGAGTGCTCCTGTCGTATTCGTAAAAATTCAGCTCGCGGAACAGCCGCGATTCGTCTTTCAGGGCAGGGAAGGAAGCATCGCCCACACGGACCTCTGCCTTGGAATCCACGATGACTCGACAGGCATTGCGCACGCGTTTCAGGCGCTCATTGAGATAATTCGCCAGTGTTTCATAATGATCTCTTTCATTCAAGGACTGGGATCTATACGCACTCGCCGAGTTGCGTTGTGAAGACAATGCGCGGGAGACAACATCGGAATCCGCGAGACAGTCGAAGTGAGCGAGGTAATGATGGCCATCCGTCCCCCTCCACTGTCGTTGGAGACGCTTGGGCGACAGCATAGCAGCGATCTCTTCAGCCGGAAACTGGTAAACCTGTGCGCCCCGTTCACCTGGCATCTCTTTGATTAATGTGCCTTGTGAGCGAGGGGTAGGAATTTGCTCCGGAGCGGATGTGAGGGACGATGCAGGAGTAGATCGTGCCGAAGACGACTCGGGTGGTGCAGAGTGGAATCCTGAGGCGCCCAATGACTTGAAGAAACGCGTGCCGGCTGGTACTATGGGCTCACATCGTCACGCCGGCACAAAGTGTGTGACGTCACGCGACAATGACATGTCCATTTCAGCTCTTTACCACTACTTTCGCGTACCTGTACCGTACGCCCAGACTCTCGCTTTGCAGGAACGTATACATGCCATCCAGCGATCCCAACGCCAGGCTTCTGGGGGACACAAAGACATCTTGCTTCTCCTGCAGCACCGACCGGTCTACACCGCTGGCCGGCGACAGACCGAAGATGCAATCCAAGACGAACGCACGAGGCTGACGCGCATGGGTGCGGATTTCGTGCGCACTGCGCGCGGCGGAGAATTGACATATCACGGGCCGGGTCAAATTGTCGGTTACCCACTGCTTGATCTCTCGCGTCCGCGACCATCTCAATCTACGCCGATGATGATCAGGGACTACGTCGATCGCCTTCAAAAGATTCTCCAATCTCACATTCTCGAGGCCCACGGAATTATGCATGCACCGTCGGACAATACAGGCGTCTTCCTCGACGCGCACACAAAAATCGCGAGTATCGGCGTGCAAGTGCGGCATCGGTTTACAACTCATGGAGTTTCTCTGAATATCACTCGAGAACCGCTGGCGTGGTTCGACGAGGTTGTGGCATGTGGACTGGTCGGGGTCAAGGCTGCCTCCGTGGAGGGTGTTCTTGGCAAAGAGACAAGTGTCGAGGACGAGATTCCTGGACTCGTGCGACGATTTGGCGTGGCAATGGAGCGGGATTTTCAGCCAATGGTGTTGGAGCAAGAAGAAGAAATCGGAAAAGCGATTGCCGAATTAGAAGCAGAGGCTGCAGCCCTGCAGGGCTGGCCACGAACGCCACTATAGACACAAACTCGTATCATGCAGGTAGGGAAATGCGGTTCCCGAGATAAGCAGCATCGACCTGCGAAGACTCAATTGCGAGGGAATGTAAATGTCATCCCGCCAGCTTGTCTTCATGCACTCGTGTTGCCCGGCGGTCATCGATCATCGGTCGCAGAGCTGGGCAGAGGGACCGGATATCAAGACACAGGACTGGGTTAGAACCTAACGACTCACTTGTGCAAATGCATCTTGATTCCACTGCTCTTGAACGAAATCCATGTCTTCTCTCGGCATCCACCATTCTAGGAACATGAAAAACCAGCAGTCGACTATGAGAATGATCGTGTAGATGGGTCCTGCAAATAGTCCTAGCTGCATCGTGCGCTCGATTCGTTCCCAGAGCTCCATTTGAGGCGAACACAGAACTGCATCGTATACAGCTTCTGTTCGTTCCGTGACTTGATCCCAGCTGTAAAAGGACTTGACGCGTTCATGAGCCAAAAGAGGGTCGTGTTTTCCTTCTGAAACGATGCGGATGGCTTCCCCAACCGCACGGCAAACGTCTGGTAGAGTAAGACGCCGAGCAAAGAAGTCACTGGAGACATACCATCCTCGTCCGGGTTGGCAAAACTGATCATGTCTTGCGGCAAGATTTCAGGCACACCGCCTACACGGGTCGAGACCACATAGAGCCCAGCGCACGCTGCTTCCAGGATCGCGATTCCGAAAGACTCTGTTAAGGACGTGTTCATGAATATAGAGCCTTGTACAAGGAACTGCGGGGATTAAATTATGAACACGAACGAGACGAAGACAGACAGGACATACCTCCCGAACCTCGCTGGGAGGCACAGCACCCCGGATGTCGATACGGTCCTGCAGGAGATATTTCTCTCGCATTTGATGCAGATCAATCGCCTTCGGTCCGTCACCTCCTACGATGAAACGGACATTTGGGAAGGTCGCGCAGATTCGTGGCGCGGTTGCCACCAGGAGGTCGATGCCTTTGCGGTAAGCAAGTCGGCTCAGAAAGACGATTGTGACTAAATATGGTCAGAAGGAGATAAGTCAAGGGTCGGAAGCAAGGCCGCTCACCAATTTCGCTGGGCGGCGGTGGACATGGCTGAAATCTCTCTGGGACCAATGTGTTCGGGATAACGTAAACATTATTCCTGACGGTGAAAACATCAGGAGCTTTTGGGGAGCGATCGAAAAGTTGTCCACGAAGAACGGTGTTTTCGCGACTGCCACGGAATGAGATCGCGAAACTTGACAATCAAATCGAGGCGCACCCGGTATGAGAGACGCAGATCACAGCGTCCACATTCCTTAACGTCCCAGCCAGCAGTTTGTTCGTCAGTATGCTCGCTGCGTCGTCAAATCCAAACAGGCTGTGATCCGTGAACACAGTGCGCACACCAAGGAAGTGGGAGTGCAAGATTCCTTCGTGTCCGAGAGACGACAGGCTGGCATGCGCGTGAATGAGATGGATGTGTTCGCGGATCAGGATGGTACGAAGATACGGATGGAATGTGAAGAATTGGGGGAGGGTGGCGGAGGACGCGATTGGAACGAAAGGGATGTAGTACACCTTCAGCCCTGGCAGAAGCCACCGCACGCCTACGCGGTCGGGGGTATGTGCATGAGTGATAACTATGACCTTGCGGTATGGTTAGTCAATTTCGAGCGAACACGGAAAGGTAAGGCGTCACTTTATGCCCTTTACGTAGCAGGCAAGCGCTCAACATATATACGTGATTTTCCACCCCGCCAACATTTGGGTGGAAGAAATCTGTTATCATTCTAAGAGATAAGCACGAGATCGTGTATAAGATTGAGTGCATACGCAATGGAAATGGGATCCAGAGATCCAGACATGATCAAGGTAAGTAGCAAGTGCCAGACTAAAAGCTCATAATCTCCCGGACCGGAAGCTCCGTGACCACAACCGGACAAAGACATGCAAGCACCTCCAAGCACAACCATACGCGTCATTGCTCTCTCACACTGGCATCTCGAACAACGAACAAATTCTACGCACCTTTAGTCTTTGCATGCCCAAGGACCGCGAAGATAATCAAATCACCTCTTATTTTACACGCGTTCACCAAAGCAAGCGACACGCACGCTCCTCCTTGCCGGGGAACATTAGCCCTTCGAAGCAGAGTGAGAAACGAGAGGAAAGCAGGCCCAGCCGACAAGGAATCGATACGGAAGATTCTAGAGCAAACAAATCGAACTCATTAATAGGAAATGTGTCTGTACGAGCACCTAAAAGACGCTACTCGACTACACGGGACAACGAACCAATCATCATTCTAGATACCCCTCCACGGCGTCGGAAACGGAAAGCAGTTGTTTCACCGAAGGCGGGATATGACATAGACCTCACGATACCATCCCAAGATCCCGTTCTGGAGATCCACAATGCCGCCCTACCCTCGAATGCTTCAGTCCTCGATCCTGTGCGGGCACCGCTTAAATCCATGAAAACACAACTGGCTGCCACTGCCACCACCCCATCTCCCCGTGGAACACCCGCAAGAGACGAGCTTAGGGATCCCAAGAGGACACCCACCTCTTTGGACTCCTCCATCACATCTCAAAGACAACCTGCCTCGATCTTCAGTACCCCAGATCGTTCCAGTCCTCCGCCGTTCGTTCCACCTCCTCAGGATCAAATTCAACGTCGCATCTCGTCGGTTTCAGATCCCGTTCCGGATGACGATAGTGTTCCCTCATCCCAATCTCAGTATTTCGGAGCATTGCCTGTGTTGAACGATGATGATGCCGCCGCCGAGGTTCCGTCGTCTCAGTCGCAATGGCTGGCGTCTGCACCAGAAACACTCTCTTCAGATGAAGAAGACGAATTAGCGTTGGAACTGCCCCAGATCAGTGGCTTAGATGTTGTCCCGTCCTCTCAATCCCAGTGGATGTCTTCTCTGGACACAAGAGATGTCGACGATGATGAAATGGCGGTGCCGTCCTCCCAGACACAGTACTTTTCCCAGCCTGCGGACGAAAAGGATGAACATGTCGAAGAGGACTCTGCACCACGGAGCTCAGCAGTGCTGTGGTGAGTGAATATATCTCGATGTCAGCTTAGATGCTGATATCGAGAACATAGTCTCTCCTCCACTACGCGTCAGACGGAACATGGAGAGAACTCATACTTGGGATTGAATAAAAACGATACTATTTCGTCAGACGACCTCTTCAACTCAAGTCAAAGCTCCATCGAAGAGCCGCATTCGTTACCAGACGCGGTGCAAGAGTTCTTGGATATGATGGACAGTAATGCTGGTAGCTATCCCTCGTCGTTTCCGCAGTCGCTTCGAGGCCATTGGGGCTCCGATTGTACCCAGGATTGATCGTATAATGTACAGCAGGCTAGTAGAGGCTAGTTAGTAGCCACAGCCTTGTCTCAAACAACCTTGCCAAAGATAGTATCTAATCATGAATCACGGGATCGCGATTAGGACTCCTTAAATGCGATAATCGCCCGCCTGATCTTCTAACCTCTCTTTCGCCCACATCGTACGGTATGGTTGGACGCCTTGCACACAAAGTAATGCAGAAAATTTCTCTCCCAGTTTTACTCTGACCAAGCTCAGGCTGCGCTCGTTACCGGTGCTGGATCGTGTGTGCTTCTATATCGTGTGACGGACCGTCTGGCCGACTGAATTTGCAGGGGAATCGGATTGGAGACGTCGATCTTGTTCGCTCAAGAGGGTGCTAACGTCCTTCTCGTCGACATCAACCTCGCTGCCGCCGAAAAGGCAGCTGCCATCATCAAGGAGCGGTACCCCAACGTGAAGACCTTGGCCACGAAGGCTGATGTGGGCAAAGAGGCGGATATCAAGGCTGCCGTCGATCTTGCGGTCAAAGAACTCGGTCGTTTGGATGTTATGGTCCGTCTCTCTCTTCTTGGGTGCCACCTCTTCCTCTGCTGAGCTTTCTCGTCAGTTCAACAATGCCGGTTCGTCGATCGAAGCGAGCAGGGTCTGACGCGAACCTCATCCATCGATAGGAATCATGCACCCCGAAGACGATAACGCGCTTAACACGGAAGAGCGGATATGGGATCTGACAATGACGATCAACCTAAAGGGTGTGTGGTGGGGGTGCAAGTATGCGATCCTGGCCATGCGGGAGAACCCTACGGACGATTCCAAGGGTCTGCACACCGGCGGAAGCATCATTAACACCGCCAGCTTCGTCGCTTTGTTGGGCGCCGCCACGCCCCAGCTGGCTTGTGAGTCCCGGTTCTGCGCCGATTGTGGTAATATTGATACCGTTTTACAGATACCGCGTCCAAGGTTTGATCTTGACGTTATCTGGGATCGCTGGGCTCATCGTCTGATAGGGGGGTGTCCTCGCGATGACTCGCGAGTTGGCTATGGTTCACGCGAGGGAGGGTATTCGCTTGAACTCTATTTGCCCGTACGTTTCGGAACCATACGGAGCTCAAGATGCTGATCTTTTTTACGCAGTGGTCCGCTCAAGACTCGTAAGCACGATCGTCACCCTTTGCGTCAAGCCGGACTGAGTTTGTCATCTCAGCTCTTCTCATGGATTTCTTGAACACGGCTGAGAAGCGGGATCGCCGGATGATCCACCTGCCGATGGGTCGATTCGGAGAGGCAGTCGAGGTTGCCAAGGGTGCACTTTTCCGTTCGTTACCGCTTTCCGTCTGGAGGCAAACCTGCTGATTTTCTCTCCCAGTCGCTAGTGACGACAGCAGTTATATGACCGTATGTTGTGCCACTTTCACTAGTCTTTTATAGCTCACTGTTTGGCAGGGCACCGATTTCAAAGTCGATGGTGGATTATCGTCAGCTTATGTTACTGCCCTCGGTGAACCGGTGCTTCCTCCTCCAGCCAGCCTCATTTAGGGTACGATTAGATCCGAATTGTAATAATGAAACGTATTGTACATGCGAACGAACGGTTGTACAAGACACTCGAAAGATACAAAGCAATAACATGTGAAAGATTCTGTATCGTCATGTTGACTGAACAACAGACTACTGGACCTTGGCCGCAGCTGCACGACGTTTGTCGCCTTCAGCCTTCTTCACGCGAGCGATCTCGACACCGACAGCATTGTTCAGCTCTTTATGCATCTGGGGCTTGTAACCCAGAAAGAACAGCATCTCGAGATGGACAAAGAAGGGAGCGAGCACAATCGCTAGACCATCGTTTCAGGCATCGCGGAATGCGAGCATTGGAATAACGCACCTCCGACAAGATTATCGAGCAAAGCCGGGGCACGCTTCTCAGCCACACCGTGTCCCACGAATTGCGCCACCCAGCAAACTCCGTGAAGTGCAGCAATTTGTTGCAGATGTCCTCCTCCGGCAATCGCGTTAGCGGTTAGAGTCGAGAGAATGAACTGGGGAGTGTAGAGGAACTAGGGTATTCCGTCAGCCCGAACGTCGCCGCAAGAGAGGGTAGCATGCAAGCTCACAGCGGCAGTAGGCTCCAAGATATAATAGTACGCCAGATAGACAGCCGCGAGGATGGACGAGTAGTTCAAATCGAAGATGAGGTACTTCGACAAGACGTAATGCATCGAGGGCAAGAAGGACGGGACCGGCAATTGAGCGAGCATAACTTGGGCACTCCTATCAAGTACTACAAGTCAGTTGCAGTTCGGTGCGCTCAAAGAGCATGTACCCTACGCAATAATCAGTCTCTAACGACACAAACCGGGAGAATAGACAGACATAGCAGAAGCGGGACACAGACGATATGGATCATGACATTTGTGGAGTTGGAGTGGTAAGCACCGTAGAAAGTGAGCTGGTGCTTGACATCGAACAGGTTCTTGCTGGACATGGTTGCTGAACTGAAGGGTGAGACGGAACTGATCAAAAACACATGAAGATCCCCCCAGCACTTATAAGCCTCCGGACCGGGACCGCGGACCCCGATCACTTGATGGCGACTGACAAAGTTCAGCGTGGTGGCCACACAAAGCCCAACTTGAACGCGCCTCTTGTCGGGATCCCGTTGGTCAATCTGGACTCGGATTTATGCAAGGACTGGATCAGACATTATTAGATAGCAGATTCTCTCATATCTTCAATAAACTGCGGTAGCATATTGTGCATTCTCAGTGACTCGAGTGTCGTTGATGTCCGGAAGAGCTCTTGTCAGTTTGGAAGATCATGGGCCTAGAACTGTAGCTATGCACCGGGGGAATGCCACCCGAAGCTGCGAATGGGACTAGCCGCCCTTCGGTCCAGGACCAGGTGAGCCGATGACCATTCGATAGCAGGCCAGGCAACTAGATTCAGCAGCTACGGCTCTATATACAGACTTGTGACTGAGGCAGAGACTTCTTGCAATTAACATGGGCTCTTGGACATAATATAAACTGTACCCTAGCAGTCCACGCTCAGCGCATGGAGAGCTGTATGAAGTGCGTGGCCAGTCGTCGTGTCCTGTCTTGTGGCGATCACTGAGGCGATCAATCAAGTACGTGGCGGTGCCTCCCTGACACCTCCCTCCCCTCCGACTTCACTTACCATGGTGCGCTCGACCATAATCGTCAGAGCCTCAGATTCGCTTCCTTTGGCAGCAAGTGTAGACGACGAACAGGCTTGTGTCACCTTCGACTAATTGTCAAATTCCAATCTCATTCGGGTTAACCACAGACTGAGCTGGCTCTTCAAGAACACAAACAGCAGGCTAAGCTGATTTTCCGTCGCATCACTCCCAATTCGGAGTCTCGGTGCTCGATAGAGAGCGGTCAATTCACATTACAGTCAGTGCATTCGCTCTTGTACAGTCATATGCAGCTCAATGCTGTTCCAGTTACTTCATTTCGGACAATGTCGTGTTCTTGACGATCGCCGACAAGTCATACCCCCGCAAATTGGCTTTCTCCTACCTCGATGAGCTCTCAAAAGAGTTTGCGACCACATATGGCTCGAAGGTGGAGACGATACGCAAGCCGTATGCGTTCGTTGGCTTCGGTGCGCTTGCTTGCTTTACCACACAGCGTGGTATGCCCCCTCATACGACACACATGCAGACACGTTCATGTCCAAGACTGCCCGACTGTACCGGGACACTCGCAATGCCGCCAGTGCATCGAGTCTAGACCGACTCAACGACGACCTGCAGGATGTGACGCGGATCATGACCAAAAACATGGAGGAGCTGTTATGGCGTGGCGACTCGCTGGATCGTAGGTCACACCTCCGACCATCGTGAAATTTCCCCTAGACTGACTGCTCTCCCACAGGCATGTCGCACCTCTCGACGTCACTTCGTTCCGAGTCAGAGAAGTATCGCAAGGCTGCGCGGAACATCAATATACAAGCCATGATCCGCCAGTACGCACCTGTCGGCGCGGTTGTGCTCGTCCTTCTCATTGTATTGTACTGGAAGTTCTTCTGACATGTACTAGCATACTTTCATCTATTACAGTACATAAGCTGCCTCTATCACACGGATTTCTGAATCGAAATCGCGATCTGCAGACTAGCGCGCAAGGGTGCTTCTATCATCAGATCACACAGCAGCATACAAAGGGCCTTGCTTTCCCTGCATCTACCACCTCCCTGCGAGATGTTCTCTGGGTACGGTGCAGGTAGACAGCCGCAGACACCAGCACCAGCGGCACCGGCCCCGATCAGCCCAGGAGCAATCACATATACGACCAGCATCGATAGAAATGGAAATGTTATCTTCCACCCGTTCAGAGCAACCCCAGCGAGGTGCCTGTACCCTCATCTCCGTCGACCCTTCTAACCGAAATCACCAGCCTCCCGATGCCGGGGGGAACGATGAACGGAATCCAATGGGTCCCAATGGACGCTACGCGGGTGCTTCCTCCGGGAGCGCAACCTGCAGACGCGGTCGGCGTCCTTCTTAATCGATGTTACCACACGCTGATAAGCCACCGACGCAGGATTTTGCTGCGTCTTGGACACAGCAGCCTGTATCCAAGTCGGACAGGAAGTTGCTCAAGGACTGGTGCGTTCTTAGATCTGCCCTCCAGTGGCGTTTGTTTATGCAGGACGCAGGCAGGAGGACGAAGAAAGGCAGAAGAAGAAACAGCTGGCCAGGGAAGCGAAGGAAGCGAGACGGCTGGCCAAACAGCAGCGAGCCTCAGGTGGAGCGGGCATAGCGGACGCGGAGCTGCGCAAGGCTCGCGAACGCGACGCGCAGGGCACAGCAGCACGCGAGCGTCGCAATAGCATGAATCAACCAAGTCCTGCGGGTGCAGCTGGTCCCGGATTGTCTGCATTCCCCACGGCTGCCAACGCGTATCCTGCGGCGGGTTCTTACACCCCCGCCGGATACCCTGCGAATCCTGCCCCCAATCCATACCCCGCTGCAGTCAATCCCGGATATCCTTCGACGCCCTATACTGCCGGCTATCCTGGTGTGGCAGGGCCTGGCTCCGAGCAGCCTCGTGAGCGCAAATACAGCACCGGTGCCATTGGATTAGGCGTGGGCGATCTAAGCCAACAATTTGGAGAGATGGGCCTGGAACATCCTGAAAGAACGCGTTCATCTCAATTCGCTTCAGAATCTGAACGAGTGCGCCGCATGAGCAATAACATGGGCGATCGCGGACAGTCCGTCGCTGGTGGATATCCTACTAACGGAGGGTATCCTGTTGCTGGGGCAGCATATCCTGCGCCAAGCAGTGGCTATACGGGCGCTGGCGCTGTCCTGGGTGCTTATCCTGGTGCGGCGAGTGCTGGCTATCCTACGGCTGGAGCTGCTGGACAACCGGGAGCTGCAGCAGCTACTGGATACCCTTCAACTGGCGGCGGCAATTACCTAACACAAAGCCAATATCCTGCCCAGCCTGGGGCAGGCTTCGTTCCGCAAGCCACGACACCTTATGCGGCACCGCATACTCCCAGCATGCATCCCAGTACACCTTACGCAGGTCAAGTGTACCCACCGGGTCATGTGATGGAGGGCAGGCCCATCCCTGCACCGGCATCTTCCGTCCCAGTTCCCGGCGCCTATCCGCCTCAGACTGGTGTACCTCAACCTGGCGGGCCCCAGGCTGGGTTTTCGCAAGCTCCAATGCCTGGCGTTGCATATCCCAACGGGCAAACACCCTTCCCCTCGAGTGTATCTGCACCGGAGCCAGCCGTCGAGCAACTTCCAGCTCCAGAAGGCTTTGGCCGGGCTGTCAATGCGGCACAAGCATTCACGCCGTTTGAAAGGATGAAAATCCAGGATATGGACGATCTGGCGGAGCAGCCAGTGAGAATGCCCGCTGTGCTGCAGGCGCACGATGTGTTTGTTCATGATTGTAAGTCAGTGCGCGTTGTCGACAACTGTAAGCTGATGAATTCGAATAGGGAATCGCCTGATGCAGGTTGGTGTCGCCGTCAATTACGGATTTTCTGTTCTAATGCAGACCACAGGATCTTGGTCTAGCGTGGACCGGAAGATTGCCTGCACCGGGACGCTCTCACAAAAAGTCTTCCCTCGCTGCCGATGTTATTGATCTGTGGAACAGCAGTTTCTTCTTCGCTCGGGGCATCGAGGTGATCCTGTACAAAGGGCGTGAACGTCGCTCGGGCCCGAATGCGGGGCTCGTGGATGTCCCATACCCAGAACCGGGTGATACATCTTCGGATTCATCTGAATCTTCCTCTGAACACTCGTCGTCGGACGACGAATACCCCGCTCGCCAGGCCAGTGTGTACGGTCCAGCGCATGGCTATCCCGGATTTGTACCCGATGCTGCTGAGCAGCGCCGAAGACGAGATGAGGAGCGGAGGGAGAAGAAACGTCGTCGCAGAGAACGCAAGGCTCGACGTCGGGCACGCGAGCGCGCGAAACGGTATTCGCTGTACATCAGCTGCATTCCTAACGGGGGGCCTGCTGGTGTTGTCTCCGGTGGAATGCCTACGACGGCGGGAACAGCTCAGCCTGCTCAGATGCAACCCCAACAGCAGCAGCAGCAGCAACAGAATCCAGCAGGGTATCCGCTGGGGACCCTGCCTGGCACGATTCCCGGGGGATGGCAGCTCCTGGCACCTATGGATACCCGCCTGCGACTGGCTATGCGACACCTGGAGCAGGAATCCCAGTCACTGGAAGCCAAGGCTATGGGCCTGGAATGACGATGCTTGGCGGGATGGCCGCGCACTCGGGTGTCCCGGCAGCTGCCACTCAGAACTACGCGCAGGGGATGCTCCCGGGAACCATGCCGGGTGGGATGCCGGGCGGATTGACTGGTGGAATCTCGACCCCATATGGTGCTGTCTCTGGTGGCATGCCTGTGTCTCAGTCTGGCTATTGATTTCATCTGGCAGCCATTTAGTCTCTGCTACGCTCCAATTCCTTAGTCTTGTATATCCCGCTATGCACTTTGTATCATCCGCATCCGATTTGTACTTGCCTGTCCTGTGGTGATGTGGCTGGCCGATAAGATAATCGATCAGAGATCACCGATCCACGGTTACTGGTCACATGTACAATGGCCCACAGCCACATCAGTCCTGAATCGCACTCCCAACTTCCCTGGACGCGTCGCTCGTCCCAACCCTGGACGCGGTTTGATTCCTCTCCAGCTCGACCATGTCCTTCTTCAATACCAACACTTCGAATGCTCTCAATAGCTCCACGGCGGCAGCCGCCGAAAAGGACATTGAGATGGCAGATCCACCCACCGACTCCATTTCCTCCCTGTCGTTCTCGAGTCAGGCAGATTACCTCGCTGTCGGAAGCTGGGACAATAGTGTTCGTTGTCTAAAATCCATTTTTCCTTCCCAGACGCATATTCTGACGCGTATTTTCTTTCCACCACCCAGGTACGCATTTACGAGGTCGGCGCGGGGGGACAAAGTCAAGGCAAAGCTATGTATCAACACGAGGGTCCTGTTTTGAGTGTATGCTGGAACAAGGTATGCGCCGCGCCCCTTCGCGCCGTGAGCCAACCTCATTGGTCTCGCGTGCTTTTGCGCTGCTAGGAAGGGAACAAGATCTTTTCGGGAGGCGCCGACAACGCGGGGCGCATGTATGATATCGCGACGGGGCAGGCGACACAGGTGGCTCAGCATGACGCCCCTATCAAAGTGGTCAAGTGGGTGGACACTCCTCAGGCAGGAATCCTGGCCACGGGGAGTTGGGATAAAACTATCAAGGTGCGTCCTGTGCATGCTCGTCGTCTGAGCTGCTGTCGCTGACCTGGCTGTTTGGTCTCCAGTACTGGGATCTACGAACCCCCCAGCCGGTGGCAAGTGTGCAGCTCCCAGAGCGGTGCTACAGTTTTGATGTTCAGTACCCACTAATGGTCGTTGGGACTGCGGAAAGACACGTCCAGATATTCAATCTATCCAATCCCACTACACCATACAAGGTTTGGGCGGCATGACGCTGTTTCTCTCGGTGCGCTGAAGCGTCCTCCTTTCAGACATTAGTTTCACCACTCAAGTGGCAAACGCGTGTGATCTCGTGCTTCACTGCTTCTGCCAACAGTGGCTTTGCTGTAGGTAGCGTCGAGGGGAGAGTGGCCATCCAGTGAGACTTGTCCTCCTGCTTTACGACCACGGTCACTGAAGTGATTGCGCTGGTAGATATGTGGAAGACAAGGACAGCAGGTCAGCGATCTAGCGGCCCCTGCCATGCCAGCTTGTGTTGACATCTCTGTAGCAACAACTTCTCTTTCAAGTGCCATCGGCGTGATTCCAGCCCTACGATCAAGGACGGTTCGATCGTGTACGCTGTGAACGATATTTCTTTCCATCCCGTCCACGGCACATTCTCCACGTGAGTCTTGGTGCATTTGCGCGGGGTCTGTCTCTGCTGAAAGCTTCATATCCAGATGCGGTGCCGACGGAACTATACACTTCTGGGATAAGGACGCACGGAACAGGCTCAAGAGTGGGTCGCGCTCGCATGCTTGCGTGTCTCTTCTGACTGTTCCCAGGTTTCGAAGCGCTTCCCGGTCCGATTTCTGCGACTGGCTTCAACCGGAACGGAAGCATATTTGCGTACGCTGTTTCTTACGATTGGTCCAAAGGCCATTCAGGTATGACCCCGGGACACCCCAACAAGCTGATGCTGCATGCGTGCAAAGACGAAGAGGTGAAGAAGAGGCCCCGAAAGGTCTAGGAGTCGTAGTGCTATCTTGTTGTATCTGCTTTCTGGATAATAGCATTGTTTTCCCACGCGTGCGGACGGCACGCGTGTTCGTGTGCACTCCTCCGTACGCCGGATTTGCCGATCACAAACGTCATTGCACACTTTCTCTTGGCCGACCCGCTCTCTTTTCTCCACTTGTCATGTCCGACGCCCGCGATACTGTGCCCGACACGATCACAGAAGCTGTCGGAGGCGAGATCACCGAGCTTGCCGATGAGGGCGCTGACACCACCGACTCCAATCTCCGTTACGCTGCATATGGTGCTCGACTGAGGACTGCACTGCGAGCCGGCACGCGCTATATCGCCTACGTACGCGAAAAAACCTATATTCCGCATCCTTTCCTCAAACAGACATGCATCCCATCCTGTAGACGAGCGACGTTGGCGAGGCATTCAGACCCGTCGTGCCCGCGTGGGTCGTGACCGCCGCATACGGGATATCATGGCTGTATCTCGGCGGGGACGTTTCGTACCACTCGTACAAGGTCCACCGACAAGGCGCGACGCCCGTCGAAGTGGCGGCGCAGCTCACGGAGCCCGTGCGGATAGGCCTGGCCGCGGTTGAGCGCGCGACGTTCCAGTCCATCGCTTCCATGTGCGTGTGACCTCGCCCCATTCTTCCTCAGTGATCGAGACTAGTTCACAGGGCACTCCCGGCATTCACGATCCACACCGCCGTCAAGCAAGCGAAGAAGGTGTTTGACAAGTCGCTGAACCCGCGTCTGAGGACGTGGGGCCCGACGGCGACAGGATTGGCTATTGTGAGTGTATGCGTGCGGTGTTCAAGGACAACTATCTGACGCTCTGCATCAGGTGCCAATATTGCCATACCTTTTCGACCACCCCGTCGAGCACGTCACGGACCGCGCGTTCGGCTGGATCAAAGAGAAGCTTGCTGAGCAGAATACAGCGTCCAAGTCGAAAGACGAGCTCTGATTTGATGGGGGATAAGATTAGATTAGATCGCATTCTACGGCTGGTTGTCTTGTAATACATACATACAATTCGTACTTATTACTTGGTTCGATAGCAGATGACAAGGATGCGATGCAGTGCGATTACATTACAAGGTCGTGCGTCCAAGAGCCATGGGGATAGAACTGATGCTGCTCGGCGGGATCAGCCCCACCTCCGTCACCATGGCCGTGATGCAAGAGGGCGGGGTGAGATCGTACAATGGATTGAGAATCTCAAGATTGGATGTCGGAGGTAAAGTTTTCCCGAGATGCGCAGGCGCTACAAACGGCGAGGTGAGATCGTATCCTGCGAAGAGAAACAAACGGGCAAGCTCACCCAGTTCGTTCTTCCCAAACCCATCGAGCATCACCGTCTCGCTGAACTTGTATGTCTCACAGCAGACCAGGACGGGGACATTATGCTGCTTGGCCATCATGGCCACGAGAGCCGTCCCCGCCCGAGAGTAGACAGCGCCATTAGATTGCAGAGAATGTGCGCCCAGGATGACTGTCGTCGCCTCGATAATGAGCGACGGCAGAGCGGTCAACAGGGCGTAGGTGCATGGTATAGGCGGCTGGGGAGGCACCAGCGAGTCGTCTGACAGAGTCCAGGATTGTCGCGACGATGCCGATGTCAAGGCACGCAGGAGTCCTTTTCCTGTAGACAGCTGTGATTCAATCGGTTGGACCTGCGGAGAGACTGACCTTCAGAAAGTGGTCTCGAATCGACTACGATGACCGAAAAGCGCTTTCCCTGCTTCCATGCGTTCAGTAGCACCTTTTCCACCACAGATGATCTGATCCATCTCAGTTCACATAACACAGATCAAGTCGACCTGGCATACCGGGCAAAGGTGACGATAACATCGCCGTCCTTGATCTTCTTGTTCGCGAAATCTTGAATGACCTCATCTGCAATGATGATGCGGTCCCGGATATAGTCGTCGATCTTTTGGCAGAGCACATCTTTGGCCTGTAGATTGAATGAGCTTTCTCAGAATCGAGTCGCTGGTGAAACGGAACTAACATCTTGTTCGGGCATATTAATATCCGAGCTACTGATCTCTAGCTTGAGCTGCCGGATCGCATTACCCATTGTGACCGACATGGGGCGAGCGGACACGAGGTGTGTAATTTGTGGGGAAATGTGGGTCATCAGATGCCGAGATAGCGTATTATTCGGGGGTGTCGTGTAGTCCTGGATGACCTGCGAGACGTTTAACACAGAGAAGCAGCAGCAGTTCGAGCGCAAAAACCGTTTTGAAAGCGTTCAGGGTTGCGATGCAGCGCGCGTTCGCGCCACAGATCTTGAATTCGGAGAACTGCAACGCCAGCCGCACGATACATGGGTGGATATCCCCTTTGACTGCATGTCCCTGCTTCGGGATACTGAAATGCGAAAAGATCCGCAGCGTCTGCGATCTCGATGCCGATGCGTCCGTGTCCGCGTGTGATTTGGACGATGAGTGGCCTGCTCCTCCACTGCCACTGCCTTCTCCTCCTCCCCCTCCTGATGATTTCGACTGTGGTGTGTTGGATTTTGCTTGTTTCGCCTTGCCTTTATCACCACCGCCGCCTGCTCCTCCAGCCTGCGGTTGTTGTTTCTGCGCGAGTTTCGCGGCGCGTTGACGTTCCTGGAGTTCGCGTCGTTCGGCCTTGGTCATCGTCTTCTGTGTAGGTTTCTCCCCGGAGGCACTAGGCCCTGGTGTATTGGGTCCAGGGGGTGCGGCCATATCGCGTGCGTGGTTGGTCGAGTGCTATGGTGATCTGCAGAAATCTGGATCGCAAAATGACTAGGTTGATGATGGATGATGCAGTGTGACCGAGTTTCGATTTGTCACCAGCGTTTGCTGTTTCCTTCACCCCAACTGAATTGCCAACCCAGTGCCGACTCCCGTGCGCCATAGACGACTACCATACGACATTGTACTCTCTTTTTCTTTGTATAACTGCGCCCACGAAATCGACCTGTTCTATCGTGTCTAATTCCCAAGAATGGTCCGCTATCTGCATACTGGTTAATGCCATACAGCACTGAACCCGTCTTTTCCGCTACAGGGTGTTCCCGCTCTCTTCCGCTGGCTCAGTAGAAAGTATCCTAAAATCAGTACGTCACGCTTGATCCTTCTCTTCCTCCTCTCCCGACTCACGCGCTTACCGCGAACGCCCAGTCTACCCTGTTGTCGAGGAGGAGGAGATCAGAGTCCCAGGCGATGGCGAAGTCCTCAGCATCCCGGTCAACATGTCCATGGCGAACCCCAACGGCAAAGAATTCGATAACTTGTATCTGGATATGAACGGAATCGTTCACCCTTGCACTCACCCCGATGGAAAGGCACGTCCCAATCTATGTGGTGCTTCTGCAGAGACTGATTATACGGGATTCAGGCCGCGCCTCTGACGGAGGAAGATATGATGATTGAGATATTCAAATACACCGAGCGGGTGGTCAATATGGTCCGACCTCGCAAGATTTTGTTCATGGCTATTGGTGCGTCTGCTTCCACTTTCTTTTCTGGACTTCCTCATCTGAAACGGAAAAGATGGCGTTGCACCAAGAGCCAAGATGAATCAGCAGCGCTCGCGACGATTCCGTGCCGCCCAAGAGGCGAAGGACAAGGCGGCTGCGCAGGAGGAAGCCAACGCCCTGTGGCGAGGTGCGCTGTCAAGCCCTGGTCAGCCTTATTTGGGACTGCTACTGACTTATTCTACTATCTGGCTAGCTATGGGCAAGACGGTTGAGGAAAATAACCGCGAGGCCTGGGATACCAACGCCATCACACCCGGTACACCCTTTATGGAGCTTTTAGCTGCCTCTCTGCGCTTTTGGGTCGTGCACAAGATAAACACTGATCCTGGGTGGAAGAATGTGCGTGTTGAGCATCATTTCTCTCTCAAAACCAACAAGTTATAGCTTGAAGTCCTTATATCCGACGCCGGTGTTCCTGGAGAAGGAGAACACAAAATCATGGATTGGATTCGGCGTCAACGAGTCAGTCCTGGCCACGACCCTAACACGAAGCACGTCATTTACGGGCTAGTATGTGTTCTTGGCATCTCCTTTCTGTGTTGCCTTGCTGATGGCGCTTAGGACGCCGACCTGATCATGCTGGGGATCGCGACACATGAGCCGAATTTCTGGGTCCTACGTGAAGATGTGTTCATGGATGGAGCGAGTTCTACCGCTTGCCGCAAATGCGGTCAAGAGGGACATTATGCTGCACAATGCATGCTGACGCAGGAGCAAATCAAGCAGTCGAAGAAAGCGATAAGCGACGAAGAAGCTGCTATAAAGAAACCTTTCATCTTCCTTGACATTGCGATTCTGCGTGAATACCTCGTCGTCGAATTGGACGTCCCGGAAATCCCGTTCAAATTTGATTTTGAGATGGCGGTGGACGATTGGGTGTTGCTGATTTTCTTCGTTGGGAATGATTTCTTGCCGCATTTGCCGTCGTTGGAGATCAGGGAGGGTGCGATTGACACGCTTTTGACGATCTGGAAGACGGAACTTCCCCGAATGGGAGGGTATCTGACGGATCACGGTGAGATCGTGCTAGAGAGAGCGCAGATCATTCTGGACGGACTGGCGCAGAGGGAGGATGATATCTTCCGACGACGAAGGGAAGGTGCGTCGGTTATGTTCTGCTTTGGATGCTGACGGCTCACGCGCTCAAAGCGGAGAACAGACAAGACAGCAACGCGAAACGGCGCAAGCTGGAGGGAGGAATGAAAAATGATATCAGACCGTCGTCTAGTCTAGCTCTGACCTCTGGCCCGACTGCGCCTGTACAACATCATCATTCCCTTCCTCCCCGACCAAACTTTGCTGCCAATGCCGATGCGCTTGGATTTGGAACAGCGGCTGTGTCATCATCCACTTCGCCAGCTGCGGCTGAGCCTTCCCCGCCATCGTCATCTGCAGCAGCAGCAGACACCGCTACTGCGATCCAAGCGCTGGCTGGATCGAATCGAGATGTAGTTGCGAACCGACGTGCGATTCGGATGGCCAATATGTCTGCTGCTGAGATGCTTAAGGCCGAAATGGCCAGTGCCGTGCCTGTGAAACCGTCTGCGCATTCCTCGCTTCCTGCTAAGCCACCACCGCCGGTCACCCCCCTTGCTCCGCCGAGCATGCCGCCACCTTCTGAGAGCCCTGCGGCCGATGTCGATATGAGTGATGTCGCGACCACGTACTCGGCCACTTCCACCCATCTGTCCACCACTTCCGCAGATTCTTTGGCTGGCTCGAAGCGCAAGCTGTCTGAGGTGAACGAGTCTGAGCAAGATGCCGTTGGTGAAGACGAAGAGGACGCCAGTGCGCCTGCGAATGTGTCGGCTCCCAAAAAGTTGATAGTGAACCCCGACGGAACAGTCGAGCAGGAGGATGTTGTCAAGTGCGCCGCGTCCAATGTGTGGATTCAAACTCTAATTTTTGGCTGTGTACGTTTAGATTGTGGGAACCAGGCTACAAGGACCGCTACTATGCGCAAAAGTTCCCTGATGCCGTGCTGGAGTCGGATTTCAAGAGGAAGATCACGACAGCCTACGTCGAGGGTCTCTGCTGGGTGCTCAAGTACTACTACCAAGGCGCACCATCCTGGCAGTGGTTCTATCCGTACCACTTTGCGCCGTTTGCTGCTGACTTTGAGAACGTGAAGGACATGGATATCCGATTCCAGCTGGGGATGCCGTTCAAGCCGTTTGAGCAGCTGATGGGAGTGTTCCCCGCTGCAAGGTGCGCTATCTCGTTCCTCTCACTGATCGTGTTGTTGTGACCGATGTATCTGCAGTCGCAAACACATCCCGGAGATCTTCCATCAGCTGATGCTGGATGAGCGGTCTCCGCTCCGTGGCGGGGACAAGGAGAACGAGAAGCTGAGCCCCGACTTCTACCCCGAAGAGTTCGAGATCGACATGAACGGGAAGAAGATGGCGTGGCAGGGGGTCGCTTTACTGTCGTTCATCGACCAGGACGTGCTGCTGTCGTCGATGGCGCAGCCGTTTGCGTTTCTGCCAGCTGATGAGCGGCCGGCGCTGACGGCTCAAGAGATGGAGTTGGCGAAGAACGAGCCGCCGTATACGGTGTTCTTGAGCGAGGGCGAGCGGCGGCGGAATGCGTGGGGCAAAAACGTCATGTTCGCTGCCGACGAGCATCCGGTTTATCCGGTGTTCGAGTCGTTGTATGGGAAGAGGAAAACGCAAGATGTGGGTCATGTCTCTGACTTGGTGTGCTCTTACCTAATCTCATCACATCTCTCTCTCGCCACAGCCCGTCGTGCTGGACCCGAAGCTGAGCAACGGCATCTCGGGCAGCATCGCGCGCAACCCCGACTGTCTTCCCGGCTCTACGTACCCCAACGTCAACAACCTCCCGGGAATGGAGGACGTGCGGAACGACCGGTCGCTGTCGGTGGTGTACTACTTCCCGAAACAGGTCACGCCGCACCGCAGCGTTCTGCTCCCGGGGGCGGTCAAGCCGCGGCGCGTGCTCACGGCGACCGACCTGGAGATGGCGCGGAGGGCAGCGGCGGGGCGGGGGCGGGGGAGGGGCGGGCCGCGAAATGATTCGTTCCATGCCAGTCGTGCGGCAAGAGACTCGTATGGCTCACATAATCATAACGGCGGTTATGGGAGGGGAGGAGGAGGAGGAGGAGGGGGCGGAGGGCATCACAGTGGTGGAGGGCATCACGGTGGAGGAGGTCATAATGGTGGCGGCGGGGGCTATAATGGCGGCGGTGGCGGGTATAACGGTGGAAGTCATCATGGTGGTGGTGGAGGGTACAACGGGGGTGGAGGGTACAACGGAGGCGGAGGGTACAACGGCGGGGGCGGGGGCTATAACGGGGGAGGGCAGAATGGCGCAGGGGGATATGGGGGATACGGCTCCGGCCATAATCCTTCTCCGTCGTATGGCGGAGGGGGATACGATCAGTCGCACGGTGGCGGAAATTACCGAGGACCTCCGCCTCTCCAACAGCAGCAGCAGCAGTACGGCGGGTACGGTGGGCCGCCTCCTCCGCAGTCACATCAAGGTTATGGCGGCGGCGCGTATCAGCAACCGCCGCAGAACGCGTACGGACGAGGGCCACCCCAGCAGACGAATTATGGCGGATACGGCCAGGCTCAAAGCTATAACGGCAACAACAACAACTTTGGGCCCGGGCACGGACGCGGCGGGTATAACGGATCCGGCCGTGGTCGAGGGTGGTAGATACTGCAAATCGCTATTAGGATCTGTAGAAGTTTGAATTTCAAGCTTCCATCCTCATCTTGCGCATTTATTTCTCGCCATGACTGTAACATAACGTTTCTATGTAGGCGGGGTCTACAATCTTATCACGCATGGTAGTCCTGCTCCTTCTTGCGTCGCTCGAGTTCAGTCTCGGGCGATTATGATAGCAGCAATGTTCGCGCAGAGTAGTTTACTCTTATCCTGATGCGGTTCTTCGTAAGTCCTTCACGTGCCAAAACGTTTACGGAGATCTGGAGAGATGCTCCGCCTTTCGCACATAAGTTATTGTACTGGCATAGAAACCCAGCAGGCCCTGTTACACCGTTCTCATGCGCCACTCACCACAGTCGGACTCGCGTGCTTTCAGTGGTATGAATGTCAGATCACACTTGGACGTAGGCTTGAATTGACTTGGCATTTTATCTACCAAGCACTGGAATTTGAGCAAGCAGACCAAGAACAAGAAATAATAACAAGGCTAGTCTCTTCTCGGCGACCGCGACCTGCTGTCTCTGATATCACTCATGCTCTGACTGCGTCCCCTCGACCGGTCACGCGAACCGCTGCGCGACCGCGTCCGGCTCCGGCTCCGGCTGCGCGTATACCGCGAGTACGACCGCGAGCGTGAACGCGAGACCGACCGCGAGACCGACCGCGTGCGCGAGCGCGACCGGCTCGAGCGCACCGAGTAGCTGCGCGAGCGCGATCTGTTGTGCATCCGCCCGTAGCCGCCCCGCGAGTAGCTCGGGCTCCGGCGGCGCCCCCCGCGGTCCGGCCCCCGGCGGACGGGCGAGCGCGAGCGGCTGCGGCTGTCCGACGCACGGCCCCGGCGGTTGTAGCTGTTGTGGTTGTTGCTGTGGAAGTCGCGACCGGGGGGACCGTCGCCGCGGCGGAACCCTCCCCGCCCGCGGTCCCGTCTGTCGCGATCCCAGTCTCCGGGCCGCGGCGCCGGTATCCGCCCGGGGGCGAGCGAGAGCGGGACGGGGTGCGTGAGCGGGACCGGGACCGAGAGAAGGACCGCGGGCGCGTGCTGCGGGGCGGCCGAGAGCGGTTGCGCGGGAGAGGAGGTGGTGGGCCGCGGGTGCGGATGGGGAGGTCGGAGAGCTCGACTTTGATGACTGCGCCGTCGATTTGGCCGCCGTTCATGTGCGACGCGGCTTTTTGGGCTGAGGGCGCGTCGACGTATTCGAGCGCCGCTTTACCGCGATTTTGGCCGGCTGTTCGGAAGGATAATCAGTTATCGAGTCGATTTACAAGGAGCACGGAGGGTGCGGACATTTTCCAAACAGCGGCAGGTCAATCTGGGCTATGTCACCATAAAAGCCGAATATCGTTTTAAGGTGTGTTTCGACGACACTGCGGCTGAGATTGTTGATTATGACGACTTTGGCGTCAGCAGAGGGCTTGCTGTCCACGTCCATAGCGGACGGCGACCCTGAACGGCCTCTTATCGACATCCTCGTTTGAGTGTGGAGGTAGGTGGCCGTCACAACGTTATGTCACGCATGAAACTCGAGAGCAATAATCTTATCTTATCAGCCCCAAACATTTCTGGCTATCAGTGTTTACAGGTATTTGCCTACCTTACAACTAGCCACGCCCATGGCCGACGTCCGCGCCCTGCTCAAAGCCAAACGCGAAGAAGCGCGTATTTCCCACCCCCTTGCATCCTACAATACCAACGGGCAGCTCAGGTGCATCGCATGTGGACCCGTCAAGCACGCATCGGCTTGGGAAGGGCACCTCGGGAGCAAGGCGCACCGCACGAACGTCGCCCGTCTGCGGGAGGAGGAGCGGCGCCGGGAGGCCGAGCGCGTGAGGCAGGAAGAGCAGGAGGAAGACGAGCGGCGGCGGCGGCTCGCCAGCGGCAAGCGGAGACAGGAGGAGGATGACACCGAGGACGCGGACATGGAGGATGTTCAGCAGCCCGAGTCGAAGCGCCAGCGGGTCGACGCGGGTCCCGGTGGCGATTCGTTCCCGGCCGACTTTTTCTCGGACCCATCGCGCGCGGCGCCGGCGCCTCCGTCGGACGACGAAGATGAACAACAGCCACTCCCTGCCGCTCTCCCAACAGCTTCGGCTGCGCCTGCACTCGACGCTGAATGGGAACGATTTCAACGCGAAGTCGTGAATGTACCGGACCACATGGAGACGTACGACAATGCGACGGTCATGGCGGAGGCGCAACTGGTGGACACACTCGAAGGTCTCCCGTCACAAAACGCAGAGGAAGAAACGATGGACGATGCTGCAGAGCAGGAGGAGAAACGGCGTCAGCGAGAAGTGGATGAGCGAGAACTGATCATGGATCGCTTATTGGAGGAGGAGAGGGCGCAGGAAGAGGCCGACATGAAAGTGGTGGTGATGAAGAATAAACTGGAAGCGCTGAAACGCAAGAGAGAAGCTGCGAAAGCGGCAAAAACATCTAAACTTCCTACATAGCTCACAGAAATATGTGCACAGTCAATCTGTGTGATATTATGATAAGTACAATACGTCTCCGAGGTATATGGGAGTGCGGGGACAACTCTAATCACTGGCGATGGAGTCGTCGTCTGCAAGGAATGGTCTGTAGAGCAGGCATGAGCTTCAACTGACGCGAAAAGAGAAATCGAGACGAACGCGTAGTCATAGTCATTCCTAATGGCATTCGACATCCATTCCTCGTCGGCCTCTTGTTGAGGGAACCCAGGCCCTCCAGCAACACTGAGTACGACCGGAAGAAGGACCAGGCCGTGCAGCGCGCCGGACAGAATCAGTGTAAGCCACATTCGGAAGTAGTAAATCTGAGGCACAAATTAGACGAGTTCGGGTGACGGAAACAAGATACAAACCTCGAGCAGACGCGAACGAGTTAGTGCCAGAACAGACATGCCAATAAGCTTGGTGAATGTGATACCGGACAGAACGGAGGGCCCAACATCGACAAGCGCAGTCCACATCCTTTCATCTCGCTCCTTCTGCCCGGCAGGGTGATCGATCGGAAGGCCGGATCCAGCGCTCATAAAGGCACGCGAGATGTGCGCACAAAACTCGACAGCGATCCCCAGCGAGATGACGAGGTTGACGAGACTGATAGCATTCAGCCGGATGTCCCATACAGCCATCACACCCATGACGTTCGTAACTGTGAGGGCCACGACGCCCGTGACGATCGTGCCAGTCCTCCACGAGCCCAGCATGAGAGCAGTCACGAGGAGCACAGCCAATAGACCGAGGCCCAGGATCTCCTGCGTGATCGCAGCGATGTGGCCGTACTGATCAAAGAAGACGTAGAAGAGAGAGTACGGGAACACCTTGGCCCCCGTCTGTTGCGAGAGATCGTCTGCAATACGATGGGCAGCAGCAAAGGCGTCAATAAAGTCCTCCTGTGTCTTCAGCGGCGTGTGGAATGTCCGGAAATGGGATGCAGCAATGCCGTCCCCGGACTCATCGATCGAAACGGCAGTGCCAAACGACGCTCGTCCTCCAGAAGGGCATTCTTCAGTCGTGGGAGAAACGAGCCACTGCGACATATATCGCATGAACTCTTGGTTCTCGGGGAAACCGTCCATGGTGATGTTCCAAGGAGGCTGTTGGTCCTGATAACAGGGCCGGCACATTCGAGCCGGATCCCGGTCACTGCAGAACACCGACGGATTGGTTTTGCGGACCCGGCAACACGCCTCGGCATTCGGGTCAAGCCAGCTGAAGAAGTTGTCGATCCACGACGCAGAAGGCTCTGCGATGAAGGAAGACTGGGGCCGTTTGCGTTCGCCTTCGAGTGTGTTGGCAACAGACCTCACTTCGCAAGTCGTAAAGCGGCCACAGAGCGCTTGTTGGCCCAGTCTTTTCGTAACGTCGATATCAGACGAGACGAAGTACACTGGTGGTCCGACATCCAGATACTTGTCCATGTCGTCAAAGTAGTTGACGAGATACGATTCAGAGGGCAGGGCTAGTCGTTGATCTGAAATACACTCAACAACACATTCATTGCACAGACGCAGAACTCACCCAAACCCAATCTGATGTGTTGAATCGATATCACTGATGCGACGAAGATGCCTCCAAAGATGACTGTGACCCAGCCTTTGACCATGGGTCTCAAAATGAACGGCGCATAGTGACGACGAATGAAACGGGCAATCCGGCCCAATGAGGCACCGTAAACGGGAGCTTCCAATAGTGATATCCGGGATGGCAGTCGAACACAGGGGAAACAGTCGACACGGCTGGCCTTTGTAAACATCTGGTCAGACGAAGTTCCACATGAGAGGGGAGGCAGCTTACTTCTACTCGCCTGAGATCGAGAGAGAGAGCACTGACGAATACCGTGACCTGGAGCATCGCGTTCAAGAACACGCTGCCTGCAGCATACAGCGCGAAATTCCGGACAGCAGGCATAGGGACGAGAGCACCCAGGCCGAACGCGACTGTCTCAGTAATCGTGCTAAGCAGGATCGACGGCCCCATCTTGGCGAGCGTGCGAGCAACGCGCTCTTCAGCAGACAGAAACAGCGGCATCGACGCCGCGTCAATGTCCACATCATCTTGCGTCGAATCGAACGGCGAGCGATGAGAACTCGGAGACATGGGCGTCGCGAAGCCTGGCGCATCTGCGACGGGTGTTGCGTTGGGGCCGTGCAGCAGGTTTTGGCGGTCCAGTTCATGCACCAAAATGAACACATTGTCCACGCCAACAGCCAGCACAAGGAACGGTATCACTTCAGCAATGATCAGTGTGACCTTGACATTCTGGTGATCACGTCAGCAAAGAAATCGTCGAACGTAACACGGCATGCACACCAAAAAAGAAAAGAGTCCCACAGATGAGGATACGGAGAGAATGACCAACGAAATTCCAAACAATCCCAGCAGGAATTTCGAATTGATGAACAACGAGCGAGGAAGCCGGGGGAACCAATGCGGGGTCGTTCTCGAGTCCAGTGAGGCGCTCGACGAAGGGCCGGTGGATTTCTTGAACAACCGAGGGAAGTTGTGTGCCCACTGGGCCAAGGATGAGACGAGAGTATCATCACTGGCGGTGGCCGATCCGCTCCCGAGGGTCAGCGAGATGTAGAAGAACATGGCAAGATAGGATAAAACGACGATCCTGACGTCCATGTTAGCACTCTTGTTGATCTCTTCTTCGAGCGAAACTCCTGTCGAGAAGGATATCTCGAGTCCAGCCTGCGGACCCGATCGATCCTTGAGCGCGACCAGGTATTCCCTCAGGGTCTCTTCCCATTCCATCGCCCTGGCCTTGACCGCCGGATCAAGGGAGTCGTTCACGACATACGTGATCACCATGGCCTCGGCTGACACGTAATCCTTCGACCCGCCTTCATCCGTGGGAACCCCACCAAGCACGTACTGAGGCGCAAGTGGTTGCTCGTAATCGGGTCTGCACTCGACCGGCTGTCGAGCGCATGTGTCCAGATGTTCGCCCCACGTCGCTTCGTCGTACATGCTCAAATCGTTCTCGAACCAGCCGCCCACTGATTGAACAACACAAGCGCCTCGCGGACCGGCAGGTTTGAAGCACACGTCTGTGAGCCCATAGCCATTTGGCGATCGAAGTGAGCGAATCTCCTCCTCGACTTCGAACCAGTACTGCAGATGCTTCCAGGAAAGCACGGGTCCGGGTTCGGCGGCGGTGACGAATATCTGCTGCGGTCGGTAGAACGGTCCGAAGTGCTCGTCGAAGTACTCCTTCTGTAGCCTGCTTTCAGAAGAGGGAGCAACCCAGAGCCGCACCGGATCCTTCTCGATGTCAAAGTACCTCCACCCTAGGTTCAAAAATCCCATGATGGAGAACACCAGCGCAAAGGTCAGCCACGGGGAAGAGGCTGTCATCATCCCGAGCCGATAGAATCCTCGGCGAAGGAGGCTGTTCAAAGCATAATGCCGGGGCTGCACTGTTTCGATGGGGTCAACTAAGGATGCACCACGACCCAGATGCCGCGATTCGAATTGTGTGCCAGTAGAGTCATCATCCACGTAATGGGCCAGCGAGGCAGCACCCACGAGCCCTCTGGTCTGGATCCGAGGAGAGGACATGGATGCGGTATCTGCGGACAATGCCATCCGTTCATATATCTGTTCTCTCCGCTTGCGCAGTGTGGTTTGCAGCAGGTATCCACCAAAGAACCCGACAGACGCGATGAGATAGGTGACGACGAGGATGAGCGAGAGACAGGATAAGAAGCCGACGTGACAGACTGGCTGGACCGGGATGTCAGGAAGCACGGCGCATACAGAGGGGCAGTCTATGCAAGGACACCGGCTGGAAAGCTCGCTGTCGTAACAATTTCTCGCCTTCGGGTTCAAAGCCACCATGCCTCCGCTCGTTTCGAGAGGGAAATCCATCTGAAACGGGCTCCCGACCAACGGCTTCTCGTCGCCCATGAACTTGAGGAACGCAGAGTAGTTCTTGGCACCACCACCTATCAGTTCCATAGCATAGGAGTTCGCCGCGTCGAACTGCACATTCTTGCAGCTGTCGTAGAACCCCTCCCCAAACTCCTTCCCCACGAAAAAGTCGAGCGACTTGACAGCGGTCTCGGACGTCCGCGTCGTCTGTGTGGACGTGATATTGACGAAGGTACCCTGGTCGGGAGAGCAGGTAAATTTGCAGAAGAACGAGCGGAAGTTGTTCCGACAGGCGGGGCAGCTCGAGAGTATGCCCTCGATAGGCTCGAAATTATCGCGCAAAGCTTCCAGTTGATCGGCCGTGCAGCAGACGGGGCCCTGTGCGTACTCTTCTCCGCATACATTGACAAGGAGCTCTCGCTCGGCTGCGTCTTCAGGCTATGCGCCTGTGAGCCAATGTGATCATGTGGGGTATACTCAAGCCACGTACCTCGACAGCTGGCCCGTCATACGGACACGGGAGATCCTTGAAGCCAGTAGCCCCACAGGACCCGCGCATAGCACAGTGGCCTTGCTTATCTGCCATTGCGGTCAGAGTAGAGTACGCAAGCGGCCACGATGCGGGTGAAGTGAGTCGGAGTGAGATTGACGTCACGGGGACCGCGACGAAGCGAGGCGCGTGATCTTCGTGACGCCATCACAGATCCCCTTGCTAATCTGAGTCTCTTGAATCTGTACGCATGCCCTCGGACGCAAGCAAACCGCGCAGGCGATTCGTTGGGACGAAATCCGCGACGCCATCGCGTCCGGGCGTGGCCTCCGTCCTGAACAACCAGATCCCGCGTGACATCCTCGAAGACGCCAACCTAAACGCGGCCATCGCACTTCTCCCGACGAACTATTCTCTCGAGATCCACAAAACCATCTTCCACGTCCGCAAAAACAATGCAACGATGGTTGCACTGCAGATGCCCGAGGGTCTGCAGATGTTTGCGTGTGCGATTGCGGACATCATCGAAAAGTTGGCCAGTCCGGCGTTAGAGCAGAGGCGGGTCGGCTGAAGATATTCCAGATTCACCCCGGCGTTAACGGTCATCATGGGAGATGTGACATACGGTGCTTGTTGCGTGGATGACTACACTGCCGTAGCACTAGGGTGCGACATGCTGGTACACTACGGCCACAGCTGCCTCGGTACATTTGTTATGCGTCTCCACAAGACTGCTCGTCTGACATCGCGTGTCCAGTCCCCATGGATCAAACCTCAATCAAAACGTTGTATATCTTTGTGGAGATTGGCATCGACTCCGCGCATCTGGCGCAAACGATCCGGCTCAACTTCCCCGATGATCGAAGTCTGTTCCATGCTGCTCTTCTGGACTCGGAGGAGACCGACAGCCAGATACCTGCTGGGCAGCAAATTGGAGCGGCGTCAAGATTGCGTATCGAGGGCCCGTCGTCGAGCTCGACCCCGTCCGGTGAACCCACAAGACTAGCTCTTGTGTCAACTATACAGTTCGTTTCACCGCTACAAAGGCTCAAAGAGGACCTGGGCATCGAATTTGACGAAGGTGGTGAATCATCTGATGAGTTGAGACTGTGGAGGGGAAAATATGAGACTACCATTCCTCGTTCCAAACCGCTCTCGCCTGGGGAGATTCTGGGGTGCACTGCACCTCGACTCAATGACGTGGATGCATTAGTGTAAGCTTTGTCTGAAGTGCTAGTTAGATGCTCATCGCATGTTCCAGGTACCTGGGAGACGGTCGATTCCACTTGGAATCCATTATGATCGCCAATCCGTCCGTCCCTGCATTCCGGTACGACCCCTACTCGAAAAAACTGACCAGAGAGCGTTACGACCACAAAGAGATGCATTCGATCCGTGACAATGCAGTGCAAGTCGCGCGGCGCAGTATCGCTGCCTTTTCCGATCAAGAGGAAGCCCCGTTGTGGGGTGTTGTGCTTGGAACACTGGGACGGCAAGGCAACTTCCGCCAGCTCCAGGTGCGTGTCTCCGCGACCGCCAGCTACATCTCATGATCTTTCTCTAGGCGATAACACATCAGCTACAAGAGTCCCATATTCCTATTCCCTACATTCCGATCCTGCTCTCTGAGCTCTCTCCTGCCAAACTTGCATTATTTAATCCGCACATCTCGACATTTGTGCAGACCTCGTGTCCCAGATTGTCGATTGACTGGGGTTATGCATTCGATCGGCCGCTCCTCAGTCCTTATGAAACGGCTGTCGCTGTGGGCAAAGCCATCAGCTGGATGCCAACAGAGGAATCGTCTCAAGGAGAGTATCCGATGGACTTTTACTCGGCTGGCAGTCCGTGGGCTATCTCAAGGACTAATGCACGGTTTTAAAGATGCAGGAGGTAGAAAAGGACATTCCAACAGATGGAGAGAATACATGGATGTGTTTCAAGTCCCTAATTTCCTCGTTTCCTTTGCAATTCAGAACCTAGGGCGGCTATTGCACTAGGACTGGATAAGTAATCCATCAGGCTATACCTGAAAGTTCCAACGCACTGCAGCTAATGGTGCACGAGCTGATGCAATCTTCACAGTCCATCGTGGAAGAATGATGAAAGCTAGCGCAGCACCCTGAACAGTAATCTGGGCATTCCTGAAGACCGATTCGAAGGCGTCAGTAGCGCGTGTGGCTGATTGTAAGTAACACTCGCTGCGAAGGGCTTGATCTGGTTGCACTGCGACTGGACGCCGATGAAGAGGGCGAAGAGAGGAAGAACAAAGCCGAAACGCATTGGAGTAAATATTTCAAAGGAATGTCTTTGGAACATTACAGTAATTCCAGTGCTTAAATATGCCAGAGCCGAGTCGCAGTCCCATGATCCAGTTCAAGGTAGCTGTCGGCCAGCTCCACGGCGCGTATCGTTTTCAATCCACATTAGTCACCAAAATAAGGAAATATGTCAACAGCTTGTCAGTCCAGTGTCTGCCAGGCTCTGGATCTGTCCTCAGTCTCGCTTAGACCATGGGCGCGACGCGGCTATCGTAGAATATCGAGTAATAAGCCCCTGATTTGAAAAGCACATAGCTACCTTACATGGAGATGGCCCTAGGATCTCATGGGATGTCACACTTCTTCCTCCTCCGCTATCAAGGCTTTCGATCGTCTTCAATTGCGGCGGAGACTCCGACCGTCGAGTTGTCAATCTTAAGACGTCGACGCGATCACGTGTGTGTCATGGTTTCTCTTCACTCCGTTCACCCACCTCAAGTCTCCAGGACAAGATGATTGTCAATGTCATATCTTCCCATGAGGCCGTGTTTGACTGGGCCGTATCAGACTAAGTATCCAGAACTCACGACAACAAAAGTTTCAGCTTTCGACTGATGATGCACCAACGCCGTTAGCATGTTACACGGGCGTTATCAAGAATGTTACAATGGTTTACAGGGTGGACAGCCCAGAAATCAGCATCCCCTTTGGTCTATAGCCTTGTGCTGCAGAACTTGTATGCTCCGCCACATCGCCAAGCTCTACGTCTGGATGCTGGCCGGGGCCGCTGTTGCTGACAACATCGCCAAGTGGCGTAAACGGGCCGTTCCTGACAGTTGCTGTTGAAAAGACAAAAGCCATACTGACGGAAGACTGATTGCGGGAGATGGACTGGTGCGATCAGAGTTGCTTGCCCCCCATGCTCTGCAGGGATAAGTTAGAAGCTGCGAAGTATGTATGCAGATGGATGTCGTGGCCCACCCACCACATGGTCGGCGAGGTGAAGTCCGGCCGAGATCGGCAAGGCTGCTCCGAGTCTGATGGGAACAATTGATCTACAGACACCCCTCGTACTTAGTCTGATCCCATTACGGATTTCGGTCCAGACTGGACCCCGGTAGACCCCGGTTGTCTCCTGAGCATACGCTCTGACTGAGGATCGGCTCAGTGAAAGCTTTGCTCAACTCACTTGCTTTCATCCCATTCAATGCCCTTTGGCCAATGTTCATCATGGGCACTCATTCCGGCATCCGTGCCTTGAAAGCGTAGCAAAGTCTCCTCAAAATGTGACATTCTATTCTTATCACGCCTAAAGGATCTCCTCTCTGCATGGAGACCCCCTAGACTCCTGCCCGAAAATCTGGCATCGGCTAACAGCTTGGCAGTACGGCACTGTCCGTTCTCTGCTCCGCCCTCCTCTCCCCTCCTCCCTCCACCATGCGCCTTTCGGCGCTCACACTCTCCCTTCTGTTCGCGGTACGGGTGACCGCGTCACCCTATCGTGATGACCTCGTTGACTACAACCTCAACGTCAACCAAGCCGCCACTGACCCGACCCAGTACTCCACCACCCGGGCCAATACGACATATTTCAAGTCTCCGACTAATTGGCGTGCACTGCCCGTCTACACACTTCTACTCGACAAATGGGCCGACGGAGACCCGTCGAACAACGACTACTTTGGCAGTGTGTTCGAGACCGACTGGCGGGAAACGCAGTTGCGGACGGGAGGTGACTTGAAGGGTTTGGTATCAAGGTTAGACTATCTGTATGGCATGGGTCAGTCTCGCATACTTTGTTCTCTCACTTGGTCTGATGTGGTCGTCTGCCAGGCATACGAACGATTTTCATCGCAGGAACACCATTTTTGAATATGATCTGGCAAGCTGACAGTGCGACGGTCTCCCTTTTGTCTTTCCACCTGTCTGACTCAGCCTGTCAGGTTACTCTCCGCTCGACTTCACTGTCTTGGATCCGCATTGGGGCACGATCAATGATTGGGTCGAAGCCGTCAACGAGATCCATGCGCGCGGCATGTACATCATGCTAGATTTTACGGTAGGAACCATGAGTGATTTGGTCGGCTTCAAAGAGTGAGCTCGCACTCTTGAATCTTGGGAATTGAATATTTAACTATCTTTTCAGCTACCTCAATGTCTCTGCACCCTTCACCCTTAATGAACACGACGTGGTTTACAAAACTCCGAAGTATCTCCCATGGAACTTCACCCAGTACCGCGACTTTACGCTCAGCAACGTCCGGAACACATCTTGCGTCATGCCCAACTTCTACGACGATTCCGGTGCCCCCGTCACTCTACAGACCAACGGTTGTCTCGAGTCCGATTTCGATCAGTATGGCGACACGGAAGCTTTCGGTGTGTTCCCCGACTGGCAACGTCAGCTGTCCAAGTTCGCCTCGGTGCAGGATCGTCTCAGAGAGTGGAAACCTTCGGTCATGGACAAGCTCACGACGTTCTCGTGCATGGTCGTGACCGCACTGGACATCGACGCTATCCGAATCGACAAGTCGATTCAGGTGACGGTCGATGGGCTTTCCTCGTGGGCGACGAGCACTCGTGCTTGCGCTACGAAATTGGGAAAGACGAATTTCCTGATCACGGGAGAAGTGACGGGTGGAAACACTTTTGGTGCCGGTTATTAGTGCGTCCATCTGTTCCCTGGCTCTTCAGTGCTTGATGTTCTTCAGCGGCCGCGGTCGTTTGCCGTCTCAGGTGCCGCCGTCTTGGGATGCGGCAGTCAATATCACTGCGTCAGAGAGACAGTTCTTCATGCGGGATGTTGGCAAGAATTGTTTGGACGGCGGTCTGTTTCTTCTTTCCGCAATCGAATCTCGTCGCTGACGCACAAATAGTCGCATTCCACTACTCCATCTACCGTGCTCTCACTCGTTTCCTGGGCATGGACGGTAATCTGCTCGCCGCATACGACCTCGACATCGATTTCGTGGCTGCGTGGAACGAGATGTTCGTCGAGAACGACTTCCTGAATCCGAACACCGGAGTGGTCGACCCTCGCCACATGTACGGGACGAGCAACTTCGATGTGTTCCGGTGGCCAAGTGTGGAGAACGGAACCCAGTCCAATATGATGGCTGCGTTTATCACGACGCTGGTCATGCCGGGTATTCCCATGTACTTCTACGGCGAAGATCAGGGCTTTTATGTCTTTGACTCGCTTGCGTCCAATTATCTCTATGGGTGAGTGTTGTTGTATTGCTTTTTTTTGGAACGCGCTGACCGCTCTCTAGTCGTCAAGCCATGACCAGCACACATGCTTGGAAACGGCACGGATGCTATCACCTGGGATCTGACCAATATTTCGACTTCTCTACTTCGCCTGCGTTCTTGGGCTGTCACGACGATTGGAACGCACTGGATCATTTCGATCCCACGGCCGAACCGCGCAGATTGGTTGCTCGAATGCTGGAATTGCGCGGGATCTATGGCGCTCTGCAGGATGGTTTCGGTCTCACACAACTTGGCAACTGGACGCACTTCATCCAGCGACCGGGCTCGAATGGTGTGATGACCGAGATGGGGCTGTGGTCGATTTCGCGGACGGCCTTGGTCAGCCAAAACAAGACGATGACTGGAACGTTCAACGACGTCGTCTGGATGCTCTACACCAATGAGAACGCCACTACGACAGTGTCCCACGACTGCAAAGGCTCGTTGTGGATCTCGTCGCCCTTCCAAGCTGGCCAGACTGTCCGCAATCTGCTGTACCCGTACGAGACGTACACACTGTCGGCATCTCTGTCGCCTTACTACGCGGACGGGAAGGCACCTTATTACGGATGTCTGTCCTCGATCACCCTGGACCCGCTGGGCTCCAAGGCTCTTGTACCCACTACCCAATGGGTTGCCCCTGCTCCTCATCTCACTCGCGCCTCTCCGAGCCACGACGCGCGAATTTCCACCGAAGTGGTCGGGAACAGCATTGATCTCACACTCGAGTTCAACACAGCCATGTCTTGCAACTCTGTCACTCAGGCCCTCACCTTCAACCTCTCCACAGCAGGTGCTGGCTCGACTTCCGCCGTCAAACTTGGCAATGCTGTGTGCGCGAACATCACCAACCCAGCTCCGACCAATCTGACCGGCGTGGACCCGTCCGTCTTCTCCTGGAAAGCGACGCTCTCGAACGTCGCTGACGGTGTCTTGGAGATCACGATGAACAATCCAACTTCGGCCGCTGGCGTCCAGTCCGGGGTGCGCCACTTTTATTTCGTGGATATGATTCATAGCAAGATACTGATGGGATACAGGTCAAGGACAAACTGCTGATCCGGAAGGGTCTCACGAACAACCCCATCGTCTTCCCGTTGAACGACTACAACAGTTCGCTTTTCACCTACGATGGGGGTGCCGGCCAGTACACGTTCACGCACGTTGCCCTCGGCGCCGAGAAGTTCCGGTACTCGCCAGACTACGGCCAGAACTGGACGCAGTGGAAAGCTTGGGAGGCCACGACCACCATCGACAAGAGTGTGTTCTCTGGATCGGATATGTCTTGGCAGGGTGACCATATCATGGTGCAGTGTGCGTCTCATTTGAGAGACTCCTTTTCGGTGACTTTTTTGACATATCTGACACAGACTGGAACTCGATGACGATGACCGTCGAGAGCGTGGTCCATGCCGACTACGGATATACGGGTGCCTCTCGTCGTGTGCCTGGTTTCATGGCCCGCGGCCCGTTCAACAGCTGGGGCTTCGACCAGGGTCTGCCCAACAAATTCGAGCTCAACACGCAAGGCGACTGGGAGTTCGAGTTCATGTCGCAGTGGCCTGCATACATCGAGCTGGCAGTCTTTGACATTCTCGGGGATTACTTCTACGGCGACGTGGACGGCGATGGTGTCCTGGATCGTCTGCCTCCGAACGCGCTTTCTCCGAACTATATCAATATGTCGGCTCCCCCGAAACCATATGTCGCGTGGGCTCTGATCGTGAATGACGCAGACCTGTCGTGGAGGCTTGGTGAGTGGCTGGCTGTCTTTGCAGACGTGACTGGAGCTGACTGGTGCACAGAACCCCGCGGGCAGTCCGCCGTCGGTGCTCTCTTGTATTCGTTCTTGCTCGCCATTCCACTGCTCACGGGTACCGCCGCGGTCGTCATCTTCATGCAGACGTTCTACCGGATCAAGCACAATCAATTCGGTGTCAAGACCAAAAACAAGCCCATGTACGCTCCTATTCTCGATGCGCTCAAGGGCAAGTCGTCAGCCGACGTGGCCACCCCGATGGAGAAGGACGAATTCGCGCACAGACGCAATCATGAGATCATCGGCTGGCCCGAAGACAAGAACAAACGCAGAAAGGTCATCATCGCGACCCTCGAGTACGAGATCATCGACTGGAAGATCAAGGTCAAGATCGGTGGATTGGGTGTCATGTCTAGTTTGATGGGCAAAGCGATGACGGACGTGGATCTCATCTGGGTCGTGCCCAAAGTCAAGGACGTCGAATATCCTGCGGGAGAGCCAGCGGAGCCCATCGAAGTCATCATCTTCGGCGAGCCGTACCTGATCGAGGTCGAGACTCACGTGCTGGACAACATCACCTACGTTATTCTGGACAGTCCTGTGTTCCGCGCTCAGACCAAGGCGGACCCGTATCCTGCGCGCATGGACGACCTGAGTTCCGCCATCTTCTACTCGACATGGAATCAGGCCATCGCTGCGACTATCCGGCGGTCCCCCACGGTGGATATTTACCATATCAACGACTACCATGGTGCTCTCGCCCCTTTGTATCTCCTGCCCAAGGTCATACCCACGTGTCTCTCGCTGCACAATGCGGAGTTCCAGGGTCTGTGGCCGCTGCGGACGAAGGAGGAGATGAAGGAAGTCTGTTCGGCATTCAACCTGAGCAAGGAGCACTGCATCAAGTACGTGCAGTTCGGAAACACGTTCAACCTGCTGCATGCGGGCGCCTCTTTCATCGCGCAGCACCAGAACTCGATCGGTGTCGCTGGTGTGTCGGACAAGTACGGAAAACGTAGTTGGGCTCGGTACCCCGCGCTGTGGTGTCTCAAGCACGTCGACTCGCTGCCGAATCCGGATCCTAGTGACATCGAGGCGCTCGACGAGCAGGCCATCAAAGCCAAGGACGTCGAGATCGACCAGGTTGCCGAGGCGGCTCGCCCGGAGCACAAGCGGCAGGCGCAAGAATGGGCTGGAATCAAGCAGGACCCCAACTCGGATCTGTTCGTGTTCGTCGGACGATGGTCGAAGCAGAAGGGTGTCGATCTGATTGCGGACATCATGCCCTCAATGCTGGAGAAACGGCCCTCGATCCAGCTCATCGCCGTCGGCCCCGTCATTGATTTGTACGGTCGGTTTGCGGCGGAGAAGCTTGCGAGGTTGATGGTGATGTATCCCGATCGTGTGTACTCCAAACCAGAGTTCACTGCGCTGCCGCCGTATCTGTTCAGTGGGGCTGACTTTGCGCTGATCCCGTCGCGTGACGAGCCGTTCGGTCTCGTGGCTGTCGAGTTCGGTCGTAAGGGTGCGCTCGGTGTTGGAAGTCGGCTCGGTGGTCTCGGTCTCATGCCTGGTTGGGTGCGTTTTGGTTTACATCGTCATCTCGTCTTGGTGTGATACTGACTGACCTGTTTGCAGTGGTTCCCTGTCGAGTCCAATTCGACGGCCCACATGCTGTCTCAATTCACGAAGACGATCAAGCTGGCACTCAAGTCCACAGAAGAAGAGCGAGCCGTTCTTCGTGCTCGGTCTGCCGTACAGCGTTTCCCCGTCGTCGAATGGCGGCAGCGGACGGAGGACTTCCACAAACGGTCGATCAACACCAGTCGTGGGAATGCGATGTCGAACGCTTGGCGGGAATCGGACTGCACGGGCGAAAACAGCGTGCCGATGGCGGCCCCGACGAATTGGGATCTGGCGCACCAGGCGGCCCCGACCGAGCCGTCGTGGGACAACCAGAGCTTCGTCGACAATGCCTCGCAGTACGGGCATGACACGAACCAGTGGAGCCACGACTCGGAGAGCGACTACGGCTCGCCGCGCATGGGCGGCGGCGGCAACGGCTACGAGCACGTGTCGGACAGCGGACTCGAGACGCCGCCGGCGTCGTCGAACGACTACTCGAGTTTCCTGGAGCGTGCGAACAATGTGATCGCCAAGGACAACAGGCATGCCGCGGATCCGTTCCTCGACGCCAGCAATGCGCCGAACCGGCCGTTCACGAGCGGTGGCAACCGGCTGACGCACCGCAGCTCCGCATCGTCGATCTCGTCGATCATGGACGAGAAACAGAGCTCGGTGCTGAACAAGGCGGAGACGTCGTTCACGGACGCGGACGGAGGTGTTGCATCCGACTTCATCCACCGGCTCGAATCGCTGGACGCGAAGAACTCGGAGCACGAGCTGTCCATCGAGCGGTTCCTGGTCAAGAGCGAGGAAAAGTTCTTCCACCAGGTCAAGAAGGAGAAAATGCACGCCACGGAAAGCCTGCGTTCGTCGAAGCGGGACTCGATTTGGGGCACACCCAGTTCTTCGATCGATTCACGTCCGGGATGTGAGTGGCCTGTTTTTTTATTGCTACAAGCGGGGCTTTTTGCTGATGTCTTACGAAAGCGCCGTTCATGGACTACCAAGACCCGTCGCAGCCGCCCTCAGACTCTGTCCCGATGACACGGCTGCAAGTGATGATGTCGAAGGAGATCTTCGGTGCCCCGATCTACGCGCTGATCATCGCCTTCGGGCAGATGCTCAGTGCGACGAGTTACCAGATCACGCTGCTCACGGGCAAGAGTTACTCGGACAGCACGAGTCTGTACATCGTCGGCGGGATCTTCATCGCTGCGACGCTGTTCTGGTACCCGCTCTTCCGTCTGCGGCCGTCGATCTGGGTCCTCGGCCTGCCCTGGTTCTTCTTCGGGATCGCGTTCATGTTGATCGGGCTGCCGTCGATTGCGTCGAAGATCGCGCCGCTCCACTACACGATCGGCAACATCGCGACGTACTTCTACGCGTTTGCGTCGGCTGCGACGTTCGCGTTTTTCGGACTGAACTTTGGTGAGGAGGCTGGTGCGGCGACAGAAGTGTGGACGCTCCGGGCTTGCATCGTGCAGGGCTCGCAGCAGCTGTGGGTCGCGGCTCTCTGGTACTGGGGCAACACGCTCGACAACGTGCAGAGCAACTACGTCCCCCCGTGGGAGATCTGTCTCGCCGTCTGGCCGTTGGGGGTGCTGTCGTTCATGTTCGGGTTCTTCATGATCTATGGCTTGCCCGAGTACTACAGACAGGCCCCGCCCAAGGTCCACGGCCTCTTTGCGACGCTGTTCCGGCGGAAGCTTGTCATTTGGTTCCTGGTTTCTGGTGCTTTGCGGGACTACTGGCTCAGCGGGGTGCGTGTGCTTGCTTGCTTTTTGTCTTGTTTCATCTCACTGATCGATCGCCTCATTAGCCGTACGGTCGCAACTGGGCCTTCCTGTGGAGTCTGACGGCGGTTCCGAAGTGGCGGGTGTTCCTGCTCATCCTCGCGTTCTTCGTCGGCGTGTGGACGATCATCATGCTCATCCTCACGCACTTCAGCAAGACGCACACGTGGCTGCTGCCGGTGTTTGCCGTCGGACTGGGTGCGCCGCGGTGGTGCCAGATGCTCTGGGGCACGTCCTCAGTCGCTCTTTATCTGCCGTGGGGAGGCCACAATGGGCCGTACCTCGCCCTCTCGCTGTGGCTGTGGCTCGGTGTGCTGGATGCGGTGCAGGGTGTCGGCTTGGGCTTGATTCTACTGCAGGTGCGCTTGTCTGCCTGTGTTTTCTCTCGCGTGACTGACTCTGACTCAGACGCTCTCTCGACTGCACGTCTGTGTGACCCTGGTGCTCTCCCAGATCATCGGTGCGGTGATCACCATGATCGCCCGCGCGACGGCCCCCGACCGACTCGGTCCGGGGACGGTGTTCCCCGACGCGGGCACGTGGTCCTTCGCGGACGGCGCGGCGTCGAGCATGCTCGCGCTGCCATTCTTCTGGATCGCGCTCGCGTGCCAGGTCGTCATCGTTACCGGCTACTTCATCTTCTACCGCACGGAGCAGATGGCCCGCCCGTAAGCGCCCGGCCGGACGGATCGGATCGGATGGGGTGCTGTGGAAAGGAAACGCTAGAAATATCTTACGCCATATTCATATTACATACTCACCGGGACTCTCACTCACTGGACGGACCTGCTACTCGTTACACGCTCCTTAGATTTCTGTACGCTAGCATCAAAATACGTAGGCGCCCAACGCAGAGCGCTCTTTGCATCTGAAGCTGATCGATTCGAGTGACTCTCCAACTTCAGACTTTTATGAGAAGGACCTGAACATTTCTAGGACACTCTCGACGGGCTGTTTCATCCGAGTGCAACAGGGTTGATAAGATCTCCTAATCTTATCGGTCTCTCATGATGAGACAGTAGTGGCTGTGCTGCATTCATAAGCGGATTGCTGCCTGCCTTGTATTGCTAACCACCATGGAGACCCCTCCTGCCGCGCATCCTCCGAGAGATGAGCGACCTACCTCGTACTCGCGCGCCTCGACGATCCGCCACCTCGGCGTCCTCAGCGTCCTCCTCGTCCCCATCGCCTGCGTCCCGTACCTCCTCACACGACGGCGCCTCAGCGCCCTGCGCCGCCGCATGGACGAGATGGCGCTCGCGACGCGCATCCTGCAGCAGCGGCTCGGGAATGCACAGCTCCAGCAGAAGCAGCACCAGATGCCCGCCGACCCCGCGCTGCCGCACCTCAACAGTCTGCGCACGGAGCTCGAGGGCCTGCGCGAGCTGGATGCGCAGCGCGCGCAGGCCGTGTCGGACCTCTCCGCCGATCTGCTCGGCTCCAACGCGCACCTCGCGCGGCTCGAGGGCCAGATATCCGACGCCCGCGCGGCTGCGGCGAGCGCCGAGGACGCGATCGATGCGCTCGCGGAGCAGGCGCGCGCGCTGCAGGAGCATGTGCGGCAGCTGCAGACGGACCGCGATGCGCTGCAGAGCGAGGTGTTCCGCCTCGCGGACGTCGTGCAGCAGACTGCGGCGCACCGCACGGGCCCGGACGCGCTGGACGGCCGGGAGCTGCACCGGCTGCTGAACGAGGCACGCAACACACGGTACGCACGTCTCGCCCCCCTGCTCCTTTCTCCGTGCTGGAATGCCCCCGTGTCTTCTGCAGGTCGATTTTCGGCGCGATAGGGCTGTCGCTGGGCGATGTGGCGACTATCATCCAGCGGGTGGAGATCGAGATGGGGCACGAGCGCGCGCCTGGGTATGATCCTGTCGAGCGGCTTCGCGTTCTCGCGTTGAGGATGCAGCAGGAGTCGTTCGAGGGCGAGAGGCGGGACCATGAACAGGGATAACGGAAGGCTTGTATTTGCTATCTCTTGTACAATGTATGTATCTATGTAACTTGTATACGCTCAGCCTGTAGTCTAGAAATTTATCCGACCACGATCTGGAATCTTGAATCCGGCTAAACGTCCCTTGTACTGGATGCTGTTAGACAGAACTCCATTCCTTCACTTCGGCAGATTCGTATGAATCATGCATACATCATACATACATCACACCAACTCCGTATCTGTGCCCATTCTCTGGCCATCGATGCCCAGACCAATGTCATATCATATCTGGCATTCAAGCGACCACTACTATTTACACCGCAAATAATCACATTCACTGCAAGACGTCTGCTACCATCTCGAGAATCTGCGCCGTCGTCTTCCCGATGTTCTTTGGGTCCTTGGCGATGGATTGCCAGACGGGCGAGTGGTGAGGCTCAGCAGCCACACACTGCTTCCTCACCTGTTCCCGATGCTCCTCCGTTCCATGCTGGCGCTCGAACTTGAGCCACCACGCCCAGCCGTCGCCAAGATCCGGATCCGTGGCAACGGCGCGACCGAACCACTGCCGCGCCTTCTCGATTTTGCGCTCCGCCCAGAACAGCCGCGCGACGGTGCAGATGATGATCGGGTTGTCAGCGCTCTTCTTCAGGGCGTCTACGGATCGGGCTTTGCGCACGGGCCGTGGCTCGGCCCAGATGGACATCGACCAGAGGAGCCCCGAAGTGGGGCACTCTTGCAAGCTGCGGGCGAGCATAGCCTTCGCTTGGGCTGCGCCACCCGAACGCTCTTCGACACCAACTGCTTCGGCCCAGAGCACGTCGTTTGCAGGGTTGACGAGCCGCGCCTTCTCGAGGAGGGCACGTGCTTTGATGCTCTTGTTGTCCGCTTCCTCCAAACGACTGGCGAGAATCCAGAGGGTCGCCTCCTTGGGACAGGCCTTGTAGCCAGCCGCAAATGAAGCACGTGCCGCGGTAACGTTGCCTTGCGCTTGGTAGATCTGGCCCTGGATCATGTACAGCTTCGCGAACTTGGGGAATTTCTGCAGCGCGGTGGTAAGGGTCTCGAGGGCAGCGTCCAAACGACCCTGCTGCCTCTCGAAAACGGCGGATTTCATCCAGATCTGTCGAGGATTCAGTCAAGCGCAACTAAGCACATGCAATCAACAAGCGCTCACCCGTTCCGTATCGGCTACACTTCGAGCACGGACCAGCAATTCTCTGGCAACTCCAAGTTCGTTGTTCTCGGCCTCGAGCTTGACCGCGGCAAGCCAGATTTGCTCGCTCTCCTGATTCGCAACGAAAGCTTGTTCTAGAATTGAACGCGCGGCCGGCACGTCACCAGACAGCCACTGCTCCTTGGCGGCCATGAGCCACAACACCTCGGCCTGAGGGCAATGCTCCACGGCACGCTTGAGAATATCATGCAAGCTGTCCCTAGAAGCACGTCAGCCGTCGTTTATCAATGAAGCGGAACCACCACGGACTTTGTTCCATGGGCTTTTTCCAGCTCGGCAGCGCGGATCCACAACGATTTCTTCGACGGAAAGACTTGCAGCGCCTCGCCGAAAATGGCACGCGCAGTACCGACCATCCCTTTCGCCTCGGCAGCCTCAGCATCTCCGACCCACGTATCCAGCTGATCCTCTTCCTCCACATCCATCCCGATGGTGGCTTTGATGATCGCTTGACACGTTCTCGGTGACCCTTCCGTCTCGCAGCGCTCGGCTTCCTTCAGCCATTGCTCACGAGTCAACAGCACTTGATGTTTCCGCAACTCTTTGACACCCATGGCGATGGTCCTATCGACCAATGCCCAGTCTTTCTTTTGGTCTTCGCCCTGCTTCCCCAGCGCGTCTTGCTCGATCAGCCGACCGGCTGCGATCCAGATCTCGTGCGACGTCGGAATGATTTTGCGAGCCTTGTTGAGGACACCTTTGGCCTTTTCTGGAGTTTCAAGACGTGCAAGCGCAAGCCAGAGCTCGACAGATTGAGGTATAACTTCAACCGCACGAGAAAGAAGCACACGCGCGTCGGCAGCGGATGACTCCAGATTGACGGTTTCCTTCCACAATCGAACTGAATTCGGAATGTGTTCCAGCGCTTTGCGAAGAACGCGCTTCTTGGAATTGACGTCCGTTTCGAGATCGGCTGCAGCCAACCAGATTTTCACGCTCTGGCTGACGTGCTGAACGGCGTTGGCAAGAATGACTTTGGCATCAGCGTTGTTCTGGAAATGAGATTCAGCAACGAAATGAAGGAAAAAGCTCGTCTGAAGCTCACATGCAAACGAGCAGCCTCGAGCCAGACATCCTCGCTTTTCGGGCACTGCTCACATCCGGCTTTGATGATCTTCCTGGCCGCAACCATTCGGCCTGCATGCTCCTCTAGACAAGCCGCTGCGATCCATCCGGGAGAGTGTTTTGGATTGGATTTGACCAGGGAGTCGAAGAGCATTCGAGCACGCTTGATGTCTCCAATTTCGGCGTCAGATTTGATGACGACACTGTTGAGAGATGTGAGGTATCCCTTGGGATCCACTGAGGTGCTCATTCCCGACGTCGCGGTTCCAGAGATCTGCAAAGTTCGTTAGAAGAGAGTATGTGGAGTGCACAAGTGACCTACCTGATCGAGTTTTAGGGACAGAATTTTGTCGCGAGCTTGGCCGATTTCGACAAAATTGGTGAGAGACCCCTCCGCAGGTGTCTCAAAGCCGCCGTTCTGTACAGATGACGGGACATGAGTACGGAAATGGGTGCGACCTCAGGAAACGCACCTGCTGTTGTCGCTCATCCAAAGAATTCTCATACTCTCCCTTCGTACGATCCCCAACAAGAACGCTATCCGGAACTGCAAACGACCTATCCATCTTCCTCCTCTTCTTGCGAGTAAGGTTGCCGACTTCGGGCAGATTCTCCCACTCCGTGTCTGTGACTGAGCTAAGCCCGCGCTTCAGGTCCGCGAATTGCTGCTGAATCTTCGGCCGCTCGGCACGATGCTTCGCGAGCTCTATCTGCTCCTGCGCCTCCCTGTGGACGATGAAAACAATCAGGGACTCGGTACAGGCGCCACTAACCGAAGCCCACGCACCGACGCGCCCGCCGACGAGAATCCATAGCTTCATCGACGTCTTGGTAGATCTTGTCGGCTTCCTCGTCATCCTGCTCATATGTAGTGCCAGCGAATAGACCGTACTCATTGTCAGGATCTTGGAATTGGTCCGGGTCGACCTCGGCTTCTTCACCCCGACGGGCTTGAGCCTCGCTGGAAAGCAGTTCAGTCACTCCCCAACGAAGTCAGGAAGAGTGAAACGTACGCGATGACTTCCGCGGAGGGTCCTTCTCTCGCTGGACCGATATCTGACCGCGTGGTGAACCCAGAAGCACTAGACAGAAATGAGTGTAAATCAATGAGTCCGAGCGTCAGTATTCACGGACCCTCGACCAAGACCCGCGACGTATGACGCCGGGGCTGGCATGGACAAGAAAGCCAACTTGTTCGGCTTGGGCGCCATCTTGGCTGCGATTCTGAGCTGGTGAAAGCGTGCAAAGGATTGGGGAGGGTCGACGTATTTGGCCTTGTTGCGTTTCGGGGAGGCTAAACTGACTTGAACTCACACTTGCCTTTTGTAGCGCGGCTGAATCGAGGGAGGCGGTCTCATCGACAAAGCCTTACTGAAACATACGTTCGAAAGGGCTCATTCAATTTTATCCTGTGAGCTTCCGCGCTCGTCCTCTGAAATGATGAAATAACATGGATTATCAAGAATCCTTTCTATTCTTCGACCTTGCAGACTCGAAAGCTATTCTATGGCTAGCGAAAGCGTGCAGCAAATCGACAAGAAAAGCAAGAAGCGCAAACGCGCAGAGGCAGAAGCAGAGGAATCACCTACGGCTGCGGCGCGCGAGCCCAAATCCAAGGAAAAACGGAAGAAGAACAAACTTGAGGCTCCCTCGGAGACTGCAGTCGATCTGGATCAGAAATCCGATCGTAAAAAGCCCAAGTCCAAAAGGAAAGACCGAAAGGATCCGGAAGTAGACGCCGAATCTGAACCTCCAGCTGCAACGGACGTCGAAGCCGAACCTGCAAAGAAGAAATCTAAGAAAAATAAACTGGTTTCCCGGACCCGGAAGAGGACTCGGCGCTCTCTGAGCAAGCCAGCAAGGGTCAGCCGTCTTTGATTGCGTCTTCTCCTAGCTGAATACATCCGAAGCTCTGTCCTATGCATTCTATCGTTTCAGGAAACCGTCCAAGTGGAAGTTCTCGAAAGCCAAGCAGAACTGGCTGACACGCAATTTTTGGTCTGAAAGCGCCGTAAGAGATCAAGTCTTGCTTCCAAAATTTTGAGTCTGATTATGCAATGCTCCAGATTCCCGAATCCCATGTTCCACTCGTCACGAAGTATCTGTCCAATGTGCAGGGCGGTGTACGAGAAGTGCATCATCCATCCCACTCACACAGATGCAGCTTCTGATTTGCTTTCAGAACTTGCTCAAGAATTGCCAGTCTATCTTGTCACCCGCATCAGAACCACCTGCTGAAACCGAAACTAAAACTCCTGCCCCCGATGTCTTGAAACAAACACGCGCGCAATTGCTGTTAGACTCATTGGAAGCAGCAACGCAAGAGAGTTCAACAGCTGTAGAGACATAGCACTTTGGGATACGACCGCACTTCTTCACGTACATCCAGTAAACGCCCACTCGTCTGCCTTACTGGAATATCCAACTTCCTCTGTGCTGACAGTATCGGATATAGCAAGATGAGTATATGTCGGGCCATTCGGGTCTTACTCGACAAGTCATGAATCATGGCAGCAGGTAACAACGATAATACAAACAAAATAGTACACACAGGCCCTGGACTATCAGATCAACTGTCCATCTTACGAATAGTTCTGCGATCCCTCTCCCCGAGGACCTTGACGATTCCTTCGTTCTCCAATGCCTTGATCACCTCCGTAAACTCGGCAATATCAATCCGGACGCTGCTCTGATCGCCCAGAGACTGCATCGCATCGGCCCATCTCACACCACGCGTCTTGGCACCGGCTGTGGAATCCAGTATGCTCAAAATGCCCCTTCTCATATCTTCACGCTGCCTGCGCTGGCCAGCGCCCGTGCCAGTGTTCAGCAGGCCCATGTCGATCTTCCCGGTCCTCGGATCCATCGCACTCGTCCTAATGGCCTCTCGCATCAACCGCCCGGCCTCGCGAACATCGCGCAGCTCGACAAACTCGCTCAGGCGCATACGCGCATGGCCCTCTGATAACCGAATCAGACTCTCCAGCTGCCGCGTAGTCGCTGTGATTCGCTTCTCGGACGACCCTGCATCGGAACCCATGTTCCGCATCTCGACGTATGAGCGAACAAGCTCGTCGCCAGCCGCTTCCGTGATCACAGGATGCACACGAGATCGTGCATATGAGATGTAACCAGAGAGTTCAGGTAGCGCCTGATAACCTGGTCAGAGGGCGACCACAGGTAACCCTAAAGCAACGCACCAAGAGCTCATCGGCCTCCCTCCGGTTGGGAGTGTCTTCAAGATACAACCCCACTAGATGCTGCGCCAGTTTCCGGTCCAGGTTCTCGTCTACTTGGTCGAGCACGAGATACAACAGGTCGAAACGCGATATGAGCGTCGGAGGCAGGTCAATGTTCCTCGTGATGGGCAGGTCAACGTCATACTTGGACCCGACAGGATTGGCGGCGGCGAGAATCGACGTCCGGGCGTTGAGAGTGGTGATGATCCCGGCTTTAGCGATCGAGACAGTCTGTTGCTCCTGTTTCCTCGTAAGACCCCGCATGCAGCTGCGAGAAAATAGCAAAACTCACCATCACTTCGTGAAGGACGCTACGCGTCGCATCGGACATTTTGTCAAATTCGTCAATACAACAAACACCGCCGTCGCTGAGGACGAGAGCACCACTGAAAACAGCGCCTTAGAGAGACACAAGGAGGTCTTGAACATCGCTCACCTCTCCAGCACTAGTTGTTTTGAGTCGGGATCGCGCGTCACATACGCTGTGAGACCCACGGCGGAGGAGCCTTTGCCAGACGTGTAGACTCCCCGGGGGCAATTTTGTGCACATACTGCCCGTGATTAGTGTACACCTCGCAGAATTAGATCGAACTCACCTGAAGAATCTGGGATTTACTCGTTCCAGGGTCACCGACCAACAGGACATTGATGTCACCACGATATCGAGGTCCACCAGCTCCTCCGCCACGCTCAATACTCTTGTTGGTACCTCCAAAGAGTTGGAGCAGAATGCCCTTCTTCACGTCGTCCATTTCCCAAATACTCGGAGCAAGCGAGCGGGACAACAAATCGTAGACGTCGGGCCTCTGACTGAGCTGACGGATTCTGTTCTCCAATTCTGTATTCAAGACACCTTGTTCGTCACGCTGGCCCTCCAGATCACCAACACCCCCGATTCCAGGCATACGATCGGCACTCCCCCGTGTCGTGGGATCGAGAGCGACTACACCTTCGCGGCCATCGGCGCCTCCGATGAGCCGCACGTGAACGACATCCAGGTATGTCTTGAACAGACTCTTGAGCTTCCGCTGCCGCGGATTCACCCGCATGGGAATGCTGCGGAAGATCCCAGTCACGACCATTCGGTCACCAGGCTTGGCGATGTCGACCAGCTCGTCGTAGACACTCAAACTGACCGTGTGCGGCGTCTGGCCATCAGGCACGACATCCGGCGTCTCTTGCAGTCGAATCACTTGTCTGTCCGCGAATGTACATCGGTTGTGGATTAGCGAAAGCGTTCCCGGTGAGGCACAGACGTCTCGCGGACAGACGCTCGGTTCCGCAATCTTGCCACGGTCAATCTCGACCTGAGTCGTGTGCGAACAGTTGAGGCAACGGAAGAACGCGGTCTTCATGTCGGGAATGATGGGCGTCGTGCGGATAACAAGCCCGTTGATGGCGACCAGCTTGTCCGTATCTGCCTACAGGTTAGTTTGTGAATAGAAAGAGTGACTGTGCGCCCCACCAGTCGGGTTGAGTTCTCGCATGTTGACAGAATCCAAGCCATAAGGCCGAACCTTGAACACACGGTTCATGAGATCCCCAATCTCCGTTTCGCCCTGATCGCCCTCCATGTCTTCGAACCCGTCGGCTTGATCCCGATATGCGACATCCAAGATTGTATCCTTGAGGACTTGATCCATCACAGGAATGACTTCTTGAGGATACTTGACCAACAGGTTATGCAGTCGCTTCGAATTGGGATAAGCAAGCAAGTTGACGGCATCTAAATTGAGATTCGTCTCGCCCGTCTTGCGCATCTGCCGCAAGTACTCTTCATACAGAAGAACCTCTCCATCTCCCGTTTCGAAAACGGCTGTGTTGGAAGGCCGAGAGCCTGCGAATAAACTCGGCGATACTTGGGCTTAAATCCCTCAAGAAACTCGCGAAACAGTTTCATCGTTTCGGTCAGGTTCACCGTGGTTCCCCAAATAGCGCGAATTTCGGCGGGTTCGTCGGTCGTCGCGTGCTGGATGGAAAGGGATGGTGGTCCTCCGATGGCAGACGACGGAGGGCGGGAGGCTGGCGCCTCTCCCCGTTCGTGCCTCGCTGAAGAGGCGGGAGTCTCGTTGAAAGAAGAGTGGATGTCGCCTCGTCTGTTGCGCGGTTGTGCCAGGCTGGGCATGGACGCGCTTAGCGGGGGCTCCCTGCGCGCGACGCGTTAGGAAGCCACTCCCTCAGAAAGGAAGAACGCACGATGGGAAAATCCAATGGGTCCGAGTCAAAGATCGCATCTGAGTTCAAGTTCGACCGTCGGACAGGGTTTTTGGCCGGGAAGAACTGGGAAAGGCTAGTGGGG